GACAAGACGGGGAAGTGGCCGACGCGGAAACCGTTGTGACTATCCGGGCAGAGAGCCCATTATTTCGAAAACCTTCCTCTTCCAATAGGAATTTCGTGTCGAGGCCACAAATTAGGATTTGACGAATTCGAACAGATTTCCCCTCCAGTCACGGACCCGGCCGTTGTCTATAGTCGTAGTCGACCACTCCGACACGGCGAGAATAGGAGAGAGAGGAGTGTCGAGTCAATCGTTTCTTTCATCGTTAGGTCTAGTTTAGTCGTTATTCATAATATGTCCACTAGCGAGCCCCGTGCCTCTGGAGACGTTCCAGAGGCCGGTTCGTCGATCGGGTAGACCCTCTGTGGGCGACAAACAAATTGACTCCACGGGCTCTAGGCCAGACTTTTCGTCCGCTTCCCGAGAAATGGACCCGACCAGGCGTCGGAAGGAAATGGCGCGAGAACTCGTTCACGTTACGGAAACTCTCCATATTGTGATTTAGAATTTGGGCCATTCTATGGAACTAGGAAAGTTTTTCGAGATCCTCCGGCTTCTGAAGAATTTGGATATTCCGGAGACATGGGGGGGGGGGGGGGAGTCATAACGCATAAAAAGAAGTCGTTTCGTCGTTCGGTCGCGCGCGCCCGATATTCCTCAAGGACGTGATTCTTACGATCATCCATCTATTCAACGCTACTGCGACTTCCCACGGGAACTATTGATCTGGACTCGACTACTCTCCCGTCTCCTAGCTACAACTAACCCGTCCACACCATCAAAGAAACGGTGTCGACGAGCATCCTCCAATCTGACCCAATCCTCCATTGCCCGTACGATCATCGATCGTCGTCCCCTACTCCGTACTTGCTCCTGCACTGCACTGCACTGCAGCCCTTCCCGCAACATCGTGCTTCCGAAGCGGTGAATTACGAACATCAAAGGGCTGGGGTCCCATTCCAAGTCCCCTTCGCAGACAATCTGATTTACTTCGCGGATCCGATTCCCCGCTGCCGCTCATCTCGTTTCCGCCCTTTCGGGGAACTTTGATCCAGTCCACATCCTTGGGGTTTGACCGCAAGGGATGCACATATTCCTGGGGATCTCCAGCATTCCCAAAAAACCTGATCATTGATCCTTGATCTATCGAGGATCAATATTATGATCGTGGCCCTCGGAGATTCCTCGACCGCCACTGACATCGACATCCGTACTGCAGTGATCTGGCAGTACTTTGAGGGTTTGATCTCTCGACTCCTAAAACCATCCTCATCCGATCTTCCCCGCGGCCACCGCGCAAGAGGGAATTTCCGATACATCGGGAGTTCTACGGGCGGCTGTCAAACAAATCCATTTTTTTTTTTTTTTTTTTTTTTCCCTAGTGGGCCAGTCCGATTTGGTGATCCGCTCACGTTGATTGAGCGATCGTCCGCCTCACTGCACGGGAACCCGCTTCCGCCTGACTGTCGGGTCCTTTTGGTCTGATCTGACCGAAACGAGAGAAAAATAAAGAATTAAAAAAAAGAAATTCCAGAAAATCAAACATTTTCTTGATTTTCTTGAATTTCTTGAATTCTTTTTTTCCTTTTCGGGTGTCTCAGTCGGGAGCTGCAAGGGTACGGCGGCAGTCTAGACGGGCTTTCCCCGGCTTTGATCTTCAGATGTACACCGTCTCTCTGGCTGGACTCTAATAAACATCCTCGACTCGTCCACTTTCAACCTTCTTACCTGTCACCGTCTCTTTTGGACCTTTGACTCCCTCCACATCTTTATATCCTCTCCTCCCCTCCCTACCTTTCTCCACAACACACTACGCTATTCAAACCTTTCGACATACTTTCTCAACCATCACACTCTTACTATCACCATGATCCCTATCCAGTCGCGCATACGCGACATGGCTCTGGCCAAGTCCAGTGCCGTGGCTCCCGTGGCCAGCACTGATCCAGCACAAGTGTGCTTCTCCTGGAGTGGCAGCTCTTTCGAATGCTCGCCTCTCTCCAACCCGTCCGCGCCTCCTCCCACCCCAACCGACTCTCTCCTCGACATCCACCCACGCAAGTCTTCATTCTCCAGCGAGTATGGCATGGGAGCCGCCTGTGCCTTCCCGTCCTGGCCCAAAGGAACATCCCTTTCCACGGACGACTGCCACGACACTTTTACCAACGCCTATCTCTCCGACGAAGACTTGCTCTGGATGCCCGAGAACGCCGGCGTCGAGCCCCCCGAGCTCGACGAGGAAGCCACCAAGACCCACGAGATGGTGTCTTCTCTGACCATGGAGCAACAGTTGGCGCGCATGCGAGCCGTGGCCGAAGAAGAAGATCGCCTTCGTTTCCTGGCCAAGGTCGAGGCCCACGCCCGCGCTACCCAGGCTCTTCGACAGACCAAGTCGGCGATGCACGATCGCGACACTACCCCTTCCAAGCGCAAGAAGCGTCGAGTCGTTCCCACTCCCAAGCGACGTGCTCATTCGTCCTCGGCCAAGGTATCGATGGGAACGCACTGAACGTGATCGCACCAGATCTATGATCTCGGCGCGGCGCGGGCGCTTCTCCGATCCTTCACGACTTCGCTTCTGGGACTTATTGCGCGAGCGCGATAGCCTCTTTGTCTTTCAACATTAATTTTTTTTCTCGCCCCCCCCTCTCTTCCGCCTCATGCATCAACCAGCAAACACTATGACCATCGCCCCCCACGTCTCTACCCCTCCTGTGCGGAGCCTGGAGATAGGGCCCAGGGCCCCCCCATCGGGCTCCGAGTTGTTTATCGTCCACCCGTGATACTCCGCAGGCCCCCAACGAATCACATCACGGGTTCTCGGCAGCTGCGAAAGTCCGTCAGCAGCTGCCGATCGCACGGGTGTACCATTCTGCCATTCAAAGGCCAAGTTCCTCGGAGAACCCAGCGCCCAAGATGACGCCAGATGGGCCTTATCGAAAGAAACTCGGGGATCTCCACGGGTACCCCCGCGCTTACCTAATTTCTGTACGCTGTCGGCGCTTCCAGAAATCCTGGTAGTATCCTCTTTCACCGCTGGTTGATGCCCCCTCCCTTTGACTCATACTTCGTTTTACTTTTTCGCCTTCCGTCGATTCTCTCCGACACGTTCTCGCATGGAGTTGCAGCGCTTGTCCTTGGTTTTTTTCTGGGTTTTCCTAATGACTTTTCTTCTTGGAGCGCATTCCATTTCCGCATTATTGATTCCCTGGGTCGTCTGACTCTTGCATCCCCGATACGGCCCCGGTGTTTTTATTTTATGTTTTCCTAGCCTTGCTTTCCCGTCTATTTCATTACTGATTCCCCCCAAATATGTACACCCATTCGTGTGTCCTGTCATCCAGCGTTACTGTCATGTCCCTTTCGAAGCTTAGATACCCAACTATGTAGTTAGTTTTTTCTTTTTACGTGTCATGCACATATCATTTTATCCATCTATCTTTTTTTTTTCCCTCCGTAGTCCTAGTTATTTTCGTTCTCCCCCGGTGCATTACCCCTCCGCGCCTCATTTTGTATTTTACCCGCGCACTGCGCTATCGGAGGGTGATTTCCCATCGCCCGGCGCACGCCACACGCCGCCACCTTCAGCGTGCTGTCTATGCACCCCCTGCACCCGTTCCTCCCGCCATGAGAGATCCGCGATCCACGAGTGTCGGTGTGAGCTGGCCGTCGCGTGAGAGATGAAGACTTTGGAGCACGGTACTTATTACCGTTGGGCACGCAGTCCGAGTGCTGGATAGGACCTTGTTTTTTTTTGGTCAGTCGGATTTTGTTGTTAAGTTGGTCGGGTTTAGTCTAGCTTTGACAATCCGAATCAAATTTCGTTTGAAAATGATTGTTTTATTTGATTAGTATGACACATTTTATTGTTGTACGTCGACTATTGTACATGTAGATATCTGTATCACTCGTACTGCAGACGGAGTGTGCAGATTCGGCACCCTCGTACCTAATGGAGCACACACGAGCACTCCGTGTCCCGCGATATAATTGGAACAGCCCTAGTAAGCAAGTTAACTAGTTAAATAGTTAGTTATGTACTCATCGATTATTAACGTAGTCTAGCCCTGTATACCTTACACCTTCAGCCCTGTCTCGCCTTGTCCGTCTTACCCTGCGCGCCTCGTTTAGATACAACGTGGTAGTCGCTTATCCCTTCTTGGGCATCATGACTGGCACCTTACCCTTGAGCCTGGAAATACGCTTCAGTATCTGGGTACTGGACGGGGAGGATGGAGGGGAGCTGTGACTCGCGTCTGACGGATGGCCCTGCAGATGACATGCAACGGTAAGACTGTGGATTGTGGATTGTGGAGTGGGGGTTTGGGGATTTGAACTTGGAGGGAAGTGTAGGTGGGCGAGTGGGGGTGAAATTCGCGATCTGATAATTACGCGAATGGATTATTACTACTAGGAAGGATGAACTGGGTACTTTCTAGGTCGTGTTGGGTGGAGGTATGCGTGGCTAGCAAATTAACTATACTCCGTAGATACCTAACCAATATGAATAATCGCAAGATGTAACCAGCCAAAACCCATCCACTCGCGAGCCGAGTCCTCGATCTGTACAGTAGGCCTGGGATTCGGATTTCAAATCTTAAGTCACGCTCACGCAACGCTGACAAGCTGACTCCGACTCCCATTCCAACCAAGATACGACAACACGAAGAGTTTCTGACGTTGGCACTGGGTGTCATTGCATATGGATTACGGGGGGGGGGAATACATCTACTTATAGCCCCCCCCCTCGTATGCCCATCTATACTAGTGACGGCGACTCCGACCGTCATCAGATGCAGGCCATTCACCCCAACGCCAGATGTACCATGATGTACCCTGAAGAGTCGGTGAATTGGACAAAGGTCCCATAAGATGGGAATCCCGTATCTACATCCGTCGATGAATATCCCATCCCGGTAATGCAGTTCGTTACGCATGAAAGGAAGTACCGCGCATATCTGACACGCGCCATGCAGAACGAGTATAGCGCCATTGTTCGTCCTGAATAATCCCAGGGTCTAGTTATCCAGGCCGGCAAGGGTGTCTCGGGGTAAATGTAATGTGTAGTCCCGGTTAAATACTATTCTCCTTCACATAGTATACTCCATAACTCCATAATTCTATTTTAGATCCTCCATTCCGTCCCAATCAAAAAACAAGAAAAGGCCCATTATCACCCTCATTCTCTCTCGCGTACGGAATCCACCCCCCAACACGATGATACTCTTTCCTCCCCCAAAAGGCCTTTAAAAACCTCAACGCCGTAAAATTGCACCAAATCCCCATCGCCGCTAACAGCTCCCTAAAGCGTCTCTCGACGGCCTCTTGTCTACGCCCGTCATCCCAGCATTCCGTCCCCGCAATGAAGAGCGGCACGAAAATGTCGTGCGAGAAGCTATGGACCGGGCCGGCGGTTAGGAATTCGATTTCGGCGAGGAGGATCGGTAGTGAGGCCCCGATTTCGGCGGTGGCTTCGGGAAGAGGGGCGAGGGATTGGTAGGCGTAGATGAGGCTGGCGTGGTAGACGGCTCGAACGATCGAGTGCATCCATTGTTGGGTGTTGGTACCGTGCGTTGTGATTAGTCGGGTTATATCGGCCAAGGCTCGGGCGTGGGCTAGATCGACTTTTGCGCGCCAGGGGGCCATGTCGACGGGTGGGAGAGGGGACGGGGGTTGTGGTTTATCTGTATAATCGTGGTCTTTGGTCCTTTGGGAAAGGGTATATCGGCGTCGCTCTTCGGCGGTGATTTCGCGAAAGACGCCCGTGAAGGTGTGGAAGTAGTCGTCTAGTAGGATTGACTTGGAGTGTGGATGGAGTGCGTCTGTGATAAAGGGTTGTTCGCTGGAGAAGGCACCGATGTTGCGGAAGACTTCTATGTCGGCAACTTCGCGGATGATAAAGTCGATTGCGGCATTGGGTGTTGCGGCGTGCCTGTTGCGCCAGGTGTAGCGCTCGATGAGGATGCGGCAGGCGTGGAGGTGGAGATTCCAGTCTGTCGAGTGCGGGATAAGCATTTCGCCGTAGCAAAGGACTAATGTCGTTGCTAGGATTTCGATCAAGGTTGAGTCTCGGGAGAGGTGGTCGGTGGTTGAGTGGTAATTTGCTAGCTCGGTATTAATCTTTTGGTTGAGCGTGTGGAGACTTGCATCGCGGAGGCGGTGGTTGCTGCTCGGTGTGGCTGTAGAGGGAATATCTGATGATGTGAATGATAGATGGGCTGCTGCGACGCTGAGGATTGAGAGGCCAAGACATCGCGAGCGCTGTGCGAGAGGTGCGATGACTTTGCGCCAGGGATGGTCCGGTCGATCCACCCAGGTCAACCGGGGAGCGACCTTGATGTTGAAATGAGTAAACAGATTGTGCGATAGGATGGCTGATGTATAGCTATCGACTAGAGGCCTGTCGATTGTAGGCGATGGTGTTCTTGTAATTGATATTGGAGAGTTGTGATCCACCCCGAGGACGATATCTCGTCCAGGAGAAGCCCCAGTCTGGGGAACTAGAGCTGCGATCGCAGATTTATCTGCATCTTTGGTGCTGTCGTTTGATTGGTTGATTGATGGCCTTTCGGATGGCTTCTGTATCCGAGTGACTCCAAGGCCCCATTTGAGTTGAATCGTATCATACCCCGGGCATTGAAAATCGCGAATGGTACATTTGCGACATCGCGGAGTACTCCGATCACATTTGATGCGACGCTTGATGCATCGCCGGCAATCTAAGAATGTTCAGACAAAGTATTGAGCAGGGGTCATCCGTAACGAGCCTACCTTTGGCAGCCGTCTGCCGATCCGGGGGCAAAGAGGAGATGCGAACGTTGAGCATGTTATTAGGACCTAGTCCTATGGCTGGAGCAGAGTATGTTGAGCCATGGCCCTATAATCAGGTACAAGGTGTTGTGGTATCTCGATCTCGATCTGCCTCCGGTTTGGATGGTCGGTCGTCGGTTTATTTTCTGTTGCGAGACGAATTTCTCCTTTTACCGACCCCGCAAAATGGAACGTGGGAAAGCTGGTGGATCTTCCAACGGCCAATGAGATTGGGATGATAAGTGACCAGGGTGAACTCTAATTCTCCAGTATTCTTCCCTCGATTATCATGGCCTCCTAAAATTGCTGATCAAAGGAGGAACGAATAAACATGATATAATAGTGCTGAGATGAGCTGTCAGATCCATAATGAAATTCTCTTCATGAATCAGATAATCCGCGCTACTTCCGTAGAAACTCTCTCACGGCATCAGCCCATTTCTCCCCGTTTTTGTAAGTGAACATCTCACGAACACTTCCATTCTCAAGTCCATCTATAGCCCGAGCAAGCTCTCCGCCACTGCCTTCTACTTTGATTTCCTCGATCGGGTAGAGATAAGTGTGAAACGCAAAGACAATGGCTCCGGACTCGGGGAGCCGGTGAAGGGTTTGGCGCTCGCATCGCAAGAATGTCTGCAGACAAAACCTCTCTTAATTGATGACTCTAAGACATTGGAATCGATGCCAACATACCTTGTCCAGATCTAGGTCCTCCACGGATAAATTCTTCAATTTCCCTTCGAATGCTAGTGCACTCTTATTGAAATTTGAGAATAGCTCCTCGTCCACAGTAAGGCCCCAATTCACACGTTTCACGTAGCGACCTGGCTCAAGTCGACTGAAGAACCGATCCATACTTTTCTGTAGCTTCTCCTTGTATCCGGGTACCGGGCCATGGATGTCGGCCAATTTCTTGCCGATTTTCTCCTTGGGCTGGAATCCAGATGGGAAGCATGCAGCATAAGCTTCAAGAAAGAAGACGTCTTCCTTGTTGTCGCCTTGCTTCCGAGGGAAGAGAATGAAAAAGTCTTCGTCCACATTCTGTGCGATCGTTTTCAAGGCGATGTGCAAAGGAGTCGAATCTGACATGGTCATCGGCAGAGTTTGGCGTGTTACTAAGTTCTCTAACATGGAGCGGGAGCTAAGTTCATCCTCATATTTCTTGAATATGGACGGATAGCGGACGGGGAGATAAGTCTGGAAGAGGTAATCATAGAGCTCTTGCACTGCAAGTCGAATCTTTGCGTCCGATTCATTCGTAATTCCGACAATATCATCGAAATATTGCTCAAGAAGGGATTCTCGGAGATTGAGACGCTCAGAATATGTCTGATCGAACAGCAACCAATCATTGCGGTCTAATGTCTCAATTCCTGAGGTTTCGCAGAAGATACTCAGCTATTATCTTTGGATGGGTGGACCTCAAACATACCCATGGTCAAATGATACTTTGGCTTGAAAGGTCGAAAGACAGGTGGCATGGTGGAGTTCAAGTCGAAGTTTCTGATCGGTTCAATCTTGAAGAGATCTTTGGCTGCGGCCTTATTGGTAATTGAAGCCTTGGTGCGATAGCTGGAACTTTGGTACAGTCGCACTGAAAATAAAAGCCCACAGAATATCAAAGCCCACCAAAGCAAGGAAACTGGAACCGGCCCAAGAAGACCCTTTGGCTGGATGATGAAGGGCCATTTCGAAGTGGCAGCCAAGTCAACAAGGCCGTGGTCCATTTCGTCTGCGTGAAGTCTGGATCAGCGGTGGCTTCTTTGCTCCAAATCCTGGGAGCACGTCAATCTCAAGACTTCCTAGGCGTCGAGCATTGCGATGGGATATTCTGCGAGAAATGGAAAAGACTCATTTTGAACCCTCCTGAGAGTTACTCATCCGATGTCGGGATTGTGGGGTAGCCGCTCAGCACAGTGAAGGCTCTCTTCGTAGTTCCCATGCTTGGGATTAGAATTGGAGATAATGAGGTAGATATGCCCAGCCAAACTCTGTTCTCATTTATCATTGGCCGTTCGAACAAAAGAGGGAGATATGCTCCACTTTCTATGTCATTCTCTCCCAAAGGTTACCGTGTTGGGTTTAGCGGACTTGCCATATCCAATCAAACCAATCAACATTTAGCGTCAATAGCTCCAATAATGTATCAAAAAGATAGAAGCACTACAAAATCCAACGAAACCGCGGATAAATTGTGGCCCTGAGTAAATTGATCTTGAGATAAGCCAGGTTGCGCAAGTAACTCGAGGTCGGTTTGCAAGACACGATGACCGGGTTCTTGGCGTCGGTGATGGTCGACCATATAGAACGATACGAATGGCCTCTTTTTAACGAGTTGATCTTGGAAACGACCGATGCTTCTTCTTAGCTGGACTGTGGAACTCGCTTTGTACCGGGACACCATGTTGTGGCTACCACTCAGCTCCCCTGAAGGAGTAATCTGGCCGTGCTTAGAATACTGGAAGATAGACCTCTCGGGTTCCAACTGTTCACCAGAGTTAGGGCCGCCTTTTGAAACAAAGAAGTGGGTATTTCAAGAAATTTATGACAATATGAATTTGAGGTCTATAAATAATAACATACTATTGAGACTTGGTCAAGACTCTGGAAAAATGTACAAACCAAAGTAATAATCAGCCCCCGATGCTGGCAAAGCCTATGATCATTGGGCCCGCAAATACCTCCGACAAGATCAATAATTAACCATAAAGATCTCAGCCGAGATTTTCTCGGCAATACAGATATAGACCGTAGGTATAAGCACCAGACCATCTCATGTTAATCATTTAACGTGAGATGCGAGGAAGCTTGCAGCATCGGCAGCATTTGCACCATAGGTAAGATGTGCCGCAGTGATGATCAAAGTGCCATCACAGACCATATCGCCTGTTGCACAGTAGACTTTGGTTTGATCCTTCGGGTATCCGGGGATCCTGCCCGAATCCTGGAGGTTGCGAGTGAATCCAAACAGAACAACTGCCTTGACTTTATCTCTCACTTCGGAGGATAGCTTTTGAATCGCATTATCGATGACGGCACTTCCCTGACTTGAAGACTGTTAGGGAGGAGTACATCGAAGGTGATTGCTGTCTACATACCTATAACCACCGGCAACGATCTTCGCGTTGGGGCATTTGGTATTGCACTCATTGAACACGTCCACGGCAGCTTGAATATCTTGCGGTGCCGTGTTTTGAGGGAGAAAGTTTTCTTCTAGGCCGGCTGTGTAGGCACCACCAATACCTTGACAGCCTACTTTACCTCCTAGCTGGACACCTAAATCGGTACAGACTTCGGGACCGACGATGGTGCCCTAAAAGGTTAGCGAGACTTTTTTTTTTTTTCATATGAAATTCGCCCTTACCATATTTCCGGTTTCGGTCGATCCTCGTGCAAAAATAAACATAACATCTTTGCAGTTGCCCGAGGTCAGGTCATTGGCGGAGATGTATTGACGGCTGTCCAATTGGATGGGAGACGCCGCAACCAAGGGAGTAAGCAGCAACGGAAGGAGGGCTCGAAGAAACATTGTTCGGAATTAGACAGATGTTCTTTCGGGAATTATGCCCTTGTTGAGTGTATTCAGGAAGACTCATGAAGAAGATTAAATATTCTGGAAATGCCCATAGTATTGTATGTGGCCGGAGTGGGTCCATAGAGGCTGAAAATTGAGGCCAAGGAAACAGTGTTTCAGCTATCCTCAAAAACGAGTGATCCCTGAATTTTTAGCCGGACGAGCTTTTATTTTCAGCAATCGGTGATTGTGAATCTATCCCTAGAGTTGGTCGAGTAGAAACGGGACAGGCCGCGATAGAAGCCCCGGTCCCAAGTAGAGCCAGGTGAAGCCCTCTCTCTGCTAGGCATTCGCCGATACAATTCCGAGTGGCAAGACCACGACACATTTCAACAGTGTGATAAGAATTTTTGAGTTCTTGTGACAGATAAATGAAAGGAGCAGATTCCAACGCGGTGGTTGGGAGAAGACGAGCGATTAATATCCAAGACACCATCCTTGTACCTATTTTGCAGCAACCAATCGACGCAGTTTAACAATGCAAGATTGTATACTTGAGCAAACATTGTATTTCATCGATGAGATATTTGCATAATTTATCGTGATCTTTTTCGAGCATGATAATTATAGTATTTTGGCAACCTTGGTAGCGATATAGCCATCCCGGTAGAGATCCTCTTTTCTCGCTCTGGAAAACGGCGCGTTTTCCAAGAACATCGGACGATTCCGGCATGCTGCCCTAAATATCTTTTCCAAAGGCCTTCAAAAGATAAACCCGAGGAAAGCACTTGGCCAGTTCGATTGGGTTGCCGATAGATTCGCCTAATCAACGCAGGTGCCTCGGAAATGTGCCTCTGAGTTTAATGTTATGGTGCAGAAGTGTGGTACTTGAGAGCTAAAAGTCTCCATCCCTTGTCATGCAGGCTACAAAATCTTAACAGACACCAAGTACGGTGAAAAGAGTCAATTAATTATTGGGGATCATGTATGTGAACGCAGAATTCTAAAGACCTTTACCAAACAACTCCTCCCCAATCTCCTTCAGCAACGCCTCCTTCTGTAAAGCCGGAATTCTCGCTTTAGCCGCAACAGTCTCCCTCACACTCATCGCACGACAAAGATCAATCAGCATCCCGTCAACAGGTGCCTCATAAACGAACAGCCCCAGAGCAAACAAAAGGCCACGCAGCGCTTCGGGACTTTGATCCTCCCGCGACACGGCTTCCAACAAGGACGCAGTCAATTCGACCTGGTCCTCTTCCGGGAGACGATCCGGATGTCCATCGAAACGAGAATTGTGATTGAATGCAGCGAGATTATATGCGAACGACGCAGCGACCACGCGGAGATTAGATTGCGAGTCGAGAAGCGAGTTTGTTGCGAGTCGGAGACAGGTTTCCCGTAGGGCAGAGGAAGAAGAGGCGAGTTGGTCTGGATAGAGTGGGGTGCTGAATAGGTTACAGGCGAGTTGGAGGGCGACTATGCGGAGGTTGTAGGGGCATGAGGATTGGTCTTCTTGGGAGAGGGGTGCGAGGAGAGTGAGGAGGGTGGTATGATTAGGTTCTTCCGCGAAGTAACCGCTCACGCGGGGGTCGAGGAATAGAAGGCGGATGAGGTCGACGACTGCGAAGTGGCTGTCACTGGGGAGAGTGGCGTAGATTGCCTGTAAAGTCGTAGCGAAGGCGTGCAGATCTGGGACCCGGATATCCGCTGCGGGCGTATTATCGTTGCTTGCGGAATGGCGAAGCTTGACAAAATCTATGACTGGTGCGACAGTCGGCGACTCCTTAAATGCCGCTGGAAGCTTTTGTACGAGCTTCTCCAAAGGTGGGACCTTCTTGTACGTGACGAAATTGGTAATGTTGCGCTGGAGACTGGGAAGTCGTAAATTCCGGTGAGGATGAGGTGGATTCGCCTGCTCAAGAAGCATTCGCACTCTGCCCTTGAGTTGAGCTGGATCAGCCCCGCTCCATTGATCCTGTTTTTGGCCCTTGAGGAAGGTCATGAACGTGGGCGTTGCGCGCACGTTGTACTTCCTACTCACGTCGTAGGCTGAACCGACATCCACCTTGATGAGCCTACCATGTTCACCGGCCTCCTCTGCAAGCTCGTCATAGGTTGGATAGACGATTTTACACGGTGGGCACGTCGATGAAGTAAAGAAGATCACGGCGCAGGAGTTTGATGCAGCTCTCAAGTGGGTTTCCAACTGTGACAGATTGGTCACATTCCGAACTCTGCCAACTATCGAAGGGGCTGGTGCCATTGTTGGAGGCGCCGTGGGAGTCTGAGAAGGTCTGGCTGCTGTGGGTTGTACGCTTGGTCCAGAAACGGGGCCCAGACCGGAGCCCTGCGTCACACCCTTCAGAGCTGCCTCGATTTGTGGTTTCATCATTTGCCCAAAGGGAGTCTCTAAGAAAGTGCGAGGCAGATTCCTGATATGATCTGGGATGCTCTTGCCCACTAGAAACATGGCAAAGTCTTGCGTAAAGTTATTGCAGTTGTGCAAGAATAGATCGTAGGACTGCAACGTGTTAGATTGGGATATTCATAGTCTCATTGAATTATCATAGTCACAGACCTCTGGAGTGTAGATAGCAGCTAGAGAGCTCAGGTATTCCTCAATCACCTCACTGGGGAGCTCTGTCTTCCCCATGTGGACCCTTTCCATCGGCTGTCCATGATGAGTACTGCCAGGCGCGGCAGTCTGAATGCCTTGACCAAAGTAGTATTCAACGCCATTAATGACCAACGAGGTGTGATAAATCGCATCTATTTGTGTCCCTGTCAAGGGTTGAGAGTACTGATAACCATTTCATGTCAGGACGGGCTTCTCTTGGACATGTTGCGATGCGCGGAAATCTCACTTACCACTCGGGCAAGACCCTGTGAATTAATTAGCTAAGCACACCCGATCAGAGAAGAGGGAGCACTCACCTTGGACAGGTCATAGACAAAGAGCTCAACATCCATGATGACGGTGTATTCGATATTGAGACAACGAGAGTCAAGTCCCGTTCACGCGTTGATATGCGCCAGCCCCAGGCACCAGGCGGATCACGTCAGCACCACAAGACCCTTCGGAGGCCTTCGACCGACTTCTCCTCTTTGAGCCTCGGAATGACCAACTCCAGGGTACATAATTGGGAAATATGTTTCTCGTGATCGGCGCTGAATCTAGTGTCAAATAAGTGGTGATTTGAAGAAAAGAGTTCCGTGGCACCTACATCTTGAAGGGAAAGACTCTGTACGTCGCGAGAGCTACTATAAGCTCCCACCTCGGTCAACGTCATTGATTGGCGACACATAAGACATGAACGACGTCTGATTTCTTTATTTTCATATGGACTTGCATGTTATCATTAGGGTTCATGCTAGCATTCGATGTCATCTCCCAGTAGACCGACTATTCTGAGGAAAATAGAGTAAAAGTTGGAAGTTGCGCATGCCCTAGTATAAACCTTCGGCCAATCCGCACCTCCGCACATCCCCAACGTCGCAATCGCGATCTCCACCTCACATTTCACAAGCTACACTTCCCCAGCTCCAACACCAACCAAAGCTGTACAAACCTCTTTCGGACTAGAGTCATGGTATTTCAGTCCACCAGGATATCTCACAAGAATTAAACAAACCCGCGACTAACATTCTACTTCCCACAGCCGCCGAAGAGGCGCGGTGCTCCCGCCAGCTCCTCCACCACGACCACCGCAACCCCCAAGCGCCCACGATCCAAACTCGCAAAAGAGAACGACATCACTGCTGACGAAGAAAACGAAATAAAAGAAGTTTTCCAACTCTTCGCCGACGCGAACGAGGACTTCCCCGCCGAGAAAGATGGCGTCATGCCGCGCGAGGACGTGCGCAAAGCTATGGTGTACGCTCCATCCCACCGCTCTCCTTGAAAGAAACTACAATCATGATCCAGATATCTATATACCCCTTCCCATCACATTACTGATCTCCACTTTCTGCGCAGAGCCCTCGGCGTCCCACCATCAGACTCAACCGAACTCGCCGACATCCTCTCCGCCGTAGACCCAACCTCGACCGGCTACGTTGCCTACAGCGCCTTCGTCACCGCCGTCGCCGCAAAGCTCCACTCCCAAGATGACGATGCCCGAGTCGCCGAGGTAGACACCGCGTATCAACTGTTCACGCGCGGCTCGGATGGGCCGATTTCCCTGAGCCATTTGCGGCGCATCGCGCGCGAGCTCAAGGAGGACTCTATTGATGATAATTTGCTCAAAGATATGATTATTGAAGCAAATGGGGGTGCTGGGCTGAGTTCTGGTGTGACTCTGGAACAGTTTCATGATGTTATGATTCGGGCGGGTGTTTTCAAGATGTGACATCGCATTTGTTGGGTGGCTATGGTCAGATGATGGCCGAGACCAGAGTTTTCGGTTCTTGTTTTTTTGTATCCACGTGTACATCAGTCATGGGTGTATTTCGGTTTGCCTGGGTTTCTATTTTGGATGTGATATATGGGCTACTTGCGGCGTTGGTGACTTGGAATGTGCGGCGTTGATAATTGCATAGCGCTGAGAATACAATTCTTGCTTGATAGTTTATTGGCACATGATTTACAGGTTCCTGCCATTTCAGGGGCAAGTGATAACTAACGAGGGTAAGGACTTTCCCAAACAAACGCCTACGAATCGCTACGAGAGGTCGGCGGCATAGTCCATTCGGTGACTGATGTTGCATTGTAGATACATGCTGTCCTCTTGCGAATAATCATGTGGAGTAGCGCGCAAAAAAGGAATTAGGTCTGGTAATCGAGAAAGGAAAAGCCCCAGGGGAAAAAACACTTCATAAGAATAACGAAACAAGAAGGGGAGGACAGCAGAAGATAAGACCCGCGCATCAACTATCAAGTTCCTCCGAATAAAACCCTGCAATCCATATCATGTTCAAGGGGGCAGCAGCGATAGGGAATAGAAATCGTGGTATGTGGAATGATGCATTTACTAGTGAAGGTCAGCACACGAAGCAACCTCATGGGCTGGCAAAAGACTTACGGAGATCTCAGCCATGCCGGTGTCCTCGCCGTTGGTGGCCTGAGGAGCAACGTTGACGGGGGCATTGCCCTGGGCAGGAGCATTCTCGTTGCTGAAGTAGTCGACCATCTCAGCATCGAGCTCCTCAACAGTCTTGGGCTTACCACGTCCCGGGTTGCGGCCACGTCCGCCACGAGCAGCACCACGGCCGCCACGAGCCTTAGCCTTGTTTGCAGCCGGCTTGGGAGCAGTCGCAGGCTTAGGCTGAGACTTCGGACTGTTGAGGCGTTAGATTGGATCTTTGAAGAATTGCCAGTCAAGGAGAGACTTACACAACACGATCCGCCAGAGGCTTGGGGGCGGGAACGGGAGGGGCGTGGGAGGCGTCGAAGACAACTTCGATCTGTTGCCATTGTCAGTATACGTTCAAATTACCAAGGGAGCAATGCTCAGTCTCACCTTCATGGGACGGCCGTCAACGTGGAGTCCATTGAGCTCCTTGGCAGCCTTCAGGGCGGTGTCGGCCTTGCTGAAGATGATCGAAGCAATGCCACGGCTAGTACCGTTCTGGTTGTAGGTGAGCATCACCTTCTTGACGGGACCTGCAGACTTGGCAAAGTATTCCTATAGCGAGAACAGGGAGGATCAGTATATTTGGCCTGGAATTTCGAGCTCGAGTCAAATGTCGACTGGTCGAGAGAAACAACGGCGACAGCGCGGAACCAAGACCAAGGGCAAATCCAGAAGCGAAAGAGCATCAGCGAGCACGCAGCGGCGATAGAGCATCATGTCGAGTAAAATCCTCCCAAAAAGCGTCAAACGCAAGCACAATATGTAACAAAAGCACAGGAGTATATCTAGCCTCGCCCACAACATTGAATTACAAATCCCATTTTGCACCACAGTATCTTTCGGAATGCCGTTACAGCACTTCAATTTTGCATCAATCACCAGGGGAGCGAAAAGTCTTCGAATTAGGGAAGGTAGGTCCGGAAAGCTTCGCTAATGCATGCCCACACATTTTGCATTGCAGCTGACCCGAATACCCGTCAGAAGTCCTAGTAATCACTCTCGAGGTGTGTTCACCCTCGTCGCTGATGAGACGTTCCTCATGCCGATTGCCAGGTCTCACTGGAACGGGGTATCACCCCCTGAAGCAGTAAATTCCCTCGTCAATACTCTCAAGGAAAAGTCTTTGCACTCATTCAAGTGTGTTCGCCGCTGCAAATAACCAAATCCACTGGGGTGCTGATGCGCGCTCGCTGATACTCGTCCAAAGCTCACAGCATCAAGAAGGAATGGATGAGAGAGACAGGTCTCAAAATCCAATTGGCCAAGAGGTGTAATTTCAACCTCCAAGCCTGGGCTCGACACAGAGAGTGTCATGCAGGTGAATCTCCCACAGTGAGGTAGACATGGTCACAAGCAGAGGACATCTCATCACGGTGCAAGGACAGAGCTCAACTTCCCGCTTCTGGAATGCCAGCCAGAGAAAATTGTATTTCTTCGCAGAAGCATCGGGAAGGAGCATCTATGTCTGAGCCCGAAACACCGAGGAAATACCACACCAAGGGGTGAGGGTATGAGGGAGGAGACAAAAGTCGTGTACGCATGTCGACGTTGTTGGCACCTCGAGGGGTTCGAAACAAAGATGGCGATCAAAGCCAAGGCGCAAGCCTGTAGCTCAACATACCTTGATATTGGCCTCAGACACATCGGAAGGCTGATGATAGAATTAGTAAATGCGGGATCGATTAAAAGAAGAGTAATAGAATAGGAAAGACGTACCAGTCCGCTCACGATGATCTTGCTGGAAGCAGTCGGGGCAACGGGGGTGGGGTGAACCACCTTGGCCGCAGCCTTGCTGGTCTTCGCAGACTTCTTAACACCACCAACGGAAGGCTTTGCGGGGGCGCGGCGACCAGCGCCACGGCGACGAGCGTTCTGGCGACGGTTGCCGACGAGATCGTCGAGAGACTTGTCCAGGTTGGCAGACATTCTGATGAGCTTGTGTAGTTGAGACAGATAAGCAAAGCTGGCGATTTGCGACCACAAGCTGACAAGTCGCGACAAGAACGCGTAGTCGATGGCTACGAAATGAGTCCCAGGTTGAGAGTGTTGCGATGTGAAGCAGGTGTGGCGATCGGAATTGATCGAGAGGTTGTCCCGAGGATAAAGGAAAAACCAGGAGGTGGAGAGATGATGGGGAGAGAGATGAGGCGCGGGAAAGGATGGAAGCGGAGGGAAAGGGAGAGGAGGAGGCAGCGACGGATCAAACCGCACTAGTCTACTTTGAGAAGTCGGGCACCACCCGGGTTTTGCCTGTTTGCATCGAGGCTCTGTGGTCAACGATCGATCATTGTGATTATCTGAAACAATGCCAGGAGCCTCGTCCAATACCTTGATTGCTGCCTACATGGGTTTGTTACTTTTTGCTTGATTGAATAGGCGGTAATTTTCTAAATTGGCTAGCACAGTACAGCCCCCAGGCTACAGAGCCCCTAAACTGCAGCCTGCTTGCGGCCCCAGTCAACATCGAGGTCAATTACAACATCGAACTTTTATACAATCGGGGTAGAATTACTAGTTTCATTCTATGTAGGCGCAGCCTGCGAACAAAGACTATGGAATGACCTCCCGCCAACTCCGTCCCAAAAGAAAAGAAGGGCTCAATGCCAATGGCAAACGCCATATATGTGGCTACAGAAATATAAACGACGCTTTCGAACGAACCACTGCAGAAATGGAACATGAACAAGACATACGAGAGACTAGCTCTTGAGAGCTTCCAGGCGATCGCGCATCTGCGAGAGAGTCGCCTCCTGGTCCTCGAACTCCTCCTCGGGCTCGGCAGCAACGGGGGTTTCGTCAATGGGCTGAGCAATGGGGTTGGCAGGGGCTTGGGAAAGCTTGCCCTGTAGAATCTCCTGAAGAATCTTGTCCACTTCCTCTTCGGCCTCGTCGAGTTCATCTTCGAATAATGAATTATCGGGCAAGGCGTCGTCCACGTATTCCTCAATGATTCCGGCTTTGACAAGCTCCGCCGAGAGTTGATGCATCGTAGATGTGAGTTCGGGCATGCGTACCAATATGTTCACGTCCTTCATGATCGCCGTCGACTTTTGGAGACTGCCTTGAATCTTGCGAACCTGGAATGCTTCATTGACCTGCATGCCAACACTCTGTAGCTGTGCCCGGCTTGTAGATAGACGAGTGGTCTGTTTCCGAATCCGCACGAGCTCCCTCGCAAATGTCTTGGTCTCGCTTATCGCTTGTTTGGCCTGCGACGGGTTGCGTTGTGCACGGCGGGAGGCATTGATGATATACTGGCGGGTCTTGCTATCCAAAGCTTTGAGTTGCATGAGGTCACGATCAAGCTGGCGTGTATTTTGGCGAATGAGAGCATTGCATTTCCTCATCTAGACAATGCCAATTAGAGAGGGCTGTCCGTGACTTCAACTTGGTGGTTGGTAGGTAAGTGCGTCGCTTACCTGGGCCTGAGGGTCTGGCCCAAAGAAGACAGCTTTAAGGCTTTCCATGATAATCAGTGTCACGGGGTTGTGCAATGCGACAGATGGGCACTGAGGGTAATTCAGTCGGCTGGGTGGTGATGGCGAGTATTCCGAGCAGAAATCAGAATGAGGACCGGCGTTGGGCGAAGAGATGAATGGCTGCGAGCATTCTCTGGGTAGCAGTAGTGAAGTGACTGTGATGGATATTTCAGAGACGATTGTTGAGGCCAGGAGCAAGACAAGGTGCCCTTGAGTCCCTGCTTATTTGCGTCTTATCAGTAGTATCGCGATGCCTGTCGCAAGAGAGGGGGACTTTCGCTTAGTCAGGTCGGTGACGTCCACTCCGCTCAGGCATTCTGTCCCTCATTGCAGCCTCAGGCCACAAACAGACAAACCAGGCAAACCACGGGGTTCCAGTACATTCCAACAGGTGAATGCGGAACAAGACGCTGCAGAGCGAGCTACTCTTCCCACACCCTGCCCACGCTAACTTCTTCATCGCTTCTTAAGATTCTTCTCTTTTCTTCATCTCCCACTTTCCCCGCTTTACGTCCCAGATTCTTTTTCTACAGCCAACATGTCCAACACCGTGCACCCCGAAGGTAAGTTGTGGTCAGCTCGACTTCCCCGCTCTAGCCCCAAACACTCGGCCATGCACAATTTGCAACGCATTGCGACGCCAGTTCCAGTTCCCCTTAGTCCAGATATACTATGACCTCGCTCAATTCACATTTGATCGATCCTCGAACCGTATCGCTAACTGAAGGTGTTTCTGGATTTTCAGTTACATGGGCTCAGCGCTCCTCCGACTCCGAGCCGGAGCGGAACTACCTCTACGTTAACCTCAAGACCCCCGACGTCCCCAAGGCCGATGCTAAGCTGAGCATCACTCCTACCAATGTCTCTTTCACCGGTGCCTCTGGCAAGGGTGTCACATACTCCGTCTCCCTCGACCTTTACGCCGAGATCGACCCCGAGAACAGCAAGGTCAACCACACCGACCGTGAGGTTGAGTTGGTCCTGCGCAAGAAGGAGCTCAAGCTCGAGTACTGGCCCCGTCTCCTCAAGGACTCTAAGAAGGTCCATTTCCTGAAGACCGACTTCGACAAGGTAAGCTTTTTTTTTTTTTTATTTTTTTCTATTTTGCCTTGTCCTGGTGTTGGTGGGGGCGGGATGACGCTCAGCTCACTAACTGGGATACAGTGGGTCGATGAGGACGAGCAGGACGAGGCTGCCGAGGATGACTATGCCAACAACTTCGGTGGCTTCGGCGGTGACGAGGGTGGTGGTCTGAGCAACATTGACTTCTCCAAGCTCGGCGGCATGGGTGGTGCCGGTGGCATGCCCGACCTGAGCGCCCTTGCCGGTGCTGCAGGCGGCGTTCCGGGTGCCGAGGGCGATGAGGAGGAGGACGTAAGTGGTTTCTCCGCATGCTAGCGCTTTGACAGATTTTGGTACTAAATTTGGAACAACAGGATGAGCTTCCCGAGCTCGAGGAGGCCGATGGCAAGTCCAAGATCCAGGAGGTTTCTTAAATTTTTTGAGCTGTTACTACCCTTTTCTACGGAATCTTTGATGACCAAAAATGAAAAAATCTGGGAGCTGCTGATGCGCCTGCGAAGCGATATGCCGGAGCTTTACTGGATTCTTGCTGGGGAAACCCCCCTTTGTTAGTAGAGCCAAGCAACACAGCTCAGCTTGTTGAGCGAGATTATACCTCGTTGGCATGCTTGACCCACGAGGAATGATTTTAGGGAGCCCTTTGATGAATGAATGCAGTGGTTATCAACGTTACCTAAATTGAGTAAAGAAGCCCTAGAGAACACACACGGTCATGGTTCGATGTGTCATATACGTAAAACACACTTCTGCCAGGCAATCTATCATACACTGCTCTATAGAATTGCCACCAAGATCCCCAGTATACCTTAATGACTCTTTGCCCGTTATTGTTACCATCTAAGCAGTAAGGACTGGGGCATCGCTGGTCAGCCGCATGGTCAGCAAGAGCCTCGTTAGTTAAGAACATGGTGATGACGCAACGTGTCGCTCCTCGGCCAAACACAGCACGGGAATCGGCAACAAAGTGGTAGATTGAAAGGACTATTGCTAGACCACCTGATTTTATTACAAATATTCGAGAATCTCATTATTCAAATAGCAGTTTCCTTGGTTTTCTAGCGTGTAGTCGAGCCTACTGTCGACCGCTTGGGTATACTTGGCGGGCAACGGGCGGTCATTGGTTGATCAAAGATTGTGCCGCCACACTCACCCCTCGAATTTGTGGAGGGCTTCATCTTTCAACTCTTTCTCTCTCAGCCCTACCTTTCCAACCTCGCTCTAATTTCCTCCCCACCCTCTTCAAAAAATCCCCGTCCACCATCCGGGAATTCCCTGTCTTTCTTTCAGGTTGCATCAGCGTTCTTTTCTCTCGCCTCGACTCAACCATCCCCGCCATCGGGCCCATCTCACATTTTTATCCCACCTCGAGCCTGTCCGGCGTGACCGACCACAACCGCCGACATGCCGCCCAAGAAGGCCGATGCGCCTAAGAAAAAGCAGTCCACTGTCGCGGACAAGGTATGTCATATCTTCTATCGGAGAAATTCGCATAGGCTAGCCTGCTAACCCTTCAATCTCCCGAACAGACTTTTGGCATGAAGAACGTACGTCAATTCCCGGAACGCCTTTTCGCGCACCGAAAAGCACCCCGCCTCCCAAACAACAATCACTAATCTCGAGCAACAGAAAAAAGGTGGTGCCGCCAAGAAACAGATCCAGCAGATGCAGGCCATGGCCAAGTCCAACAAGGATCCCGATGCCAAGCGCAAAGAAGCCGAGAAGGAAAAGCGCGAGGCAGAGAAGAGGGCCGCCGAGTTGGCAAAGAAGGAGGCTGCAGAACTGTTCAAGCCCGTTCAAGCGCAGAAGGTACCCTTCGGTGTTGACCCGAAGACCGTGCTGTGCATGTTCCACAAGAAGGGTGGCTGTGAGAAGGGCAAGAAGTGCAAGTTCAGTCACGATTTGAACATTGAGCGCAAGGCTGCCAAAAAGGATCTTTACACCGACTCGCGTGACGGCGAAGAAGGCGAGGAGAAGAAGAAGGCCGATACTATGGACAACTGGGACGAGGAGAAGCTGCGTAGTGTTGTGATGAGCAAGCACGGTAACCCACGGACGACGACCGATAAGGTGTGCAAGTACTTTATCGAAGCGGTCGAGAACCAGAAGTATGGTTGGTTCTGGGTCTGTCCGAACGGAGGTGATAAGTGCATGTATAAGCACAGCTTGCCGCCAGGGTATGTGGTTCCCTTGGTGCCCTCTACGGTGGTGAATTCTCGAGTACTAACGCCTTGGGACAGATTCGTTCTCAAGACTAAGGAGCAGAAGGCTGCTGAAAAGGCCCTGATGGACAAGTCGCCCTTGAACACGCTTACCTTGGAAGATTGGCTGGAGTCGGAGCGACACAAGCTGACTGGCACCTTGACGCCAGTCAACCCAGAGACCTTTGCCAAATGGAAGAAGGAGCGCTTAGACAAGAAGGCCGCCGAGGCGGAGGCACAGAAGGCCAAGGAGGCCACGGGTCGTGCGATGTTCGAGAGCGGTGACTGGAAAGACGAGGAGGAAAGCAGCGAGGACGAGGATGAGGAGGAGGACGATGTCTGGAACTTGGTGGCCCTGCGGAATGAGACCGAGAGGATGCGTGAGCAAAATGAGGAGGAGCGAGTGGCCAAGCTCACCGGGGTGGAAACCCCTCTATCAAATGATGATGCTATTGCACAGGAGGCTGCTGGTTGAGCCCCCTGATATCTCCTGCGAAATTAGTTTCGTGGGACTCTAGGATCTGTTTCCCTTCAGGTCTCCCAGGAGTCGACTTCACTAGTATGATTCCTCAGTCCAATGGGATCAGATATCCATGACGAAGGATCGCTGCTACGGCGTGTCGCCCGTTCCTGCATCTTGAGATGTACAGACGGACGTTCGCTCTGAGTGACCTCGTGCTCCTAGAGGCCCGGCCTATTCCCTGGCTCAATTCTCTTTTTCTAAATCGGGTATTTGAACGATCCGAAATGTCGATAGACAAGGTGAAGAATTAGATGTTAGTAAAAGGTGGCAGGGTTCTGGAGGATCCTGTATTTATGAGACGGAAGATTTAACGACTGATATCATTACATGGCAGCTTTTTGCTTTTGGTAGCAAAAAGTCCGTTCATTCCCAGTATTGTTCAATTTCTATAGCAAACGTTTCCTACCTGCTCGCAACCCTTCATTGAAGCAAATCACTGGTGCTTGCTTGTTTTGTTCAAGGTCTACAAACTCGAACAATATCGTGACAGCTACGATTTCTGTCAAGCACTCACAATCCAATTTGGTGGATAATACTTTTTTATTCGACTTTGATTGTCGTTACTCTGCAGTTTGGCCCGGAACTGGTGCAACCACCTACACCTTTGGATAGTCGTGTATTTTACAATACGTCTTAGGTACCATCCGTGTATTTTATCTGAAACTGTACATATCACATCCAGACCGTAGGTTCTGTCAGACACAGCCCCTTGCCCATAAATTCCATTATCGAGCTCACAGCTTCTCTCATGGACATCTAGGATTCTAGGAGAGCAAGACATCCAGCCGGAGATAAATAACAAACCGACAGCCGAGCCTCGCCGACAGACCAATGGAACAATTCCTTCTTGATAACGCTGCGCGACATCAAATGCTTGTCCAGAGGTTTAAGCCACCCCGCCAGAAGACCCAATCCAAGTCTGAGGCCTCCCCTTCCAACATCACTGTCGCTACTCGCATTCGACCCATATCCGACGAGGAGCTATTGTCTGGACAAGTTGTTGCTGTTTTTCCTCGGCTTGACAGTAGCGGAGTCGTTGATCTGCATGAGCTGCGGCGTGTTGTGAGGGGCTTTCCCCCCTTAAATGTCAGTACTTCTTCCCTCCCCAGATCTGATTTGCATTCGACCTTTATGTAGCATTGTGAAAGCAACACTTGGTCAGAGAACTAACGACGATCTCACTAGTCCTCCTCATTTCAACCTGGTAGAGTCTTTAGTGCAGATGACAAGACTGACACGATCTACGAAGACGTAGTGCACTCACTCATTCCCTGGGCCTGGGATGGTAACGTGGGAACACTATTCGCCTACGGGCAAACGGGATCGGGGAAGACATTCACTGTCCGTGGTCTAGAGCAACTAGTTGCGAGATCAATTTTTGATGGGGAATTGGAAGGTGAACGGAATGTCTACGTTGCTATGTTCGAACTTGCCGGAAACTCAGCATATGGTAACTCCACCGTTGAATATTGATTCCTAATCAGCCAGAAACTGACCGTATCGCCCTTTTAGACCTCTTGAATTCTCGCGCACCTTTCTCAATCCTGGAGGACCACCTCGGCACGACCCAGTTGGTCGGTATTCAAGAATTTAGCGTACGAAGCACCGCCGAACTACTTGCTCTGTCTGAGAAGGCAAATGAACTGCGACAATCAGCGCCGACAGTCAAGAACGACGGCTCTTCTCGATCGCACGCAATATGCCGCATCCGAATCGAGAGACCCTCACACGAGTCAGCAGAAGGTGGGATCCTATACTTGATTGACCTCGCTGGCTCAGAGGCAGCGCGCGATATATTTTCACACTCGACAGAGCGGTTGAAGGAAACACGCGAGATAAATATGAGTCTATCAGTACTCAAGGATTGCATCCGAGGCGTGGCCGATATGGAGAAGAGAAACCCTTCAAAGAAAGCGTACATCCCTTTTCGTCAGAGCACACTAACCAAGGTTCTAAAGCATTTATTTGACCCGTCGGAGAGCCGCCAATGCCGGACTACAGTTGTCGCCTGCATCAATCCTAGTTTCCTTGATACAGGAGCAAGCAAGAACACGATGCGCTATGCGGAGATGCTTTGTAAGTCTTAGTTAGCTCGGAACTGAACGCTGTATTGTCATTCTTCTGAGCTTTTTGGATGCCATACTTTGAATCAATGTTCTGTATTTTCTTCTGTTCTTGGCCCTTCTTGGCTTTCTTCGATGAATATACGCCGTGTTTTCCCGTATAACCCAGCGTATAAAGAAGTAAACGATCCATAGATGATCTAAATACGTTATCAGTGCGGGCATTTGGAAGTATCAAGCAAGCCTCCATAGCCACCTAGCTGAATAGTTGATAAAGGACCCCTGGTTCAGTGCTGTTAAATTCCATTTACTCTGCGACTCTTGGCCATCGCCCATACAATTATGTACGAGACATTGCTTTCTATTTTAGTGAAAATCTTGCAAGCCGTGGTGTTGAGAATGATGCAGGGATATTGATATCCCGGATCATACCTAATATACACTAGTGGTTCTTGGTAGCGGGGCTAGAAAGTCACATAAAGAGTGTAGAAGGTCGCACTAGTTTTATAACGGACTGTACCAAACATCAACTGTTCAATCCAAGTCCCTGCCTAACTACATATCTCCTGTCACGCACTAATTCTATATCTCAACCCTATTTACCTTCATATCCAATCGCCGCAGGCTTATCAGTAGCACTCTCATCACTATCAAACTTCTCACCCGAGTCCTCGTGCACTATACTTTCGCGATGAACGCTCTCCCGACGAATAGCTTCCTCGAGGTATTCCGGCTTGAGCTGACCGTGTTTATCATAGCGGTAGGGCTCCTTGATAGAGATTGACACAACATCGAAGATGTTCGAAGACTTCTTGAAGATAGCATCCATTTCCTCCAGGGAACGGTAGCGGGTTTCGGGGAAGAAGAAGTATACGGCTGGGAACATGAAGAAGTTACTGTTATGTAGTTAGTCAAGTCGAGTGGAGAGTCCAGGTTGGGAGGGGGACGGCAAATTGATTATCTTACATCACGGCAAAAATGATATAGGTTTTGTACTTGATGCTGTCGAATGCGACTGGGGTGACCATCACGACCATGAAGTTGAATATCCAGTTGGCACTAGTGAGAAGGCTGTTAGACCATACTCCAAGACTCTGATAGAGCGTTCTTGATTTGACTCACCTAGTGGCCAGTGCATTTGTGGGAGCACGAATACGGAGTGGGACAATCTCTGCAGGATACAGCCATGTCATACCAAGCCAGCCAATGGCAAAGAACGTGTTGAAGACAAAGAGGAACACTGCTTGGCCAACACCGGCACCGCTCTCATTATAGTGAGTCAGGCGATAGTTCGTACCGGCGAGAATAGCCATGGAAATTGACATGCCAGCAGCCTAGACGTCAAGTTCTGATTAGCAAATCATCTCCATGCAAGTGCGAGAGACAAAAGTAACTTACTCCGAAAAGCATCAGTGGCCGACGTCCGACCTTTTCGATAATAAAAATGGGAATAAAGGAGGCCATGAAATATTCAGTGCCGTTGCAGGCAGCCAATAGCTTGGGAAGGTTACCTTCTCCAAGGCCGATTTGCTTATACAACGAGGGTGCCTGAATTCGTTGCGTTAGTTGAAGCCTCGAGAGACGGTATTTTCAACGGACTCACATAGTACGTAATCAGATTGATACCGGAGATTTGCTGGAACATCTGGTTGACGTAGGCAAGAACAACACGGTGGAACTCGCGATACTCGCTCATCTTGAACAGACTTCTAAACGAGCCTTTGTTCATTTCTTTGACCGTTTCTTGAATGGCGATGAGTTCGTTCACGATGTAGGGGTCATCTCGGGGCTTCTCGTTCAAGGCTTCGAGGATCTCCAGAGCCTCGTCTTCTCGGCCCTGCATCACAAGCCAGCGAGGGGACTCGGGCAAATGAAGGATAGAGAAGAAGATTACAATTGCGAAGAGGATTTGGAATGCTAGGGGGAAACGCCATGCCACCTCCAATTCGCCGATAAAGGAGAAGCCTATTTCGGATGATCAGCCACGTATATGATACTTTGTGCAATGACGGGGCACTTACCGTAATTGATCCAGTAGCTAAGACAAATGCCTCCGGTAATAAGCGAACCTTCGATCATGACCATCTTGCCGCGATCGTGTGCCTTTGATGATTCTGACTGCCATGTTGGAACTGTACTCGTGTTCAAACCATTGCCAATACCCGTGACAATACGAGCAATAATAAATTGAGGCAATTGGAAAGATGTAGACTGCAGTAATGCTCCAGTAGCCATAGTCATACATCCACACAGAATAGTCTTGCGTCGACCAAGCGGATTACCGATGAAGATACATAAGATAGAACCGACGAAACATCCTAAATTGTAGGATGCAACTGCGATACCTTGGTTCGTAGAGCGTTGGGATCGTACGGCATCTGAGACCGTTTGATCGAGATTGTCGATATCAGGAAAATACTTGATGAAGGACGGCAGGTCTAGTAGACCACCCGTAATACCTTGATCATAACCGAAAAGCCTTTGGTAAGTACGAGTTAGCTATTAGGTTCCACACTATAAGCGCCACTAGTGTCTCCAAGTAAGAACAGTCAAGAGAGTCATACAGGAAATCAAGACTTCCGAGGGAACTGATGGCCAAGTTTAAAGACCGGCCCCGGAAACCAAAGAACCTCGGAATACCAAACATCACGTCTTAGAAGCGTAAAGAAGTGAAAATCGATCGAAGCATCGAAAACCGTAAAAATTGAGGACATGATAGTCGACAGATTATATAGCATCCGAATTTCTCCAGTCTACCTCCGGATTAACAGAAAGGGTAACCCGAGCTGTTCGGCCTCTACGAGGGACTGTAAATGGGGCCAGCCAAGATACGGGGAAAAGACGTGTGTGGCGGGGGACTTGAGAGATTTAGGGAATTCCAGGCCACGGTCATCAGAATTTGGGGGCGGACCATCCGTCCAAATGTAACTGGTTCAGTGACTCTCAACGACGCACGAAACATCTTGGCAATCGTATGGAAATAACGGGATGGTGATATAGCATCGCCGGGCGAGGGGCATGGAATATCTTGGCAGCGGCATGGCACTCCTTGGCGTCTGCCTCGAAGGAACGGGCTAATGCACTGGCCTTTTGAGATTCCCTTCCGTACTTTGCCGAAGGAGTTCCATATAGTAAGAAGAGTCGGAAATTACCATGTAAAAGCTCCACTTGTGTCCATCGCTTGCAATGAGGATTCCACTCCAGGGAACAAACCTGGAGAAACAGTGTGGGTCCAAGGCATCTAACGTTGGCCCAATATCTTCGGGCAAAAGGATAAGACCATCTCATGATGGCGATATCGCATCAATTACAATAGCTCAAATAAGTACCCCGAGTCCAATGTCAAAACAAAATAAACATGGTGGTAGATATGCGCGAAAATGCCATGCCGCACGTGGATTCGAGCGATTGAGCCAGCCAAGACTTTACAATGCAAGCCCTGGCAAGCCTCCCCTCGATCAGACACACGGGAGGCCGTGCAGAGGACGCCTTTTCTTGGCTGTTCCAGGGTGGCTTGCCTTGGCTGACCTCACAGAAACCGAGAGCCAGGAAAACACTTACCAAGCAACTACTACCCAACGTTGACTGCTCCGGGTAAATGTGTAAACTGGACGCACCCTGGAGGTTCTTTTCCGCTTTCGGTATTACTGCTAGATGGTTTGAGCAAATAACATGATAACTACGGGGTTCCGGACTCTATCCATCAGGAAAGACCACCAGTCATAAACATTTCCGAGGATCAGCCCACATTGACATAGCGAGCCTCACTAGGTGAGGCTGAGCTAGAATATCCTTGTCAAAGCAAATGGAGCGATGGAAAGACACAGCGATTCGTTTTGAGACCTCATAATTGCCTTGAGTTTATTATGAACTGCCTCCGAGAGTAGAATATTAGAAGGGCATATGGATACGCACTACCTCGTTGGTCTTATCATATATAGCTAGGTCTAATATTCATCATGTGTATAACAGGCGATTGTAGAAATAAGATACAGCATATAGTCCCTATCGATGGGAAACGCGCTTGTTGCATGCTTCACTGAGTTATGAACTTGAATGTCGGTCTCATTACGGATATTTATATGGTCTTAGGTTTGAATGTTTTCTGACCTTCTCTCACAAGGGAACTTAATGCAACGCTTAATATGACAACTGTGAAACAAACCCAGTTCACTCAGAGTTTTAGAATGACTGAGATTTTTTTGGGTAGAAAACCTTGAGATCTATGGTGGAGATCCCAGCCATCATCTTGCTCGTTTCTTCCAAGCCTTTTTGGGAGGTTTCTGGCAAACATAAAATGCCCCATAATAGACCTAAAAACGCAACGACAAAGAAGAACCAGAATGTCCCCTTTGGCTGGAGTGCGTCCTCTAACATCATTGTCGGGAGAGCCTTGATTTTTCTCATCAGATTTAGCTCGAGATAAAAAAGAAAAGAAAGAATCAGCCTCACCTTGATTAAAGCAAACCTATTAGCGTAATGAATGCACATCAAGAGGCTTACGCCAAGAGTCCGGACTGGTGTTGGAAGAATTTCGGCGTTGATCAGGTACTGGATGGAGTTCCAACCTAAAGCATAGCCTATCCCTGTCACATAAATTGAAACAATAGCGCCGATAGCTGCTCGATATGCATTTGCTGACTGGGGATTGCCCTGGTCGTCCCAGATTGTGATGAAGATTGCAACGTAGAGCAGGGCCAGGAGTTGAAGCGTGACCCCGGTCAACAGGGTTCGCTTTCTTCCAACTTGGTCTATAAAGAAAACCGCACTTATGACTGCAGCCAATAGCTTAACGATTCCAAAAATTGCCGTTTTTAACAGCTTTTGCGAATCCCCCTCCACGCTCAGCAAGGCGAAAAATTTGGGCGCGTAAGCTTTTATTTATGTGAGCTTCTCCGTTTAGCCCGGTGCCCAGGATGCGTGGACTTACTTGTAATGGCATTAGTTCCCGACCACTGACTTAGGAGTTGTGCAGAGATCAAGAAAAGCAGACGCGATAGATTAGCAGACTGCCCAAACAGCTGTCTCCATGGCTCCAGTCTCGTCCAGTGTGATTTCCTGTCAGTCAGTGCAGTCACTTGCTCGTCTTCCAAAATTTGCAGCTCTCCCAAGACCAGTGAGTCATTGGGGTTCATTTTCCACAATTGGGCCAGATCATGGGTAGCTTGTTCTTTGCGGCCTTTTTGGACCGAAAATCTAGGGCTCTCCACACACCCAAGCGAGAAAAGGAGTAAAGTGCATGCCATCATAAGCTGACTAGATTCTGGAAGGATCCATTGGACGTTATTGTGATCAGATATGTGATGTGCAGCAGCATAGCCCGCGAAATACTAAGGCAATCAAGTTCAGTTAACTCAGCAGTCCTATCATGCATCAATATCGTTGTGAAAACTCACTCCAATCACAACACCGATATACTCTGACGAGGCAAAAATGCCCACCAAAAGGCCACGGGAGGACTTGGGAGCCACCTCGGCAAGGTAAACAGGTCCAATAATACCGGCCTGGCCGACTCCTAGCCCCATGATAAAGCGACCGGCCATAAGCTGGGGTAGATTACCTGCTGATGTGATAAATATCACTGTGCCAACAATCCAAACCATACACATTTGGCGCATTGTCCATAGTGGTCCAATCCAGTCAGAGGTGAAAAAGGCAAAAAAGGCTCCAGGCAAGCTGCCAAGGTGAAGCATAGATGTGATATTGGAGAGTTCGTTCGCTCTACCTGCCGTACTCAAACTTTTTGAGTCAAGGCGGTACTCTTTGATGAAGGACGGGAGCTCAACAATCGTTGCGATCAACCCTTCATCTAACCCTTTGGCGGAGCCTAGGAGACCAAAAGCCACTGCGGCACAGACAAAAGGAACACTGACATATCTCGACATAATCCAGGTTTAAAAGAAAAGCCTTGGGAGAGGAGAAGTCCAATGATTTCACCGTGCTTTTGTTTCATTCGAAGAATAATAGCGAACTCTCCAAATAAATCCTAATTTCTGCTCAAGTAGAGCCTGATTTTCCGATCGAATCTTGTGTCCACACGCTCCGAAGGTCCCCAGCCATGCTCCCGAGTACAATCATTCATAGATTTGTAATAGGAGGTAAGCCAGAACGGCTCGTTGATAATATGTAATTTCTTTCGCTCACGCAAGCCCTATGCTTTTGAAAACATTCGATTGAAGTGTCAAACACCCGACCTCTTTGCAATAGCTCAACAGTATGAGTATCAAGTAAATCTACTTGCACAAGGCTCTAGAACTCAGTAGTATCGTACCCTTGCAAAGATGATTTAATTTAGACCTGGCTGAGCTCTCACTAAAATTGTGAAATGTTCACTAGGCCCGGAACCCGTTGAATGGAACAGGGCCACCAACAAATCCATATTTGCAGCAGTCAGCATCTAAGTCAGATATGACCAATGACAATGGTTACAGTTGGGTGCTCGCCTGTCAAATCCAATTAAAATTCAAGACTCGTTCCGTTTGTGGTCTACAGCCAAATATGTCGTAACAGTATAGTGCTTAATTTTGGATAACCTTTTGAATGCGAGTTAATTCGAATAGAACCAAAGATGATTTCGCTGGTTTTCGTCGTTGAAGGTGAGATTTGTAACAATACCTCACACCTGTGCTCAGGTCTGTTTCATTTCGAGAGGCTAGTTCTCGATCGCTGGCGTCCAAGTCACTCGAAGATTGAACGTGCCGCCTTACCCGTGTGCTTATGAACGAACTTTGGACTCTCCGCTTTCGCAGGCCCCATAAGGAAATCTTGTTGGGTGATGATCGCATTGCTGTTGAATTGTGTATGTGGGTCATGATCCGGCATCATAAAAACAGGTATAACCGTAACACAGAGTCACGATGACAACTGCATATCATTACCTGTCTGTGGATCGGCTCGAAATAGGCTAATCGATGGAAACGAGTTTTACTATTCTCGTCTAAAAATCGAGCCTATTTGACTTTCGATGGCCTGCGTGGTCGGCGAGCTCAATAATACTATCTTCAAGCATGAGGGGCAGCTTCAGAATCACCATGGGCTTCCAAAATCCTACTTTTAAGTTCACTTGTCTGTAGGGCGCTTTTCAAATGCTTTGTGTTCCATATTAAGCCACCTTCCTTTTTGAGGCGGAGAACATTCTGAATGTAAGTTACAACACAAGCGTTTAGGTGGCTTCTCTGGTTGACCCTTCGGATTTCCGCTGGCTTCTACCAGCAAGTCCGAAGAAGACCTCCTAGCAAACCGAGACTTTTTCCCGGTTATGTTGTTGCCTGCCATTTGCAGAACTTTTGCCCCTTGTTTTGGGGATTTGGACCCACAACGCCCCACAACCATCTCGGTAGGGCTGAACATGGACGAAAAGTTTCATGAGAGGTCAAGGCCGATTATCTTTGTTCCTTTGGTCGGCTAGACGGCGATTTCAATACTCTTCGGTAGTTTGTGCTACTTTGGCATTGTCCGAGAGAGACCGTGCTAAAGTAACTGCCCAGAGTCTGTGGACCCAAGTCGCCTCGAATTGGCCGAGGGTTTTTGACGTCGTGAAAGGTGAATGGTACTCCGAAATATCCTGGATATTCATCCGGAGGATGATTTTTACCCGGCTCCTATTGGTTGATTGGACCAATCTTACCAATTTCTTAGGGCCCCGACATTCAGTAATAAAATTTCGGTTAGAGTTCTTTGTAAATCTAGATTGAATCTGTATATAATTCCTATAGTTTCCTCCTTGAAGTTCTTCTCAGATAACATAGAGAAGCATGAGGCTACAGCATACCGTGATGTATATTATAGCTGAGACAGATATCATCGGTCAGTCACTCGTCGACGTAACGCTGTGCATGAGGGGATTAAGTGAAACAGGAAGGTAGAGTGTGGTCTCCGGCTACCGGCACTAGCCCGCTACTCGCCCACATCGCTTTTAGCGCATTAAGTGTGCCCCATCTGTAAGGCTTGTCTGATGATATAGCTGGCCCCACTGAAGTTAAGAAGCAAATTACTTTTGTCACATGATTTACTTCTGGCAACAACTGCGACCTTCTACTGCAAAGACATACTCAGGGATCACCAGGAGGCTTGATTTAGCAAGAGCCATGATGAGTAAGCTTAAGGCGTGAGAGGCAGGAATGCCTTGATATATGATGCAAAGTTTTTCTTAATTCCCTAGGGTTCTGTAATTCCCCGCAGATTAGAGTTTAAGGCTAGGCGATGAGGTAGGAGGTATTAAGCACATGAAAGATGGCAAATACTGTGAGAAATTTTGTAGCTAAAAGCTACTTAGGCAACAGTATAAAATCCGTTCTATCTGCTTGGGATCTATGCTAGACCAAATTAATAAAGACCATGCGATAAGATTGTATAATACCGTGCTTCTTAGACAGGGAAAAGCTAATCTACGAGCAGCGAATGAGAAGAAACGCTAAAGACGAACATGAGCAAGCCGACAGATAGCAGAAGAAGGTATCATATGGGTTGAAAAGGGCTGATTGCCTCTCAATGGCTAGGTGTGCTAGTTAAAGGTCAAGGATATGTGTCGTATGCGTAGGGTGACTTCCCCATCGAGCAAGATGAGTCATGCTAGAGAGCTCCGCCTTTATGTAGTTGATATGGGAAGACCAGGAATACTACTAATCAAGTTCAAAATCGTCAGTTTAGAGTATTCAATTGTGTCGGTTGAGATGTCCTGATTTCAAATTTTCCACTGAAGGCCGGTGTCCAGGACGAGTGATGGATTACGTGGCACAGTCGATGTCTCCGATATAGGCCTCGCTCGGTACCAAAATCAAGTTACAGAGCCATTCAGTCGTCCTCTCAACGGAACAATCGGCACGTATTCCATATTTAACTCATTATTGCATATCAAGTCGCTTGCGTCATTGCGTCCCGTAGATTATAAAACTGTCCTTATGGGACCTGGAAATTGCCTAAACGCCAGCCAGGTAACAACGTCCACCAAACACAATCATGTCTTCTCATACACTTTCTCTTCTCGAGGCCAAACCTTACTACAGCAGTGAACTTGGCTCCCTCCGAGCAGTGACTGCCGAGCAGCTTCCCATTCTCAAAAACCTTTCTATCAAAAGAGTGGTCCTTGCGCCGTCTGCAATTCGGGAGCCCCACTGGCATTCAAATGCAAACGAGCTAGCATACTGCTTGCGTGGAAAAGTGATGGTCAGCATTCTTGACTCGGGTAATGTATTCGCAAATTTTGTCATTGAAGCGGGTCAAATGTTCCACATCGAATCCGGCTCGTTGCATCACTTCGAGAACATTTGCGATGAAGAGGCGGAGATCATTATCTGTTTCCGTCATGAAAAGCCCACGGACTTCGCCCTGTCTGCCTCGATGGGAGCTATGACAGATGGTGTCCTGGGCAACACGTACGGCCACCATTCTTCTGAGTGGGCAAAAATCAACCGACACACCCACCCGAAGTACATTGTTCGCCGCAATAACAAGCCTACAATTCCATCCACGGCTTATCTGCCAGATCCACATAAGTTTGAGGTTGAGGAGATGAATCCGCCCGTTTCATCGGAATTTGGATCCAACAGAACTGCGCGCAATCAGTTCTGGCCAGCTCTTCACAATATGTCGATGTACTCACTTCGAATCGAGGATACTGGCATGAGAGAGGCACACTGGCATCCAGAAACGTCGGAGCTCGGTTATGTTGCTGAGGGCGAAGCCCGTATGACCATCCTGGATCCAGATGGATCCACTGATACGTATTACCTGAAGCAAGGCGATATGTATTACGTTCCAACAGCGTACCCTCACCAGATTGAGGTGATTGGATCTGAGAGAATGCATTTCTTGATTTTCTTTGATCAGCCCTACCCTAAGGATGTTGGATACCGGACCTCTGCTACAGCGCTGCCCCGCGAGACGTTAGCGTCTACATTGGAAGTAGCGGAGAAGGATCTCCCTAAATTTCCTCTCACTGTTAAGGATCCCCTAATTGTCGAGAAGAAAAATCCTGTGGATAATTTGCGACCGAAGTTGTGAGGCGTTGGTATTTAAGGTGTTCTTTTTTACATGTATGTGTACGTGTGTGGCGATTGAGGGCGAACTGCATTTAACTAGAGGCCGCGACATAGATACTATCGAAGAACATCCCACGCATACCGGGAGAAATTCATGACGGATAAATTGTAGATAGCTTGATTGGCATTGATTACCATTTTTTTAAGCGTGACCCCTAATCAAATCCAATATAAAGCCTTCCTTCATCCATTGTTCCTTTGGTAATAATATCTCAATTCGTTTCAGAACACTATCTGCACCCTGTTATATCAACATATCTGAGCATTAAGCGCGTATTTAATGCTCCTCTGTCTTCAAAAATATTCAGATTTTGAAATTCGCAATCAAATCTGACCTTTTTCCTATGACTTCGTCTCAGATAAGGCTTTTCATTTCATACTCGCCGTAACCCTAATACAGACGAGCTTGAAGGAAGGCGACTTTTTGGTTTTTGGTTTGGCCTCCTGTTGCTCATATTGCTCTCTGGGGCAATGATTTCCAATTCTCAGTCTCTTCTCTCCACAAACTTCATTCTCACTAGTTTTGTTCCAAGTCCGGCATGGCAGAGATCTCGGCGGCCTGGCTGGAGATGGCCGCAGAGTAGCCCACCGTCCTTCCCGAAAGGATCGGCGCCGAACAGGACGACGAGGCCCAGGAAGATGGAAAATCTGCTTGCCTCATGGAAAAAAGGAAATTGGCAGACGAAAGACGAATTTGGACCCTAGAGAGCCAGAAAAGATTGCGCTGCCTAGCAGCCCCTGCTGAAGGCGTTCGCTTGGTCACCACTGGACCTACTGAGTGGCCTTCTGGCAAAAAACGCTATCACCAATTTACAAACGATAATCAAGCCTGAGTCGACCCACTTTTCAAATCATATTTTGCCATAATATCTAGAGTTCCCTTGGCAATTCCGTTTGACCATCACAGAGCGCGGCAGCAGCCATCTTGGTCAACCGGCACTCTCCTCGTCAGGGTGGCCCACATTGTATGGACAAAAGATTGTGCACGGACCACCTGCATAGTAAAAAGGTGCCCCAGGAAAATTTTCTGTACACTTTAAGGAATGCTCACCAAATTCCCACCCAAATGAGGTCGGAGAGTATACATGGAAAGGTAGTGGGGGCATGACTAGATAAACAAATACTCTATCCCCAAGCCGCAAAATCTACCAATGGCACCGGCAATCTATCTACAAAGTTGCCTTAGCCTGGACCCGCAATAGTCCACTTTCCAACATCAAAGCCGTCGCATCCTCCGCAACACCCCGGGACAGTTCGAATCCACGGCCACCGGCGCCATAGGCGTGCACGATATTCTTCCCGTCGCCGATTTGCTCCACCTCGATCCGCATCCCGCCTTCTCGGGCGGGTCGGCGCCCCACGATGTCGCGGATGACATCGAATTTGCCCCCGCTCTCCGAGGTGAAGGGGAACCATTTCGAGGCGTTGCTGAGGAGTTGGGTTCGGATTTCTGGTGATGGGTTCGGGTCCCAGTCGTGGGGTTGTTTCGTGCCGCCGATGACTGTGCCGCCGTCTAGGGGGCGCGGAATGCAGAAGGACCAGGTTCCGTCTTTGTTTTGGCGGGTGATCGTTTTAGAGACGGGGTTGCGAACCAGACAGGTTTGGCCTTGGTCAGATATTAGTTGTGGACTTGAATGACTGATAGTATTGCGAGCAGAGTGGAGCCGATATCCAACGGCATTTTCAGGTGAGAAGCTTACCTCGGATTATAAAGGATTTCGGGTCCCCGAACCCAGTGCCGGAGCAATTTACCACCGTTTTCACATTATCGGCGAGAGCGAATGCCTCATCAATATTCACCAGTGTGTATTCCTGGGTTCTCCCCCCCTTCACGACGAACTTGCGCAGCATGTGTGCGCAATATACAGGCGAATTGATCACGTATGTACCATATTCAACTCCCCATTTCACACCCGCAGGGACCTCTTCGGCCTTAAGAGGACGAAAGTCCTCAAAATGGTAGACATTAGACACGCTCTGGCTGTCCAAGTAGTCGGGCGGCGGTGCTTCCAAGTGCTCAATGCCTTGGATGAATTTAATACCAGCCGCTGGCTCCTCGGTAGCGATTTTCTTAAGGTAATTGAAAGTTCGCTGTGCTTGACTGGCTTCTCGCAGAGCCTGTGGTGAAGATCCGGGCACTGGACGATAATGCGCTCCGGCCCATGGCGAGGCGTAGTTGATGGAGGTGTCCGATGGAAAGTCCCTGGCTACGAGAAGCACGGACTGTGTGCTACTCAAATGTTCTTGGATTGACAGCGCAGTCGAGAGACCAATTACTCCTGCTCTGTTCAAATTGTTAGACTTCTGGGCTAGTGTGTTGCAGTATGTCTCTGCCGATGTGGTGGTGTACTTACCCTATCACGACGATGGTTTCTGTGCCGGACATGACTTGGGGGATGATCGCAAAGACGATGAGAGCAGCTGTAGGTAGTGGATGCCAGGATTTCAGGAGTCCGTCAGCTCCTTTTAGAATGTTGGTTCGGAGTGAGGCTCTGCTCCACCGAGTCGAGTGAGTCGAGTGAGTCGAGTGAGTCGAGATTGTAGTCGGGGAAATGACAAGACCCCGCGATCAGATGATAAGCGGCCGTGGTGGCTGTGGTGGGACATCGCTTGAGATGACCAGAATCGGATGGACGAGTCTGCCTGGTGAGTCGCAAGAGGACGAAAGGGTGAAGGCTGAATGATTTGAAGCCATACCGAGCGATTAGAAAGCCAGATAATATTGAGCAATTGCCTCGTAGCTTCTAGCTATAGCTTTGCTATATACCATGCACTCCAGACTGGTGATCACCTGCTCCTCGGTCCCTCCGCAGCTCCGCCGACCGCCGGCCCGCTCTCGGATCTTTCTTCCCGACACCTGCAACTCTTCTCACCTGATCAGATCAACACCGCGCATCTTACGACAAATTACATTTGTTTGTGCGGCCTCCAACATCTGGCAATTGCCGTCATCCAAGCTCGATTGGAAAACTATCCGTGTAGATTTTGCCCGTCGAGACTGTCACAGGGGCCCCAAGCTCCTGCGAGGAACGCCCGATCTATGTGCCTCGTGTGCATGAAAAAAAGCGGCCTCCCCGGCTTGAAGCACCCACAGGTCACATCACAAACCTTTCCAAAGCAGCCGGATTCGGAGAGATTTCATGCGATCAACGGAGAGCCACAAGAAAAAACATTAACTCAATTCCTCATTGACCAATTCGACGACAGAAACAACTATGAAACTCGGAGGACTCGAACAGTCTTGCGAATTCCCCGTTCTTTAACGGCTCTCGAAGCCATCCTATAGGCCCACCGACTGGCCTCATCAGGGACCACTCGCCTCACTACTTTTTCCCTTTCCCTCTTTTTCCCTCCTATCCCGGGGGGAGAGTGAAATCATGCACTTCGGGGATCTGATTGGCTGCACCGATGTGCTGCAGGCGCCGAGGGATCAGCAGTGACGAGATGTGATTGGTGGGCGAGGTGACGAAGGTGCAGATTGACACTCCTGCACGCCTGCACGGATCCCCATCACATCGTGTCTCAGAACACAACATGCTTTGCGACTTGACCGTTCACGGTGTCCTGCAGCCTTCGGCCAAAGGACCCTCGTGGAAGGATGGAAGCAAGTCACTTTCTATAACGCCTTTTCCTTGCGGGTCACGGATAGCCCATCCCATTTACGGATTTGCAACTATCTTTACTCCGTACAGGCTTTGGTTTGATCTATACATCCACGACTTACGTAGACTGCTGACGGGAGCTCAGATAGATCACGGACAACCCCGGCCATGGATCGACCTCCCGTTTCTCCGCTTTACTAACTCTGTATCATTTTCTTATCCAGATGCGCCCGCCTAGCAGAGACCCACATTTATTTTGGCCTTGAGCATAATGATGGTTTCCCGTCTGTGATTCGGGAGCCTCCTGCATCGATCTAAGCCCGTAACTTCTTCTACAGCCGCGTTTCTGTATGCTCGTTGGTGCAGGCCCGTACGACCAGAGCCACGCCGCCCCCAGCCACCAAAAAGGCTCGAACTCACCGTCTCCGCTAATGATGTGATGCTCTGCTGGTCTCCGATCCTGGAACTATGGAAACACGGGGCGGTGGAGTACCCGGTCACGCTCTTCTAGCGCACTGTATGGTCGGTCGTGAAATGAAGCGCCCTGCTACCTTTGCCTACTGCTGGCCCGGCGTCAACCCCGATTGCTCCATGGCTCGAAATTCTGATCGGCTGTCTGCGCCCCTCTCCCTTTTTGAGGGACATGAGACTTAGCTTGATTCCCGCAGTAAACCACTAGACGGTCTCTCTCCCCCTGTCCTACCGTACAAGCGGATATCCATATCCTGGCCGGGGCAGGGTAGCGCCGGCCTTTATATATCGCGTATAGATATACATATGGCGCTGACGGCCCCTTCACACCCACCCCTGTTCCTACCCACCCCGCGCCTTGTCACAAACTTAAGCCCCTCCACCACGCTAGAGCTTCCGGATGTGATGAAAGTGGACAAGCGAGCCCTTTCCCCCCCAAAGTTCACTATCCCTGTCATCCTTCTGCGTCTCTGATAATTTCGGACTGCACCTTCTCCCACATCTAATATTCAACAACCCTCCGATCGGTCTGCAAAACCCGACTGCGCCAGTCTCGTCAACCCGCATATAGTGTCCCCGGGCACACTGTCGATAGTCACTATTATAATCTCAAGCCTGCATCACTGCGTCGCTATTGCCAGCCACGCTGCATCGCTTTGCTGGCTAGCCTGTAAGGCACTAACCTCTTGGAGTTTCCTCACCCCAAATGCCTGGCGCTACCCTGTCGCTTTGCATTCCTGTGCGTTGAGCGGTACTCAGGGTCGTGGAAATCGATTAGTAACCTCCCCCCTGGTCCAAGTCGATCAGGTCAGTGACTTTATTTCTCTCTCTACTTTATTCCTAATCCTGGTGGGCTCTGTGGTGAAAAGTTCCAGAGCAACATTTCGCTGGATCGTGGAGACGTCAGATCCGGCAGGCAAGCGGTGCGGAGAAAGCATCGTCTTGGCTCACCACTCCATTCTCGGCCTTGTCAGATTGCGTAGCCAAAAGCACACTTACAATGTCGACTAACGCAATGTGGAGCAGGAGTCTGGTGTCAGAATCGCGACCTTCAAAGTCCGTCAAAGCAATGGCACCACAGTCGCAGGTCCCGGAGTCCCGCTTCGAGCCTTGCGCTTCCACGGCCTCGTTATTCCTCTATGCTCAGGGTTCAGTGATTCTATGTTTGCACCATGATACGTTGGCCGTGGAACGTCGCTTTACTAGTCACCAGGATAATATCGATTTCATCTCGGTGGATAATGTGAGCGAGCGCGGTGCGGGGAGGCTGGTTGTCAGTTACGACGTAGGCCAAACTGCGATTGTATGGGACATTTTTACGGGTACCGAGATCGCACGATTTGCATCATTCGAGCATCTGAGAGTCGCATCGTGGATGCGCAATGGAAATGTTGCATTTGGTACGAATAAATGAGCCGAAGGGATCGGGTGTTTCAAACTGGATTACTGACACGGCTATTATCAGGCAACGGTAAAGGCGAGGTAATTCTTTTTGAACCCCCAACATCAGAACATATCTCAGCGCGCACGATATTCGACCCAATTACGGCTCTTGCGCCAGCGACAGATTGTCGCACATATGCGATTGGGTATGTGTCGACTCCCCGATTTCGAGGAATCAACCGTGTTAACGTACCTCGCAGTTACCAGAATGGATCTATCTTGATCGCAAATCTTCTTCCACAATTTACTATCCTTCATACCTTGACTACTTCTCGTGGACCATCGCCAATAATCTCTCTAGCATGGCATGCATCGTCATCAAAACAGAAATCAGACATGTTGGCGACGCAGGCTTCCGATGGTGATCTACGAGTTTGGAGTGTAGCAAAACCACCAGGAAAAGAAGCACCAAGGGTTATTCGAGTGCTTAAAAGATCCGATTCGACATCTTCAGATCCAAAGTGGATGGCGTGGTCCAAAAATGGAAGAATTGTGCAATATCTGGAGGGGTAGGTGATCAAATATTCAAACTAAGGCTCCTTTTACTGATTTTGAGTTACTTAGGGAAACGTGGTCTTGGGATGTTCGAACAAAGCACGTAACGTATGAGCCAATTCCTACGATTCAGGGTGTAAGAGGCATGGCGAGCTATGGTCCGACGGCAACTCTTTTCACAATTGGTCCTCAGGATACAGTACAACAGTACGACCTGGAAACTTCAGCTATGGTTGCCAACGTTCAACACCTTGCAGTTGGGTCACGATCAACGGCATCTGAAGGAAGCCGTTCAAGAACAATGTCTCCACGCCTGCTACAAGATCCCCCCGACATTCGAGAGAAAGGGACCGGGAGACGGACCCCATTTGAGACGAATGGTGTGGAGAGTGCGAAGCAAGCGAGAGCGGACCTGATTAGCCCTGCGTCTTCGAGAAGCCGGACGGAATCTGTCAGCTCGAAAGCATCATCCGGGAAGTATAAGATGGAACGGCCCTTCTCACCACCGAGTCGATCTGCCCAGAGTGGCACGTCATTCTCCATGAGCGGCCGAGATACCCCACAACCTTCGGCCTCTTATGCTTACGCATCTTCCATCTCCATGTCGTCCGCGAAGAGCTCTCGTGCTGGATCTCGACTTCGGAACGAAGTTCACCTGAGTCCCGCTGAACGAAATATAGTCGATCTCTTTCCTTTTACACGTGCACGATTGAACGATGTACCATATAGACAGACGCCGCCTCTCGATGAGACTCATCTGACCCCAGATGATCTACGACAACAGATGCTTAGTGTAGTGTTCGGGTGGGATGGTGATATTCAAGATTTGTTGAGAGACGAGCGTAAGTCTACAGTCATTTATCTGTCGATACGCGCTAACGGAATTCATAGTGAGCCGCCACAAGGAAGGAAGCCAGAGCGCTATTTTACTAACCCGGTGGTTGAACGAGAATGACTCTGATCAGATGGCAGCAATGCTCGGACCTGGCCAAGTGACGATAGCAGACTGGATGATATTGGCGATGAGTCAAATGAGCGGACAGACACAGGCGAACAAGGTCGGACAAGCTTTTGTGCAAAAATTGCTCGAGATTGGAGACATTCATACGGCCGCCTCCATTCTCCTCGGAATCGGTGATTGCAACGATGCAATTGAGGTTTACGTCTCTCGAAATCATTTCATGGAAGCTATTCTCATGACTTGTCTCCTGATGCCTGCGGACTGGCAACGCCAATCATATCTCGTTCGACGCTGGGGAGAATACGTGGTATCTCATTCCCAGCAGCAGCTCGCCATCCGCTGTTTCATGTGCACTGGTGCTGAACCGACTGAACCATGGACGTCACCAGCTGCTCAACAAGCTGCCTCTTTTGCGGAAATGATCCGAGGAAAGTCACCATTGGCATCTCCCGGGCCAACACAACCTCTCGGTGCAAGTCTCATCCCACCGCCAAACCGGCCAAAGTCTGGATCAGGCCAACGACCCGCTGGGAAGACTCCTGCGTTGAAACTCATTACATCCTTTGACCATCAACCGAATCAGCGTTTCCGATTCCCTGGACTGAAGTCTGATGATCGCACACCCACCAATGCTCCTGGTGTTACGCCAATCGCAGAGTCTGCCGTTGCTGACTCGGCCTTGTCTCCTGGTGGCTTTGGATCATATAAGCTCAACAACATCCAGAGCCTGAGTCAGGCAATGACTTCTCGAACAAATACCCCCGCCTTCAATCGTCGTCGCTTACCCTCTATCGGAGAGACTCCAGTTGATGTACATCCGCCAGCATTCTCACGAAACCACTCCTACAACACGAGTAATTACGGTTCGACTTCGGAGAATGACGATGCGAGTGGGCATGAGCAAAGCCAGGATGAGAAACCCGCAGACAGCGGTTTGTTGACGCTGTCTTCGGCACGGTATAATCCATCCCAGGATAATCTGTCCATAAAACCCAGCCCTCAAACCGCCGTTCAAGCTGCCCCCGATCATTTCGCTTCCCTTAAGGGACTACCATCCCCAGCACCAGGCTTTATCGAAGCATTAAGAGAGCATTCTGATATCCGGAATGGCTCACGGGATCGAAATCCAAACGGATTGCAGATTGACCTTGTGCAGACCGAAGAGGTTCCACTCAACTCTCAAGGACTCTTGCCTAGCGCGAAAAGCACGACTTCAACTCTGAACAGCTACACCTCAGCCAAGAGCCCCAGTGTGAGTGGCCGCAGTATCGACCAGTATATCAGCAGTCTCGACGAGGCAAACTATCACGCCAGAAAATCAAATGGCCGTCATACACCTGGTCGCGGTCGACGGAATACGGATGAAACAAGTAGTCAACAGGGCACTCGCGTGCATAATTCCCGCGAGGTATCTCAGGAAACTCGTGGCCGTAATGAGAGGCGGTATATTCAGCCTGCTAAGCGATCACCTTCGTCACCGGTACCCATGTCACCCGAGGAATTGGCTCGATACCACAATGGAGAAGCTGAAAAGCCGCGGGAACCACGCAAAAAGGGATCTTCCCGCGCTAGAAGCGGAAGCAAGATGAGAAAGGCCGGATCGCGAAGCCGACAGCGTTCGTCCAGCCGGCACACGGCAAACCACCATGGAGGAGATAAAGCAGACCCATCTTCTCGGGGCCGCAGTGTTGACCGTACAGGATCTGCGGTCAGATCACCGTCCTCGCCTTTGCCCATGTCTCTGCCCACTCAAGGAGTTCCTGGTTCAGATGATGCAGAGGACCCGCTTCGACTTGTCTCTGGGGATCGGGAGCGCCTGCGTTCCCGCCACCGTAGTGCTAGCCGTCGCCGGGCAGAGCGGGGAGCCAGTTCAAAGCGAGACGCATCACCAGATTCCAGACACAGGCCTTCTTACAGTGTGCCCGAGGTTCTACAGGTACCCGAGCCAGAGATTGCCGTCCCTACTGGCGGGCTCGAGCAACTGAGTGCTAAGGTGTTTGGCCAAGAGAATTTGTTCCTCAATGGAAGCACCCATAAACCAGAGCCGGTATTTGATGATGCCCAAGAGATGGTTTCTCCAACCACGCCTTTCGTTAGCCTGGCTGAAAAGAAGAGAAGAGAGCTTGCAGCTGCCGAACTTGAAGCTCGTCGTCTTTCTCTTGCTCGCAATCCGTCTGCCCCGAATATCCCATTCCCTGGCGAGCTACACTATGCCCGAAGTCCTGTGGAAGGCCCTCCTCAGACCTCTGGATCGTACTTCCCCCGGGCCCCGTCTCGAAACAAGATTCCTCCCAGCAAGAACTCTCCAGAATACCAGAGCAGCTCAGACTCGAGCTCTTCTCGTTCCGGTGTTCCTCTTGGGTTACCCGCGACGCCGAGAGCGATGAGACACCCCAAGTACGGTGCCAATGGACATGAAGAAGAGCGACCTCCTTCGGTTCCGACTATCCCAACGGATTACTCGAACGGTCTCCTCCTCTCCGATGACCGGTATCAAGGCGAGGCCGAGAGAATTGGGCGCTCAATGTCCGTCCCTGTGGTAGAAGCCCAAGCTAACCACGCCTCCTTTCCATCTGATATCCCCATGCATCCGAGATTCAATCCCAATCTCCCACGCAGCCGCTCTAGCAGCCGCAGCCGAAACATGGGCCACCGACGCACCAGTTCTGGGGGTTACGCCTCAGGTACATCACCGCATGTAACGATTAGCATCGAGGAGACAATCGAGAATGCCATGCAACGAAGACCCTCAGGCGTAGGAGTTGAAATGATTCCACCTCCTCCACCACCACCCATTCTCCCGGAACTGCAGCATCTCAACACACCCCCACCTCCACCTCCAATCCCGCTCTCTAACGAAGCAACCTCGCCCCGAGAGTCGTCTGCCACGATCGATATCGCCATTGACCACGTCAACATGGGCCGCTTGCTTCCTCGCGCTATGACAGCTGCGCCGGCCTTGAGTGGGCCTGATACTCGCCAGAATGCGACCCGGCGCATGTCCTTCGAGCACCGGCGAAATCGAAGCTCTAACGAGAGTTTCGCGAACAAGTTGCGCAGTCTGACTCGGATGCGGAGCAATAGTCGCAGCGTGGAGCCGTGGGGAAATACTGAGGCTGAATGGCCGTATGAGCCTTTACCGGTGTCGAACGGTCAGAGCAATGGTTTCTAAGTGGTATCTCGGTTCTTTTCCATTCAGATCACTTTGTTTTGTTTTGCTGTCATTTTTGGAGTTTATGTTCATCACCCTGACTCACGTCTCTCCGTTGTTTTGTTTGTACTTCATTTCGTTCCATGATCTCTTGACATTATTGATGTTTGTTTAGCGAACTACCCAGTTTTGCTCCCAATTACCCATACCTTCCCCCTCTTATACCCCCTATCCTCGCCCTTCTGTCATGGTTATTATCGAGTCTTTCTTGTCTTTTACTTCTTGCAGCCATTTTTTGAATTTGCACTAGCCTCTCCTATCACTTTGGCCGTATAGATGACACGAATCTCCTACTTGTCAAGTCTCACGACCACGTCTCCTTTATCAAGACCGCGGGCCATACTCATGGCTCAGCGATTGCTGCCTTAATCAGCCTGCAAAGGCCAATGAAAATGTCAGGTGTCATTTGTCTCCAAGTCTTCAGAGTAGCGAGTCAATACTCGATGGTAAAATTTGTAGATAAGGTGGTTATTGTACATGAGAAAAGGGTAGATAGCTCCAATTGACAAGATCATAATCACCAGCCCCGGTTCTGAGGCGACCCACTACTAGACACATTCCTCTCTGCTTCCATCATGCGATCGAAATCAGCCTGCGCCTGCTCTTTCTCGCGGCTTCTATCCGAGTCGTATTGGTCTCTATCCCCGGCGGGTGTATAACTCGGTGAATTCGGAGAATCCTGCTGCTGACCCCATTGCGGCCTAGGCTGTTGGGACGGCGGAGCCCGCGAACTTTGTCCTGCGTTTTGTCGACGCAGACGACCCCAGGCACTCCCGGCAGGCGAACCATCGGGGTTCGTATACCGGTACTCCGGAGCTGTGGGGCTGGCATCGTCGTCCTTGCCATCGAGGAAGAAATCAGAGTCCGCAGAAGACTGGCCGGATGCTCCCTGTTGGGAGGCGACTTGACCACCGTAGCCCCACGACCTGCGTGGAGCTTCCGCCACAGGGCGCTCACGACCAGCCGAGCCAGTCTGCTGGTCGTTCTCCGGGGTGCTGTATGTCATGTCGCTACCGGAGGGTGTGCTCTCGTACGCGTAAGAGTCTTGATCGCTTTGCTCCGGGTGGGAACCGGGATGTTGCAGTTCCTCGACAATGTAGCCCTCAATATCCTTCTCGCCACCGCGCATGCGACGGGCGCGCTCGCTAGCAGCCTTGAGCTTGCGTTGTCGGACTTCCTCCGGCTTTTGGCCTCTCATGTCCTCCACAAAGCCCCTCAATCGGGGATCCACAATCACATTCGTGGTCTCTGAGTATAGGGCAGTGAATCCGGAAACAATTGCACCCGTTGTCGTGATAAAGAGCATTTTAAAAGCGGATGCAGCGATCATGGACCGGAATCCGGCTTTATCGACCCGGGCCTGATTGCGTAGGATGGCGAAAAGTGAGGCCGGGCTGGCATTTGGCGGCAAACCAGCATCCTTGCGTACTTTATAGTAAAGATATGCCGTTCCCAGGAAAGACGAAATAGGCACACCCATACGCCGGTAGTACAGAGTCCGCGTCGAGTAGGTAGTGAACGCGTCCAACTCGTCCTGTGTGAGAGAGCGGCCCGTCAGAAGCCACGAGTTCTCAACGCGCTCCATCATCGTGTATGCCACACTTCGCTCCCAGTTCCTGCGCCCGAAGAATCCAAACATCATCGTGAACAGGTCAGGCTTTACCACTAGCTCCGGCCGCACCTGCAAGTGGAAGTTGCGGGCCATTGCGGGGTTGGGGCCCAGCGATTGTTCGGTTTGGGGGTTGGCTCGGGCATGATTGTCGGGGTAGGCCCTTGCCTGTGGTGAGGCATCGTCAACGGCCATGGCGAGATTCCTCGATACGGTCGTGGTTTGGATAGAAGGAGCTTTGCGAAGTTAAGCTCTTTGTGAGATCGGGAAGCTCCAGTCGCATGACGTTATGCGCTGACTCAGCGGGTTGTTAGTAAGCATTCTAGCGATTTCCCAGTTGGGAATTTGTCGGAACAATACTAAAAATGTTGCTCATGGAGCATTTTTGGTTTAGCGGTAAAATGCCCCAGATTTGTTGCGACAGAGTTATACTCGTATAGTGCCATGTATCGATCAGCTTGCAGTAGGAGAACACACGATTATCCATTCATTTACAACTCTAATAACTTGTATTGTTTGGAGGCCATCATCGCCGTGAACTAGCTCGCCTTGTTGTCTCCAAAATCCTTCGGCAACTCAGGACCCCAAACAGACAGTGGGCCAACCGGCTCTCTGCGAGTCACATTTTCCTGATTTACTACATCCCCATCGGCATAATGTTCAATTTTGAACTTGGAGCTATCATACCAGTAATCAAAGATCTGGCTCCCCAGAATGTGCCTTCCCACACCCCAGACACTCTTCCATCCCTTCTTAGCGAGATAGTGATGGCCCATCAACTGCGTATCAAAATCGTCCACCTCGAACGAAGTGTGGTGGACGTACGTTTCTCGAACTGTCGGCGAAGCGCGCTGCAGGAAGAGCGTATGATGGTCCGTAAACTCCTTGCCCAAATCAAGATGCATGAACGTCATGACATCCAACTGAGGAAACTGCGGGAGGTATAGAATGTCTGAATGGACGAAATTGAAGTTGGTAGTGTAAAATGCCAACTCTGATTCGAATTCCTTGCACACATATCCATAGTGTCCAAGCTTGTGCACCAGAGCAGGTCCATCATGATATCTCTGAAACTGCCCTTTTCGCGGCTTTTCAAAGGGTGTGTTGAATGGACCCTGAAAGTCATGCGTCGCAGTTGGTATATCCTTGCCGTTTAGATCGCGCTCCGTCTGACCGTATATAACATGAAAATAGGTTCCGTTTGAGCGCGCAAACGTGATCGTCTCGCCACCGCCGGGGGCATCATCTAACGAGTTGCGTGTAGCTCCTGGTATCTTTGCAGCCTTGTTGAAGTTTTCCAGATCTTTTGCAACGAAAGCAGCCCCCATAAAACGTGATTTCCGTGTAGTGCTTTGACTCGCCACGTAGATGTAGGGGTCTTTGCCGTATCCGCGGTAGTAGATGGTTTTTCCCTTGCGCTCGGCCTCTATGAAGCCAAAATCTTTAGCAAACCTGCTGAACGCTTCCAAATCATAGTGCTCAAAGTAGACGTGAGCTATGCGGCTCAGCTGGACCTTGGACGGGTCATTCTGCACGGTTGGGATTCTCGATGGAGGTAGTATCCAGTCCTGCCATTTCTGAGGAAGAAGTGCAATCACGTCAAGCACTGAGAGAGACATTTCTTGCTTTCCGGACTTCTGAGGGGTTGAGTAGATGAATAGTGACAAGCGAACAGGTACTATAAAGAAAATTTTGTGGAATTTTTAGGAGACGTGCCGCGAGTCGTTCTTTATGAATCCCATTTGATGTGTACCTCTACGTATAGACCTCGGTCTCGATTGAGCTACTCAGTTTCTCTGGTGATCCAGTCCTTTGTTTCTGACGCTCGGAAGATCTACAAACTTACCTAGCGGAGAATCTCCGGTCCAGGCATGAAGTATCAACCCCTTTACATCTGCGGAATAGTCCGGATCTTCCTCTAAACTTTGACTAAGCTTCTGCCGAAACTTCTGCGGAGCAAGATCTTCCGCGGAGGAACCTTGGGTATATCCGAGAACACTCGGGCAGCCACAAGTCCCCCGACAGAAAAGGCAATTTTGCGTTCATGCCCCGGTTATTGAACTGGGAAACTTTAATTTCCATCTATAATAACCCGTACAAAACCTGGCTTGTTCAAATTCCGCTTGTTCCCAAGGTCGCATTATTGGGATTATTGTGCTCAGAGGTTCAGAATGGACACTTTCAAATACCTTTTCCAATTTGAGACCGACGGTCGGGAGAGATTCTGGGCAAAATGTGATACACCTGAGCCCGTTCTCGGAGTATCGGTTACTGCATACCCGTCCTTTGAGGACTTGGTGGGAAACAGACATCCAACGACCGCGATTGTAGCAAAGGTATGACTGCCGTCATATAAGACATCCTTTGAATTCGAAGCTGATTCCATTTTTTGATAGCTGCTTCCACCCCTTCCCAATATGGACCTGCCGATTTACTGTGTCGGGCTCAATTATAGGAGCCACGCAAAAGAAGCCAATGTACGATACTCTATATATGCCAGCTAGCGATCTATACTCTAACACCGTATCAGCTATCTATCCCTGCACATCCTCCAGTATGGACCAAGCCAGCAGCAGCATTGTCCGCTCCGAATGAGAGCATTCCTGTCAGTCGATTCTGTGCCTCGCATCTTCCAGATTGGGAGGTAAGTCTCAACACACTGGCCAGATAAACCGGATTAGCTATTGACAAAGGAATTATAGGGTGAACTTGTATTCGTAACTTCGCGTGAGTGCCGTGATGTTACACCCGAGGAAGCTTCATCATACATCCTTGGATATACTGTCGGCAACGACCTTTCGTGCCGCTTCTTTCAGCTCCCTGAGCAGTCCGGTGGCCAATTCTTCTACGCAAAGGCTTTTGACAAGTTTGCTCCCATAGGGCCAGCTCTTGCGAGCCCGGATACTTTCAATAATGGGAAATCAACCGCAACTTTGGTAACACGCATCAATGGAGAAGTAAAGCAAAACACCATCATCCAGAATGATATGGTCTATACTCCTGAGCAGGTACTGAGCTGGATGAGTCAAAGTGAGTCTGAAATGCCGGTTATTCTTGTTTTGCCAGCTTCCAGGGTTTAACACACATTGCAGGCACCACTGTCCCGGCACACACGGTGGTGATGAGTGGAACCCCGGCTGGAGTCGGGGTTTTCCAGAAGCCGCGTCAACTCCTGAGAGATGGTGATGAAATTGAAATCGAGATATCCGGACTGGGTATACTGAGGAATAAAGTCAGTTTTGAGGAGGGCAAGGATTCCATGATGTAAGAATTTGCTACTTTGTTCCTAGAGCCCTAAGTCGCAGGCCTAGGTCTGCGTCTCAGGTGATGAGGCTGAATACTCATTTAGATACCATTGAATTGGTGGCTTAGATCCCTAATTTGGGAGCTGGTGAAAGCAAAAATCTGGTATAGATTTAGTCTTTGGCTGATTTGACCTTCTGCTGAGATTTTATGATTGACTATGTCAGCTAAGATCTCTCTTCATATTCGCCGTGGGCATATGAAAGAATATTGAAGAAGCTTTGTACCATTGCTGGCGAATTGGATTTGGGCCAGCTAGTAGCGAAAGAGAACTTTAGATCAACTTTGGTTTTATGTAAAATGATGAGGTGGTGATATGTTAGATAGGAGTCTATATTGAGCTGGCGTTTCTGGAAAAACTATTGACAGTCTGCTAGAACTGTGTTGGCAGATGAGAGAAACTGTAACCATCGAGGATGTAAGGGTGCCTCAAAGCGCGACAATATCAGAGTGATATGGCGATGGGAGAGTGGACCAGATACTGATTGACTAAAGCTCTCAAAGGAAACTGTGTCTCTATTAGTCCAATTAATTCTTAATGAGGGTGCTCTGATAACATACGCTTGAGAAGCCTTGGTAGAGTCCAAATCCTAGCAAAATGCTGCAATTGGAGATGTAGTACGGTGATATGGTGGTCAATATCGGAACTATGGTTGTGCTCCGCCATGATGGTAGCCTTTTTATGAAGATCTAGGAAGATCATAGCTGTGAAGATGGTGAATGAAATTGCTGGGTCGACAGCGAGGCAGAATGAGCTATCCCATTGATCTGCGATAGATGCGATATCCTGAGATGTCTCGAGAACGTTTTGCCAGCTTAGCAACCATTCATCACCTTGTCGTAGACCAGTATCTGCAATTGAGAGGAGTAATTGTGCCATTCGCAGATGAAGGACAGTGATTGTCCGTGCATGGTGATCAGCGTGGGATTCGTCGGAGAATGCATTCCGTCTTGGGTTTAGCCAGCCTGGAGGGAGAGCTAAACGAATTGTAGCGAGTTGTCGTTCGACTTTCGCAACTTGAGCACCTATTGCTTCTTGAGAGCGTGGCAAATTCAAGCGAAAGACGAGTCCGGCCTGGCGCAGGATAGCGGTTGTGATGTTATGAACATTCATTAGCAACGTCTCTGGACTTGAAGAGGCGGCAAGAAGAACTTTGGATAGGTCTTCTGATTTGGGCTGTAAAAAGAGCTCTGAAGAATTGTTGCTTGCACCCGATGGCTGAACTGCGTGGCTTTGAATCAATGAGGTGCATATGACACTGTCATCAACCAAATACGGTGTCCCGGAAGAAATATTAGAATAGGTGTCAAGACGGTAAAGACACCACCAGAGCGACTTCCATTCCTGGATATCCTCAGGACTGACGGTATTCCAGTCAGGGTAGAGCGTGCGGATATGGTCCAGGCGGTCGAGCCCGATACGGTAGGCCATGCGTGTCACTCTACCAACTCGAAGCCAAGCTTGGTGCCCAGGAAACTGGTGAAATTCATAGAATGCCAGAATGAATGCCTTTCGAAATTGATCGAGCGATAGGATATCACCAATCAAATCGTCTTCCAATATACTCGAACTGAGTATTTGATCAAGACATGTGTCTAAAATGATTGGGTCATCTTCGTTTACGGTAAATCCGGTAAGCTTCGCGGTCATGATCAATATCGTTGAAATTAGATCTTCACTGCACTGGCAGCTCCTGTACCGATGTAAGAAAAGCTCTTTAGAGAAGATAGGATTCGCATCTTGAAGAATATCGAAGTAACTCTCAAGGCTAAACCAGGACGTTAGACGAAGTATAGACACTGGGATGAGATGGGAATTAAATACAGATACTCAGCCTGTTCGGGTGTAAATATTATCTGGCTAGCAATGTGGGAGACGTTGGTCGGTGTTTGATTGGCGGTGGTCACAGGGGGCGAGAATCCCAACGGGTCTTGTAGGATATGACCTTCCGAAGCGGGTGCAGCTTCGTCACTGGAAAGGTCCTTCCTTGGAGCCTCCCTTGAAGGGCTATTGCGGCGCTTGTAGGCTGAATGGATCACAATGGCTATCAGCATACCATAGCCAGGCCAGATACTTGTCGGAAGAACTAACGGAAATCTTGGCTACCTGAAGATCTGCGTGACTTTGATGAATTAGATCCGTAGTGGGATCCAATGGAAGGTCCAGGCTTGCGTTTTACTGAAGTATAACTGCACGTCTCTCCTAGCTCAAAACAGCGAGAGCAAGTTGGCCGTGCCTGGTTACCTACTTCAATTCAGCTGGCGGGCCAGAGCCTTGGAATAGCGTAGAAACATACACCTCACCTTCTTACTGCAGTGGATCTTAGCCGGAGCATTCAGCGTGGAGACGGAATAACATACCGAATACACCTGTCGCAAACCCTCAAAGGCATGAGGCTAGAATCCGGACTAGGCATGGCAATTACAGAATAGTGTATGCTTCCTGGGAGGGCTCGCTTTGCCCGGAGGAACTCTGTGGAATGACAAAGGCTCAGAATCTGTTTCTTCAGCGGGTTGCTCAAGATACACACTAATAGTGTGAGATGCAGAAGACAGACTAATTTCTCGGAGGAACTGTAACCTCGGTCAATCTCGATAGCAATGTGCTCGTTGCCCTTCTCGATCGAAGTTGGTGATGTCATGTGTAATTGTGGGGAAGCTCAAGATATCGTGCCTTGATTGGCTCATGAATCCGAGCAATAAGTTCCTCCGCGGAGAATCTTTGCCGCACTACGAATGGGGCTCCATCGAACCGTAACCTTCCTTTGTTAGGTGAGAATATTAGGATAAAATATCTCGTAATAGGAAAAGCAGAGACTGATATGAAGACCGTGGTACGAATGAACATCTATCACAGTCATATTGTTTTGGAGGAGTTACATTCCTCTAGACTCTACAGCTGGGGCCACGAGGCTTGAATAATATGAGATTGCCAGCAAAAACGGCTACCGGTCAAACTATCACAGCGGATCAGTATATCTCCACGACAAGAATGATTCCAAAAATTGCTGTTAGTATCAGGAAAAACACTCGAATTGCCAAGTACTCTGCCAAAGCTCAGAAGATGATGATTGTTGTCCCTGTGGGACTGTCGACTGGGACGGGGCACTTGGGTGGATGGACACTGTGGGGCCGTCTCGTGTGGTTCCAAGGGTAGGGATTCCTTGACTTATGCAGCGCCCAAGTTCCTGCGAGGAATGGTGCAATGATTTGCCTTGTCATATTACAATTTCTTGATAGAGAAGTTCGCTAGATCTTATTTTTAATAGTAATCTAGGTGATGGTAAAATTGGCGCCTCGGCAAATGATCGGCTCCTGGAGCACCGCCCGACCCGATCACTCAACCCCATTAGAAAATTTCGAAATCAATTATCTCCATCAAAACGCATCGAATCTCCTACTACTAGCGATTCTTAAATTGATTGATCTTATGGCCGATCTCTCCACACTCACTGTACCTAGGCGGAGCCCTAGTTCGTGGTGGAATTGCCTGATCAGGCAATTCGCCCTACCCATATGATCCTACCCAATCACCTTCCACTGGCTGAATTAGCTGTTTAACTAGCTATAGGCCTCGATGGTTAACCTCTCCCGTAGGGTATATGCCTAGCCAACTGACCGCGTTTCCTGACGATTCTCTCGTTCGCTGCGCGGAGATTCGCATTATCCTACACTAGTAATGCGGCGCTATATTAGGATAGATAGCTACCCTTAATAATCGGATCACTATGGCGTTGATTAGGTTCGGAGGTTAAGCATATATAGAGTTCTAAACCCAGGACTTCGTTCTCGTTGTCCAGCACTGATCAGCCAATTTTAATTCCACCTCCACTGGCACTGACGACACATCCTGTAATCCATCGTGCGTCCGAACCGCAAAGAAGTCCCACCACATCCGCCACATCATCAGGCTGTCCAAAGCGCGGTATGCTTTGCGAGGGGAAGAACTCATCCTGAAATTGTTGCACTGCTTCAGATCCGCAGTTGACGACGGCTTCCGTCTCGGTCAAGCCGACAGTCACAGCGTTGGCTGTGGTCCCTGCCATGAAGGAATACCTCTCCTCCTTTCCACCAAAAGCCTGGGCCCATGTCCGGCAAAGTGACTCGCCAGCTGATTTGCCTGCGCCGTACATAAGCTGTTCACTCCATGGCTGGCGTGACCGGATAGACGAAATATAAATGATACGACTGTTCGGTTTGAAGTAACGTCGGCGAACAAACTCTTCGACAATCATGACTGGCGTCTGTATATTGCCGAGTAAGCTCCGCTGAACCTCATCGGTGTTCATCTCGCCAATAATGCCAGGATTTGGATCACTAGCGCAGTTGATAAAAATATCCAAGCGACCGTTGAAGGTGTTGTTGATCTCATCGGCAATTGTGCGGGCGCAGGTGGGTGAGAAGATGTCCGCGACGAGGCCTTTAACCCTAAGACTAGCAGGTCTCACTCGCGACGTGGCATCGAAGATATGGCTACTGACCTCATTGTCAAAGATCGATGAAATATTTTTGACACCGATGTCGCTAGTGCAGGTCCCAAGGATGGAACATCCACGAGATGCAAGGTTGAAGGCAATTGCACGGCCAATACTGCGGGATGCACCGCTAATGACAGCGACTTTGTCAAGGAGATCAAGTTCTCGAACACGAGACGGCTTTGGAAGTGTAGGCATGACAGGCATAATAAGTGCTCCGCGTTTGGTTCAAATGTTTATGAAATGTGAAGAGGTAGTATGTAACTGTATTCGCGGTCAATCTGCAATATTTGAACATTAGCTTGATGTCAACTAGACTTTGCACAGATACAGAATGAAGTTGGCAATTGAAAATCTCAGTAGACCTTGTATAATCAAATAAGACACCCCACTTAAGCAAAAGGGTGTGATCATTTCGGCGACTGAAGGATTGGATACCATCATAGAAAATTGTTGTTGAAGGGGTAGTCGTCTTACCTAGTTTTTGGCAGGAAACATTTGATTGATGAAGAGTGCGAAAAGGGGAGGGCCGCATCAGTTATTATGTGCTTCGTTTACGGTAGCCCACATGAACTAATTCTGCATTTTGGTACCTGTAATCTCAAGCTAGCGTAGCTGCACTATACTACAGGATAGATTTCCAAATATCGAGAATCTCTATGTATCACTTGTTGTCATAACTAGCACCTAATCGCACGCTGACTAGCCAAGTTCGGTGGATCATTATAGAAGAGTGTTAAGTAAAACTCCACAATAACCTTACTTCACTAGACCCACTCCCATCATCAACTACCCTATTTGGATATCAACACGATTACGAATTCCACATGACTCATTTCAGGAAGCGCGCCAGTCTCTGTAGTAGCTTTACTGACCTTGCCAAGTCTTCTCCTTCTAAGTTCCATATTCGCGTTACCGAGCAGCACAGGCTTACGAAGTAAAGGAGTTTTGCTCTGGTACCAAAATTTCTTTCTCCCTTTGGAACGAGCCCCATTGCTCTACTCTCCCTGACAATAAAAGCTCGGTCGAGCGGATGATGAATTGAAGAATCTAGTGCAGGTCTAAGTATGCCTGCCATATAGGATCAAACCGATCAAAAGGTTTTGATCCATCCTCTCCCACATTCGTGGTAAATGGGGGAATTCAAAATGATACTCAAATCTATGTGCCACCGAAACGTAGGGTCATCGAGCGACATTCTAAGAAAATAAGTGGTCTCGAGACATACTGTTGTATAGTATGACTGGTGTAAATTTGGGAAGGCCACTCTGTTTTAGCAGATCTTTGACTGTCAGATAAGTGTAGGCAGTATGGGGAACAAACTCTTGCACTGACACCGTATCTAAGAAATTTCTAGGCGATTCTTGAAGGGATTAAAGGGGAACATTGTAATTCGGCTCGTCTGTGGGCTGTCCTGCACTTCTTCCTTTTCATCCACACCTTCCTCGTCTACGACAAAAAGCTATGCTGCTACAAGAGTAGATTGGCATTGATAAGCTCGTGTGGTCTACTGTTAAAATTCGATCTTGACATCTGGTACGTCTCTACCCGTGTAAGGAGAGTGTCTCAGGATTAATTCATCCGAGCAAGACAGACTATAGTAAAGCTAATTCAAATTGAATAAGACTTATCCATCGAACAAAACTCCAAATCACTTGTTGGGCCTGTTCGGTATAAGACTGTCCGTGCTGATCTAAAACGCTGGAAGAACTGGTAAAACTTTTCTTCCTTTCTCCCAGATTCCTGCTCACTGAATGATTTAGGTATAGGGGTTGCCTCACATGGAATGAACTTTGCGAGGCTCGTGGCAACTTTGGCCTGGGTTAAATAACTTATACTATATTTGTTGGTATCATCCTTATAGGACTGTTGTTACTACGGGAGAATTTGTTCTTTAACTTCGCTCCAACTTGGAGTCCAGAGCTGATTGTCCTTGCTCAAATATCCGCCGCCTTTCACCTAACGCTCATGATAGATATTATCTAAAGCGACACGGGAATGAATTTACCGTAACTTTGCAGGTTTCCTGTCAGCTAGAGGTGGATATATAATGTCTGATTCAACTATTGCCATTTTGACACTGGCTTATAGGGAAGTGATAGCTTTATACTAGCGAGAGGATAGAAAGTGAAGTTCTACATTAGCACGGTCCTTCTACGCGATGTTGAGGGTAGGTAGGAAAATGAAATATAACGCGGATAACACTCGGTATAACTTAGCTAGTTTATGCCATACCGGCCCGTCGCGGTAAACGTTTATTTACCTAAATTAACCAAATCACGAATCCGGTCTAGCTAGCACTCTGTGTCTCAAGATTTTTCATATAGATTTATAAGAGTTGGGCTAAACTAACTATGGTGCCCGGCCCCGGTAGTGAAAAACAGAATAAACGAAAAAAAAGCCGTTCTTACTGTAGTGTGCTAACGCATAGAATATATAAAAAAAATAATTGTCTCTACTTAACCGATTTTCTGGCCAAATGATTAAACGAACAATGTTTGCCCGTTATACATGTCTCCGTTAGACACGTTCGTCTGTTTAGCACTAAATGTCAGCCGGTGTAGGTGTGTGGGTGAATGTGAATGTGTGTATGGTTATGGAAGTGTGTTTTTACCACCGTGTGAGATTGGTGATTAAGATTATCGCAAAACCGACGGTTAAAACAGCGTCAAGGGTAGCCTTTTCAGCGTCAAATGTACCGTAACCTAGTGTTGTGATGTAACATTCAGCCATTAGACGTACTTGGAACTATCTGTTTGCATTCAATTATGGTCCAAGATAAAGAAGCCGAGATACACTCATCCTAGCATTCCATCCCCTACGGCAATCAGCGGCGTAATAACTATTCGTCTACCACTTCTCAATATAAGGTCGCAAATCCAACTCAAAAGCGAAGGTAGTCCGCGGCTGAGTATGCAGATGCCAGTATGAGTCCGCAATCTAAGCCAATCAGTATGCAGTTAAAAGTACTGGCAACTATGTTCAAACTTACAGAATCAGGGCTCAATTTAGCATCTGGGTGGGGCAGAACCCACTGCTTGGTGCGAGGAATGTCGATAATACCATCGATGATAGCATGGGACACATGAATACCCTGCGGTCCAAATTCACGAGCCAGTGACTGAGCCAAGGCTCGAAGAGCGAACTTGCCGCTTGCAAAGGCAGCGAATTGGGCGGAGCCTTTGATACTAGCCGTTGCACCCGTGAAAATGAGAGTTGGTGGGTGAGGAGATATCTCTTTGGCCTTTAGAAGAAGGGGCAAAGAGCGCTGGGCGAAGTAGAATGCGCCTTTCCTATTCATATAATTAGACGATGCAATAGTACCCTCTTGATAGGGAGATAAGACGTACGCCTGAGAGTTAAGCGCCCCTGAATAATCTTCATCCGTCAGTTCCAAAAAGGGCTTTTTCACAAAGCCACCGCCAGGATTGAAGATAGATGCGGCCAACGCATGGTCTGGGAATTGCTTCTCGATCTCATCAAAGGCCGACTTGACACTGTTAGGGTCGGAGACGTCGGTGCTGATACCGATGGCCTTTCCACCGCTTGAATTGATCTCCTGAACAAGGGGCTCAAAGTTACTGGGGGTACGAGAAAGAAGGACGACTGAATATGATTTAGCAAAGCGTCGGGCAATGGAGGCACCCTGCGGGGTTTGTTAGCTTATTGCTATCTCCACTTCCGTGGACCAGAGCGATGGCGTTTACCGTGCCAGGACCGACGCCGGCGATAATTGCAAGTCCCTTTGAAGCCATGTTGTAGAGTTTATCTTGTAAAAATGATTCAAAAGATGTAAATCAAGAATTATCAGACACCGGCAAGGATAATGGCGACTTAAGTAGACCTCTCGGCGTCCCAGCTATGGCCGACGCTTAGAAATGCTGCGGGGATTGATCATCAACCACATGGATGATATCATCTTGAGGGAATGGGACTGGCGCTCGATGTTGACAAACCATCTGATGATAATATCATCCGAGATAAGTTAGTCTTAGTTTTGGATTCCATGCATTCTGTAATTAGACGCAATTACTCTTCTTTCATTGCTCATAGTTTCCACAATGTCTGTAGCAGCATGGATCCACTCTGCTCGAGATCAATCGCCGCCTGAGGCCACTATCGATAAGCCGCGCTCAAATTTCCGGAGCTTCACTTGGATTCAAGTCGCATCTCATCGCTTTTCCAAACAAAATGGACCCCTCTGACCCTCTTCTCAGTGAGCTCTGCTCAATATGGTGAGTGCCATACTCTCTTCAGAATCTTTCCTGACAGACTTCCTGATCTAACCCACCACTCTTCCCAGCCACGTCAACCCCCCAAAATACCGCTGTCCGCGCTGCTCAACACGCACCTGCTCTCTCCCCTGTACACGCCGCCATAAACTCTGGTCGCAATGTTCCGGTGTCCGTGATCCAGCCGCATACCTCAAGCGAAGCGAACTCGCCAGCGAAGCCGCATTTGACAGGGACTTTAACTTTATCACTGGCATTGAGCGCACGCTGGAGCGCGCCGAGCGAGATGTGGAAAATCGGGGGATTGAGTTGGCGCGCGGGCAGGTGGTGCCAGGTGAAGAGGGCCAGGACGAGGCAAGCGCAAGTGCTGCTGCTGGTGCAGGACGGAAGAGGAAGCATCCCACGCAGGGCCTGGTGAAAGGTGAAGCTGCATTCTTGCGTGGCGCGGAGGCTGGTCGGGTGAAGGTTCTTCGGGCGCCGAGGGGGATGTCGAGGAATAAGCAGAATACGTCACGGTGGCATCCTAAGTAAGCTGACATGTCCAAGGTCTACTGATGAGTTGGTATTAATCTGTGGTTCGTTTCTTCAGGCACAAGTGTCTCAGCTGGACGGTGGAATGGATTTCCGCCGCTGGGGAAAAGACTATTCGCAATGCGTTGGAGACATACCCCATCTCCGAGGTATATGACCGGGCTTTCCCACTTCCCAGGGAGGAGCGGCCCAGTACAGAGAAGAAAGAAAAAGAAGTTTCACAGGAGAAGACTGCTGCAGAGCAACCATTAACATCTCCCGCCACCGAGAAGCCCGATGGCTCAGTGCCTCCAGCAACAACTACAGCCACGGAATCCAAAGGCCCAGAATCAACAACCCCAGAAGCAAACGAAACACCCACCGGACAAGCTGAGGAAACAGAACAAAATCTCCCTGTGATCCCACACCGCAATCTCTACTTCTACCTGCACCGCCCAAGAACAACTACCAAAAAACCAGTGCTAGTCCCGCTCCCACCCACCGCAAAACTGGTAGCCGTGCTACATGACCGTACAGTCCTCGAATTCCCCACCATCTACGCGCTCCCAGAGTCCCCTGAGAAAATGCTCGAGTCGAAGGAGACATCTCCGTTTATTCTGGAAGAGGAATATCTTCGGACGGCTGCGCCGGAGGAAGTGGGTGATAGATCTACGGATGGGGAGCAGGAGGGGACGACGGAGGCTGGAGATGGTGCGGGGGGTGTGGATTTAAAGGATGTGGATGAGGAGAAGGTTATGGAAGTCTTGAGGCAGGATTTGTTTGACAGTGTGTGATTATTGGGTATCTATATACAAGGCTGCCGTATAAATGCAATTGATGGCGACGAGGGAAGAGAGGGTCTGTTTCGAAGTGAAGACGTCAGTAATGTACAAGAACTCATTGTAATCGTCTGATGCGGTAAGATTCGAATCCAATGACGGTCTATTCGGCATGATTGTGTTGGGTTACTAGAGTCGGTCTGTCAGTGCTGCATAGGGCTATTTGAATCATGTTTGAAACGAATATCATGAATACAGAGATGATGTCCATATCTGATGCCTACCAGGCGGATCGAAGAGGACCATCGGGTAAATAAGATAGGTATGCCAGATTCGGCAGGTCAAATCTAAAGACGGTGGCCAGGACTGATCGGCCCGAAAGGCGGATACGACGATGGACGAGGTTAGACAAGGTTTCAAAGCACTCGGTCGATGGGACAAGAAGACCTGTGCCATCGAGGAGTTAATCAATTGATCACAATGATCACAACAACTCCACAAAGGACCCAAACAGCCGGGATACCTAAAGACAGCCCAGGGGGTATTGAACTAAATCACACATGAAGATTGACCCGAGAAGATCAATATCAAAAACATAAACTCCAAAAGTAAAACTCCAAAAAAATGCTTCCACCAAATCGCTGCAAGATGCAATATATAATCCCAAGATCCCACAAAATCCCATCAAGTATAATATAAAACTCCAATGCTTAATGCAATGCTTATGTGCATAAACCCAAACCTGAGAATTTGTTGCGTGAGAACCGACGGCAGCGGTACACAAAAGTATATACCTGAAGAGTACTGGTGTTCACCACCTGCACTCTTCTGGTATTCAAGAGGTTGAACTATCTGCGTCAGACGCAGACTCCGGTAAATCCGGAACGGAAGCAGACTTGGTGCTCTCCAGTGAATGGATAGGCTGTGTGGGCACCGTGTTGGGCACGGTAGGCACCACATCTTCCTGAGCGACGGGCTCAGAAGTCTTTCCACCGAATGGATGGCTAGCCTTTGAATCCGTGGGGGACATGTTGAGCTTCTCGGATCGACTAGGCTTAAGCTTCAGACGACCCTGCTCAAGGGCACGCAACACGGTGCCAATGTCTTGGGGGTCGATCGCCCGGAGTTTGCTCATGGCATCGTCCGAGACGTCGGCGAAGGGGTTCCACCCCAACTTGTCGAACTCTTCAGAGGTTGAAGACTTCGACTCAACGGAGGGACCGCCGGTGACCAGGCGGTGTAAGAAAGTGTCGGAGACACTGGGACGTCGGGGAATCTTGACGGGCTTAGATTTGTTGCTGGTGCTTGTAGAAGCCACATCCTCCTGCTGACGCTTTGGAGGACGTGCGGTGATGGGACCATGCGGTCCTTCGCCGACCTCGTTACGAATCTTATAGTATATCAGACCCAGGGTAGCAGCCAGAGCCTGGTGTGCAGCCTCGGGATACCGACGGACAGCTTCCGCGCGAGTGATGCTACAGGAGCCGTCACTGGAGCTGCTGGAATCACTGTCATCGGCAAACATATCGGTAGGATGCATGCGGCACCAATCCTGGTAATCACCCAGTTGGTAGAATTCTGCCAGTTCAATCAAGCGATGGACTAAAGGGGGTAGTGTTGTTAGAATTGGGGTCGGGGGTAAAGCGGACTTATTTTTTTTCATTACTGAAGCTTACCTCGGCTTCGTTTCTTGAGGCACCAGAATCTCCACACGGTACGTGGGAAATACTGGGGCCATTCGAGAGCCCCCTCGTCCGTAATCACCGGGACGGGGCTGATGGGAGCGTGAACCGTATGAGCCAGAGAGTTGAACCGGACACGATCGGCATACTTCATCTGTGATTCAATTGAATCCATGCGCGAGTTCAAAGCATGATATTGACGGGAGATCTTGTGGTCCAGAGTCATCAGATCCGTGCGGAGCTGATTAGAGGCCGTCTGCAATTTGCTGATATCAATCCGCGTGGCACAAGCCTCACCCTTGATCGATTCAATGTCGACTTGCAGCTGGTCAACGGTCTTTTGCAAACGATCCACGTCGCCGCGTAAGTAGACCGTCTCCGTACCGGACTGACCGAGACTCGACTTGAGCTGAAAGATGCTCGTCTTGATCTGATCGACATCCGTGCGCAAAGCCACGACATTGAGATCGATCCGTTGGGAAATGGCGCGGTGGCATTCGAATTCACGGCGAATATGTTCATCTTCACGGTTCCGGCGGTCGACATAGCCCTCTTTCGTCAAAACGGTGGAGCGTAATTCCAAGACACGTGAGTCGAGTTGGTTCATTCGGTCATGCAGATGGATAAGCGAGAGTTCTGAACCCGGTGGGGTGGTGTCGTGTAGAACGGAGAGGCGCGGGCTGGACATGGAGAGCGAAGTGCTGGAGGTACAGGAGTGACTCCTTTCGAGAGTCGTCATAGTGGACATGATGGCTATAGTATAAATCGGGGTGGTCGTTCGTTCTGGATCTGAAATTCAAGAGCATCTAGAGCAGAATATCGTCCATTTTGTCGGTGGGTGAGTATGAGCGTGTATAGGAGAGCGTATAGAGTGCAGGAGCCGTAGGGTAGTGTTGCTACTATTCTGGGGGGAGCCGAAGGGTAAAAAGGGCGACCAAGAAGGGGGGGATCGGGTCGCACAGCCAATTTTTGCCTTTCCGGATTGTCCGTTTCGTACTGGTCTGCAGGTCAGACGCCCGCTTCTTTCACGAGAAAAAGACCGGCCCCGTATGACTTGTCATTGGATTATGACTCTTCCTTCGGCTAGTTTAATTACTATTGGATTCTGATCATGATTCTATCTTTCTCTGAATCATATCGAGTGTTTTCCCCCTTGCCAAAAGACCATGGAGTCGCTCAAATGCTGGAATGATGATAGATTACCAGCAATGACCATACCGATACACAGGCATGCATGCGTTGTGGACTCCTCTTGGCGTGCATTAGCGTGTGCTCAGAGGAATTAGTGCAGGTATTAGCGTGTGTTAGTGCGACGCAGCGCACCCGATATTTCCCAACTGGTCAGCACAGCCCGCGCTTATTGGCCCATAACTCGCTGCTGACCAGTCGACCCGCCCCTTGCCACCGTTCCCAGCCCTATGACCAATCACTCTCCTTGTTCGGGCGCCACCTTGGATCATGGCCCTAGATGCCCCGTGGTGTATTACTCTATAATTGGTTGGTGACATTCGCATCGCCCCGTTCTCACGGTCAAACTTATCAGGCCAGGCTCGCTCAAGACGACGCATTCGGTCTCATGATGACATCGACGTATCTTTCATACCCTCTCGTGACACGAGGCCACCTCTCGGGGTAATCAATCGGCTGAGATGAGGCTGGACTGCTGGAGTGTATGTACTCCATACAGCGACCACGAGAGAAGGACAAAAAAGGAACTCTGTGTAATGATGAATCAGAGTGACTATTCGCATTATTTGCCACAGTGCAGAATGAGCCCAATAAGGAACTACCTTTCTCGAGGACATCAACCGCTAGGGGTGATTCGAGTCACGGGTTTACCAAATCAGGAAGCCATGAAGCCCTAGCTGACGGCCATGGACACGATCGCAACTGCCTCTCAAGTAGCCAGAAAGACTTCCCTCGCACTCTAAGAATGTATCTCGGTCTATTTCTGGGCTTGTATTGGACCCTTCTAGTCTCATATCTTCATTTAGGGGGCCCCAGCTGACCACCATGAAGCCAGGCGCCCTGTCATCGGTCATCTTGGGACTCGCTATAGTCAGCGCCAGCCTGGCGAGTGCATCCAACTCGAATCCTCTTCTGGATGTCTCGGAAAAGCCTCGCCGTAAGAAGGATCCCCGAGCATGCGACTGTTTCACCGTGACTGGTCCAGATCCGGGGTATTTCCAACACTATAAGCTCTGGGACTTTCGCTCCGTTCCATTGGCCAGGCAGGCTCATACGGGCATCTTGAATTCACAGGACGATGAACAAGAGCATTTGGCAGACTGGGATGAGCAAGACCATGAAGGAGACGATGCCGATGGGAACGAACATGGCCACGACGGTGACCAGGATGAGAACAACGACGCTCACACTACAGGAGAACCCGATACTCTCTGGTTCTTCGAAACCGCCTTCGACAAGGACTGGATCAGCCAGAGATGGCAGCGCCCTCGCACTGAAAACGCTCCAATTCCCATGATCAACTCCAAACTCAACGTCTTCTTCACCAGGAACCGGCAAGAGCTGGACGACATCGTGACATACCTGGTCCTCCGCACTACCCGTCACTGGAACTACACGTCGACCGCCGAAATCGAAACCAAAGGCCGCAATATTTTCCACTGCTCGCTTCGCGTCCGACTTCGCATTCTACCGCACAACTTGGTCCTCTCCCAGCCTGAAAACTCTCCGGTGTGGGACAACCAAAGCACTGTGCCGAACACAACTGCCAGTCCGGCAGAGTCCAAACCACACCCCGGTGCCTGCGTCGGCATTTTCACGTATCGCGCCCACAACTGCGAATCGGACATTGAAATCCTAACAAAGGACCCTCCGTACCGAGTACACTACGCCAACCAACCGGATTACGATTGGATCAAAGACGCAATGATCCCTGGCGCAAGCACGATCGTGGATCTCCCCGTGCACTGGACGACGTGGTCGACCCATCGTCTCGACTGGCTGCCGAATATCTCTCGTTGGTGGTTGAACAATAAACTCCAAGACGCCAAAACATATCGCGTGCCTGATCAACCAAGCAGACTGGTGATTAATCTGTGGAGCGACGGCGGCGTGTGGACCGGTGATATGCGAGTCGGCGAAAGTGTTTTTATGGCCATTGAATATATCGAGCTGGCATACAACGTCTCTTCCGGTGGTTCGCGGGGCTTCGAAATCCCCCCATCCGAACGACACGGCGGACATCAAATTCCCTCGGGAAACATCGCCCCATCCGACGTCGACAGCTGGCCAGATGAATCTTGGGAACCAGGAGCGGAAATCATCGATGGGTCTTCAATGAAAAAATGCAAAAAGGGTCGCAAAGGACGGAAGTGCAGAAAGCGTCGCAAGAAGCATGGGAAGAAACCTAAACGCCCTCCTCATAGAGACCCGTCTGCGAGGTGTGATCGTGCTTGTAACATTGATGACCTCCGCTTTGCGAATGGTGGGTTGCGCGGTTGAGGGCTCCACTTATCTTTATGGAGTTTGTCTTGCTAGGTCTCTTGTCTGGAGATGAGCCGCTGAGGCATGGACGTGTATTTTTATAGATCCGAATGGATACTTGGCTTTGCAAGACTGATGAATTGGTGGGTGTCGTGCTCGGCACGCGCCAACGTTATAGATTGTGTAATGGCAGCGTAGTAAAGTCACTACTATAGGTCCAAGGATTGCTTTTCGCATAAACCAGGGTCCGTCTAAATGGTTACCCATGTACCGTGGAAGATGCAAAATTGCTGTCTGGAGTTATGTGGCAGGCGGACGATATATATCGTGGACACGGAATACCGACCCGGTTTATATTCATGGTACCACTAGAAACCTCCGTGACACTACAGCGCTAATTCTAGTTGGAAACGCACCTGACGAATACAAGATAGTACAATAACACTCAGGGTATCTGCAAGCAGCGCGTATATACACTTATACACAGTGGAGTTCCACCAGTCCTAACCCCCAACTAAACTTCTAAATCATCTAATCATTTAGAACTATGTATTCCATTCAAGGCTACCTCATACAAGCTTTTCAACATTATTTTCATCCACCAACAATAATGGGGGGGTATCATTCGAGTTTCGTTCAGACCATTAAATAACAAACGCAGAAACAGTAACAATGGCCCCAAAAACATCTGAACCCTTGGAAAAAAATTCTTCCTGGTTGACCGTTGACCGTTGACTGTTCCTCCAACCCATTTCTAAATTCGCCATGTTGAAATCGCCATGTGCGCCGGGAAAGATGTAGATAAAAGTCCGCAAAAATTGGAAAACGCCTGGGTGATGACGATGCATATGCTGAAGTATTGGTATATGAGGGAGTTGACCCCTCAATAATAATATTCGGAAGGGTCACTCGAGGAACTGGGGCAGTAAGTTCCCAGCTTTGCAGTTTTCCCATCAGGTACGCTGTGAGCGTTTCGAAAAAGTCCTTTTCGCAGCATTGCGTCAAAGCAAAGTTTGGCCCATTTTATCGACGGGACAGAATGGACCATGTAACCCGCCATTCATGAGCTCTGCAACGATTTTCATTCGCAAGTCAACCGTATCACTGGCCCCAAATGCCGTGGGTTCAATCCCAAGAGCGATAGCTTTGGCATTAACGAGAAGGAACACGCCGCAGTCGCTCATGTTGTCCTGTTGAGAAGAAACTGAGGGTAAGAAAGTCCATTCTTCCGGGTCAAACTTGTCTCCTAGTTCCCCGTGAAGCCACTTTTTGATAACCTCTACCTCCCGCGCACCCCGAGCGCCTAGTGAATCGAAGTATTCGATTGTCCGGTCCATTGGCCGTACAACCATCAGAGTCCAGTGACTCGCCTGATGCACAGGAATAAAAACAGTGTCGACATCCAAGAGAGCCTCACCGCCAATTTTCGCGCGGTTGGCCCAGCGACGGACACCTTGGTAACCTTTGTCTCGGAGGGTGGAGTAAAAGAAGGTATTGAAAGCGTGAAACTTGGGTCGATCATTCGATGCCGTGTTGCCGGTTGATTGGCGGAGATATTGAACGAGGACGGTTAGGTATGCGTTGATGATTTCATCGTTGAGCCACGCCAGTGGCTTAATACACGTAGCGATGTCCCTTTGATATAAGTCATCACCCGAGGGAGACTTGGCAACTGGATATCCCTGCAGCGTTCTCATAGCCTCTGAAACTTTCATCATCCAATCCCTTGACAATGGTCGCACAGCGGGTCCACGAGGAATCACCCGGGCTGGACGACCTGCCAAGCCCTCCAAGGCTCTCCTCTCTTTTTCGCGTCGTTCCCATTCAGGCGCAAGTATGGACGCGATTCGATTCTCCGGAAGGGGTTTCTTCTCGGGGTAGAAGAGTGATACAGCAGATACTGGCCTGCCAAAGGGCAACTTCTCGAATGCTCTGTATTGTTGGCCATACGGGTCATTGATGGCCAGATCATCTTGGAAGCGCGGTCTTCGTATCGGCTTTGAAGCAGCGGTTTCAGCGGGTCGGAAGCGCTGTGGGGAAGGTGTGTATTTTGGTCTCCTGGGGTGTAAATATGACCCGAGATCTGTATGGAGTTGAGGGGCGGTCGAAACATCGACTTCCAATTCCTGCGCAGTATCCACGTGAACCAATTCCTCGACTAATTGCTCATCGCGTGGCGCAAGACGCGGAGACACTGACGGCGACGGCGGGAAGGCACCCGGAATTGGGAGAGGGAAAATGTCTACCACAAGTCTTAGTGACTGCATAATCTGAATTCGCCACGGGGTTGCCGATACCTTCATTCTTCTGCTTCTCCTCAGCGACCTTGGAGATTCTCAGAGGGTCCAGAGCTCCCGTTGACAAGACATCATCTTGTACAGGTTCGGGTTCTGGATTACGACGAATCCACGAGAGAAACCGTTTCATTGTGAGGATTTGGGTTGTCAAGCGAGGGAGGAGGGTTGAGAGGTGGTACTCCTCGCCGGAGGAGGCGCGGGCAGGTGAAGCAAGAGCAGAGTTAAGACGAATTGGGCAAATAAGGCGTAAAGTTTAAAGCAGTGGGCAAAGAAATCGGGCAAGCCCCAGTGTCCATCATTGAAAGGGCCAACCCCAGGAAAGTCCAGAGGCCCTGTCGCGGAGTTGCTTTGGGGACGATCGATCGCGCTGCCGTCACTTTCATCATGGGGCGGCTGACTGATCCGCGCTAACCCGATTAGGACAGCTGTGCATACGAACTATAGAGATTGCCTGCCGAGGTAGAATGGATTTCTTCATTGATATTGGTTTGGATACGATCATCACGATCTAAGTCATCCGAGATATAGTCAAGAATTGAATGTGCTTTATATAATCATGATCTTATACGTCGGGCCGAGGATAGGCCAATGGCGACTGTCAGTATACAGGTCGCGGTATGTACATGCGCGCCCGGCCTTTGTTCCTAGCACAGCCCGCTGGAATAAAGCAGACCCCAGAGAAAGAGAGTCGAGAGCTGTTGATCGGGAAAGAATAAACCCCAACAGCATGCGACTAAGAGGGAACTCCAATTCCAATCATTTCGAAAACGGGGGGCGCCACGTTGATGACAACCCATGGAATTCCTATATCATCCAGGTCAGTACCAAGTCTGTAGGTCAATCAGCGAGAGATCAGTTCGTCATACCTGCATATACAACCAGCTTGGTAACAACCTCTACGTCGTACCGTACCCGAGGCTTCTTAATCTGAGAGAAGACCTCCTTCTCGTCCGTTCGGCGGATTACTCCATATTCTGGAGGTGGGAGTGGCGACGAGCGAGGGATATTGGAATCATCTTCTACCACGGATGAGCTGGGACTACCAGTACCCATCATGTGTTCGTACTGGTCCAGCTTGGATGGCTTCCTGGACAACACTGGTCCACGATTAGGTCTACCGTTCTCATCTACAGGAGAGTCACGGTTGCTTCCTGACAGACTCTCACGTCGACGCTTCTCCCGGTAAGCGAGAGTCTCATACGCATCGGCTTCAGACTGAGGGCCGATGGAGATTGCTCGACGGCGAGGATGGCGGATCGTGGTGATGATGGATGGAATGTCCGAGAAGTTGGGGAACACTTCGTTGTCCTTCAGATTAGTGGGAACGGTGGTATACCGCCTGCGAGCATGGTCAGTAAATGGGTGTTAAAAGGGATCACTTCGTGTTGAAAACTTACGATGCGGTGGTAAAAAAGCGACGGGGCAAGAGAAGGCCGACTTTCTCAAGACTGCGGAAGATGGGTGGAAGAATGCGCAACAGAGTTGGTTTTGTGATCTCTCTCCAAGTAAAGACACACAGCACACCAACAACCAGGCGGAACACAGTTCTGATCAAGCCAATGCTCTCATAGTTATATGGGATCGTTCCCGGCAGAGGGTCAGCCCAGGCCAGAGTGGACGTGGTAAAATACCAGGAGCCCACATCCACGCCAAGCGTCACACCAGCAAATGCGACACTGTCATCGAAACAAGGACAATCATCCGCCGGTTCTGGATGAATGCGCACGAGGATCAGAATAACAATGGGAACAACCAAAATCTCCTTTAGCGTCGCAGACAGGATATACTCGTCAAAAGCCGGGCCGTAGTTATACTGAATCAAGCCGATCAACGCGCCCAGAATACAGCCCACAATCACGTCGAAGAATCCATGCATGCCACAGTATAGCCGACCCAACACGATTGATGTCACATAGAGGTATGTAATTGTCTGGAGAATGAAGTTGGTTTGCGCGGGGATCGTCGTATCAGGCGAATTGAGCAGGGCAATGGCGTAGACCGCAACCGATACAGCGTTGGTAGAATGCGTCGAGGGGAATCCGTATTCGAGTGCAGCAGAACCGGACATAGTGATGCGCTGTAGCGGGGGAGATAAGGGCCGAGGCAGACATAGCAAGTCCTTGATGAAGCCGCTGAAGAAGACGCCGGACGCAAGAATATGCACGAGTCTAGATATCAACCATCTTAGTGATACCGTCCCATTACATTACACTTTTATCACCCAATATTATTGACATACCCTCGGCCTAGACTGGTATGGCCGCACCAAAACAGAAAGGGCAAAAAGACCATGAAAAACGTGTGCGTGCCGAGGTTCGCCGTGAACGCAAAGTACGAGTCTAGTGTCGGAGTGCGCACTTTCTCCTGAACCCAGGCCAGGTATGGCGTCTCATATCGGACGAGAGGAATCAGCTTCTGTCGAGGCCAGTAGCGCCAGAGTGGCAGTTGGTTTGCATCTATCGCAAAGAGCAGACGTTAGCGGCGATTGTACCTTGGCCACTCGGAGGGAGCATGCGGGGAACAAGAAACGCGCAACGAGGGGACTAGCATACAGTGATCCAGACTCCTCAACCCAGCATCTGGTTGGTCCTTTGCGCCGTTCGTCTTGCCCATTTTGCAGGTGCTATCGATGCGGATGCGATTGGGAGCGGGTCTCCATACAGGACAGGCACCGGTGCCTGCCGCTAGGAATTCGGGAGGACACGACTCAGCGAGAGGACATAAGGAGTGTGAGTAGTTGGATTGCAGAATCGGAACCGGGGAGAAAGACCGGAAATCGACTAGGAGGGCTGCTTTTTAGGGCGGATTTGACAGCGTTACCAAGGTCGAATGGAGATCGCTGTCGCATCCGCGGCTCTTCCCCTGATGGCGAGGGCCATGTGTGGGCTTAGTCACCCCGCAGGCCGAGTACTTTGAAGAGTATAGGAACTCGCATACTATAACGCCAGCTTAATAGGAATAAAAAGACCAGATTCATGATAGTGATACTCAGAGGCAATGTCTGGTCTGAATCATAACTTCGTTCATGACCATACTTCATGCCTGGTTCGGCGCCTCTTAGCCAGGTTTTAGCATGGATGTTCGGGCATATTCAGCCGATGGATCGAGCTGTGACACTGGAAACTAGTTTGGAAGACTCCACAGCTTAAACGTCGCAAGCCTGGTGAACCGGATTACCCAGACAGATCCTTGTTGGTAACGGTAAGCCGCTATGGTCGTACACACTGTATCCACCTTCTACCAACAATGTCGTACGTCAAGGGCGGGTGTGCCTAGACGTAGACCTGAATTCGAATCAAATGCCTTGTTTGAGCACGGGGATCTCCATCTCCAACTCAATCTCCAATCAGGATCTCCACCTTATAAAGGGCTTCCCCTCTTAATGTGATATAAATACTCGATTAGGGTATTGTACTGCAGAAATCTATTTAGAACAGTAGAAGTATGCGAGCCATATCTCGCGGCCGCATATCACATGATATCGGAGTTGCCGCCCCGTGGCTGGCAACGTGAACCTTTCACCATCAACACTTCAAGCCATCTGCTGAAGAGGAGCTGAACAGTGGGGTATGAGGGCCAGAAAAGAGGGGCACGCGGAGGTTCGGCAGGACTAAAAAAGAAACTGGGATCGGAAAGATCGTAACAATCAAGTTGAAACTGACAGCCCCCAGGCCAATCGAGGGGAGCGGAGCCCTGGCGTCATTGCGGCGCGGCGCGTTGCCATGGCATCCGCCCGTGTAAACACAGCCTGGACACCGGTCTCACCCACTCACCAGCACCAAGACCCTCACTTCCATATCGTCCATATCGCTAGTCGATCCCTCGATCATCATTCGACCGTCTCTTCTTTTTTTCCCTCCCTTCGACGCTTCTTCCTCTTTCATCTTACACCTCTCATCCTTTCTTCACCATCCCCAATCTCCCATCCCCCCGACATATCCTATCAACAACGCATTTCCATCCATATCCTTTCGGCAGATAGCCGTCTTCATCACTCGACGACCCGCATTTCTTAACAAGGGGCCCCATACCTCCCACACCACCCACGATGAGCCAAATGTATGATGACCAGTACCATGCGGCTTCGCGACGCCGCTCTGTGGCGACGCCTCCTCCCAGCATGACCCCACGACACAGCCGCACTCGCTCTCAAAGCGTGCGAGTGAGCAACGGCACCGCTAGCACACATACCAGCTTCTCGAGTGCACAAATGTCGGAAGCCACCAATATCACTCAGCCCCCCTCCTACTCTAAAAAATTTGTGGTCGTTGGAGATGGTGGGTGCGGCAAGACTTGCTTGTTGATTAGCTACTCGCAAGGCTACTTTCCAGAGGTAAGACTCGAACGACGGGAGGTATATCCTCGTCTTGAAGATTGGTATTAATATATCTACAGAAATATGTCCCGACTGTGTTTGAAAATTACATCACCCAGACTACCCACCGGGCATCCGGGAAGACGGTCGAACTCGCGCTGTGGGATACCGCCGGTCAGGAAGAATATGATCGTTTGCGCCCATTGTCCTACCCCGAGACCGACCTTCTATTTGTCTGCTTTGCCATCGACTGCCCTGCATCCCTAGAGAACGTTGTGGATAAGGTAAGCATCCAAAGAAGCCGTCCATGCCAACTTTTCATGATATTAACCTCCTCCAGTGGTATCCCGAGGTTCTACACTTTTGCCCCACGACCCCAATCATCCTGGTTGGCTTGAAATCGGATCTGCGCAATAAGCGAACATGCATCGAACTCCTCAAGACACAAGGCCTGACTCCCATCACACCGGAACAAGGCCGAGGTGTGGCCCAGCGAATGGGTGCGACCTACGTGGAGTGCAGTAGTAAGGAGATGCGAGGCGTCGACGAGGTATTTGCCCAGGCTGTGGATACCGTGGTTGAAATTGAGGAAGACGGCTACGTCGCCCAGCCGACGAACAATCGCAACAGCGGCAAGCCTTCTGCAGGGGGAGGAGTTCGGCCCGGCAAGAAGATCAAGAAGCGCAGCTGCAAGATCCTATAACCGCCCCTCCTCCTCTCTTAACCGTCTTCCTTCTTGACCATTCTTACCCTTCCCTTCTCCCTCCTGGTCCGATCAAATGCCTGGTTGCCTTATCGGCTTGCTTGCCTGCTCCTGTGGATGTGCCATGTCACCGCAAGCTGGACAAAGCTGGACATGAACTGCAAAAAATGACTCTTGGTGTCTTGGATCGCTGTGCGCCCCCCTCGACTGATCTGTGGCGGTTTTCTTTCGCAATTCGACAGATATCCCGGAATAACTGTATCCTTTTTTGATTTTCTTTCTTCTTTTCCGCCCCCTGTCTTCTCATGACCACTGTGCTTTTTATTCTCCCTTTGACTCTCATGACTCGAGTCTTTGCCGCTTCGGCATGCATGGGACTGGTGTTTTTCCTTTATGTTATCTGATATGCTCCGTTGGCGATAGCGACCTTCCTATGTTACTGAAACAATACAATGGGATATTTGATGTTCAACAAGAACTTTGTAACGTAGACCACTTGAAATGTAGACATAATTTTCGTTCGTAAATGGTAGTTCAACGTGAAATGAACATGGTATCATGAAAAATATAAACAGCAGTGCAAGGCTAGTGCTCAAATACAACCAGTCCAGCTCCAGTCCAGTCTCAACGGAGGAGATCCTACTGGCTGGCCATTGAATCACCCTCGCCTTCATGCCGTGTTCCTGCATTGCCTTGTCCCCCACTCTCCCCACTAACTGCCCGCTTCCCCTGGCCAGCCTCCTCGAGCTCTTCCTCCGGTCGGCCCATGAAGTTCTCAAATTGGGACCACAGGGCTTCTACGGAACTGAACTCATTTCCCACCTGGTAACATTAGCCAAAGGATACAGGCGGGGTCAGTCAAAGGAGATGGATAGAGCGTACTGTGATGATACTCTCCAAATTCCGATTCAGACGGTTGATGTTTTGGAGGACTTGTTCCATGCCCTTTCGTAGATAATGAATCAACCCATGTTCGATCCATTGAATTTTTGAAGATAGTGTGTGTTTGGGGATAGAGGGGTTTCACTTACAACGGCAATTTCCCGAACTAATTCTTCGCGTTGTTGCTCAAAGACAGTTGGAGATGCGGCGCGGCCACCGGAGCCGGGGGTGGAATTCTGCCAAGCCATGATCGGAAATTAGGACGTTGTGCAGGATCAGTAAGGTCGATGCGCAGAGATTCGAACGAGGCCGATAGTTCCTATCGTAGTAGGCTAGGCCGTGTTTGACGCGATGGTGGGTGGTTGCGGTGTCCGTCGGGATTGCGAGGACCCTTGTAAGCGCCTAGTTCTACGTCGGACCGAGTGCTCAACGGGACTAGGACTGCGGATGGAACTGAATTGAGCACTCAAGCTGTATTCGACAGTGACTTTGTGTTGCGCTGTGCTGTCGTGTCTTGCTGGGAGTCGCGCGGTAGTTAGAGCTTGATGGGGAGAAAGTCGCGGTTGGTGGGGCAGTTAAGTTTGTTGATAAGAGATCCGATTGGAGATAAACCATAACACTGGACGAGACAACTATGAATATCATATCTCAGATCTTTTCTGTCAATTTTTAGGTACTGTATTACATGGATATACAACAGGGATTGAAAAGAAGTATTGCAAGCTTGAAATATCTTCAAAAGAAGTCAAAATTGTACTAGTCGCTTTCTTAATACTTAAAGAGATCCTGCCCCCGGCTCCTGTTCAGTGCACTTCGTCCAAGGGCCATCAAGTGCCTTGCTCCTTAGTTTACCAGCTTGTTTCTGGGCGTCAGTCTTTACTTTTTTTTTTTTTTTTGTTCTTTTACTTTTCCCTAACATCGATATTCCTGCTCTCGGTCCTCAATATACCCCCCAAACTCTTGCGCCTCGCGACTATTCAGATCTCTTCTCATAAGAGTCACCATTGCCTAGATCCTCGTCACCAGTGACTACCCATGATTCTCGTAGCTCCTAATCGTCCAATCTAAAAAAACAACGACTTCGCGATCTGCTTCCTCGACCCGCTCAGTGGCTACTCATCTCTTAGTCATTCTGCAATAATGTACGAGGAAGATGTCACTGACAATAGTATTGGTTTCCCACCCAGGTGCCGAGCTGGCTATTGTCTCTGTTTATGGGTCTACGAGATCCGCTATTGGGTCCGAATTTGACAAGACATAGAACGAAAGACATCTACCAAGCTTGTAAATACATCATGGATAGGGATCCTTTCCGGCCCCACGAGGATTTAGCGGTCTAGTAGACAGAATGGCGTGTATACATCCAGGGCCTTAAATCTTCTCATTTGAGAATGGTACACAGGCATGTTCACGTGAGTGTTCGTGACTCTTCCATTGAATTCCTCCACTCTTGCAGCGCCTTGAAGGCCTCAATTGTCCATGGATGTTGAGGACCCATCGATCTCAACAGATCTTCTGCACACTCTGCCATTAGTTGTCGAGCTTCGCCAATCCTCTTTTTCATATAATAGATTTTTGCTAATTTTAGCCCCAACACTGGTCGGAAAGCGTTAGTCGTCGTCCCAAATAACTGTGTAGCACTCTCCATTCCGTCTGCGAAGAGAGCTTCAGCGTCGTCAAATCTCCGTTCATAGTAATACACGCTGCCAATGAGGCCCGTGATTGCAATTTTGTGGTGATGGGCGAGTTTCAATGTTTCCATACTCTCAAGTATCCTTTTCATGTATTTTCCTGCCCTCTCCGGTTCTCCTCTAGCGAAGTAGACCTGAGCAAGGTCGGCCCTAACCCAATTACCTAATTTCTGATACAATTGAGCATCATGATTCTTTTCAGAAGCCTCTACAATTTGCAATAAAAGCTTCTCCGCTTTCGTATAATCACCTTTTCGAAAATTGTTGGTTGCTTGAGCACGAATGACCCATAAAGTGTTCGGGTGATCTTCTCCGAACACCTGCTTCGAATTTTCTATAGATTGCAACGAAAGCTCATCCGATTCGTCGAATCTTCCCAGTTCCGTGTATGTTTTGACAAGGCCGCACATCGAATCTAAGGCGAAGGAGCTATCGGTGGATAAGTGCCTTCTCCACGCTTGCACAACCCATGCGAGCACTTCTTTCGCCTCGTCGTATCGTGCCTGCTCATAGAGAAATTGTCCCTTTTGACTCATGCTCTTTAGAGTGGAGAGATGCTCAGGCCCCAGTATTTTCCGTTTAATAGTCAACAATTCCTCTAAATGCGGTTCCAGGTCCCTGAAACGCCCTTTTTCCGCATACAAATTGGCAATGTAATCCATGCACGCAATAGTGTCACGATGTTCGGGACCCAAATTGGTTCGAGAGTAGTCCAGTGCAGCAATTGCATCGGCTTCCGTTTTCCACGGATCATATGGGTGATGTTCCATGGACCCGATCCCTTCGATGATATCTGGTCCATCTGCTATGCCTTCTGATGTATCAATTACCCTCTCCACAGGAATAACGTCCAGCAAGCCATCATCGACGGGAGAGTGGAGGCCGGGGGTGGAGCTCGGCGCAAAAGAAACCTTGCTAACGATGGAAATTGAGCCGAGTGAATCTCTGTCTTCCACATCCAGCATCAACGCTTGTCGTGACTCATCCGACTCTTCCCCGCGCAACGCTGATTCCTCATCGTCAGTTTCTATTCGAGGAAGAACAAAGAGGGCAAGCTGCAGCAGATGCCGAGCCAGATGCTTTTGGAATCGACTGGAGTCTGATATAGGAGGTTTGGTGCATAGTGGACATTGCTGCGCCAAGGTGGAAGGTTTTGACTGATTTGCCATTTCTTGTCGTTGTTCTTCCGGGATGTCTGCGTGATGATCTGCGACGTGCGAGATTAAAGCGCATTTATCTGCGGATGTGTAGGGGCAACGCGTGCAGAACCACTCTCTTCGATGGAATTGTCGTTCGTGAGCGCTCCACTCTGTGAAACTATCGTATAGCTGATTCTCCTTCACACAGCCGCCAAAGGTACAGATGTAAGGCCGCAAGTCACTGTATACATGGTAGTTCCAGTCCTCATCATTATCCACCTGTACGGTTTGATGACAGTATGGGCATATGAATGGTTGTCGCCTTGCGATATTTGATCCTCTTGGAGGTGGTGGGATGAAGTTATGATCCGCATCGCCCGCGGTAGAAGTTGTAGCGGAAAACCTTGTTCGCCCGGAGTCTGATGCAACATCATTATCCTGATAGATTGTTGAAACTGTAGTGTCTTGCGTCCATTGTGTGGAAATTGTGGGAGGTCTCTGTTGATGCTCGCTTTGCAGTTCAATATTCACTGGAAGTTGAGGCACTGGGACGGCCTTGCTCACAGCAACGTCGACGTATTTTGAGATTTTGTCAGAGTGATCTTTATAGTAAGCCAGCAGCTGTCGACGTTTCATGTTTGCTTTCCCCAGGCGCTGGGCGAGCGGGCTGTCTGGCGTGAGGTTGAATTTATCACATACATGATGGATGTCATAGAATTCAAAATGGTGTAGGTCTATACGAGAGGCTTGGACAGTCCGATCACGATGTGCTGGGTTTTGGAGAGATAGAGACAACTTGTACCTGTAGAAACGCCACATTGATTAGCGCCTCCCTCAAGCCTCTCTACCACTGGGCGAGCCATGGTACTCACAAGCTTGTCACCGTATGACTGAGATCCTCAGTGTATATATCAATCGGAGTTCGACGCAATCCCTCTTTTCTGATCTCTTTCCAGAATCCATCTGAGTCTGAGCTTTCGGAATCCGAGTCATCCCCATCCACCGCATTTGCGTCACTCGTAGACTCGGGGCTTGTTGAAAGATAGGCATTCGCTGAACATGATGTCAGCGTCTAAACCAACCTCAGTAACCTCAGTGATCATACCTTCTTCGATCGTCTCAGAAATGTCTACAAGATGATTTCTGACACTCTGGTGTAGACCTGGAGCCTCTCTGAGTCGGTGGTCCAACGACAACCGGTCTGTTTGTTTGCGATGGGCACCGAAGTTGCCCGCCCAGACTCTGAGTCGGCCAAGCTCCTCGCTAACTTTTGATCTGGCGATAGATTGCTCCTCTTGTTCTGATAGTGCACCTATAAGACTCTGTAAATCTCCAAAGCACCTCGACACAAGAGACGATATGGACGCAACGGTGGAAGCTGTATCTATTGTCTCTCGAGCATAGCCTCCAGGCTGTGGGGCGGAGGCTAGTACTTGATTTGTTTGCAGCGGGTCATCCATATTTGATGAAAAGAATATCTGTCGAGTCTCCGAGCCTCCTAGCAGTGATTGTAGAGAGAATTTCCGTTGAGTATGTTCTCCTCGAGTCTCTCGTTAGCCGCCCAGATTGCGCCTCAAGCGGGGTAGATGCGTTAGCATCAGAGCAACGAGGAGTCTTAGCCGCACTCCCACCTCTCAGACCATCATTTAAAATACTCTGGACTACTCATCAGTTGCAGGCTGCACTCTCTCGAGACATTGCCTGCTCTCCGCGTTTGTCTTTATACAATTGAAAAAGCTGTCAAGATGGCTACTGGTTTCGAGATAGCTGGGCTAGCTCTTGCTATCTTCCCGATTCTTATCGAGGGGATTAAATCCTACGCGAATGAGAAGGACGCTGTGAGCGACATACTAAACTATCAAAGGCTTCTTATCCGCATCGCTCGAGATTTGGATCGTGAACGGACTATTTTCCATAACTCATGCCAGCGATTCATGGAAGATATTGCCGCACATTGCGGCGTTGGAGAAGACGAGGTATCTGGGATGGTACAGAACCCGAAAGACCCCCGATGGACGCGGGGGCCTTTGCTGAGGGAAGACGTTTTTCAGCAGGCTTCTGTTAAGCAGTATCTTGACGCCGTTGAGGATATACATGAGGAGTTGTCGAGGGTTAAAGAACTCATCGGGATACAAAGTGGAAGTGAACAGGTAATGTAAGCTTATCGACGATTAAGTTTCCGGCCGTCAACTTACCAAGACTTTGTGTTGAGCCGGCGCTTCTCGACAAAAGGACACGCCGCAGACTATGGAAGAAGCTTATCCTCGTGCTGAAGAAAGACTCGATTACCGACCACCTAGCCAGGGCCGAGAAGCTCAATGCATTTCTGGCCCGACAGACAGAGCAAAATCAACCAACAGCGACCAATCGTCATGCTTCTCGCAGAAGCACAAAACACTATAAACGTATCCGATCTCATGCAATCGATCTATACAATATCCTCAAGACTCAATTCCCCGCCCATCCGGCCTGTAAATGCGCCCTGCAGCCGCATCATGTCAATATGAGATTAGAGTTTCGCAGTGCGCAAAGTACGGCAAATGGTCTATACTTTCATACAATATTTACCTCGGAAACTGCCTTCAACTCTTCATCCAACTGGCGCGAGATCGAAAGCGAGCCGTGGGGAACGAGTTCCCCCGATCTCTGTCAGGATACTACACACAGCGCCCAAGTGCAATTTGTCGTGGCCCCACCGGCATCGTTGCAGGGGAGCACTGCATCTATCAATGAACCCGAGATATCAAATCTCTGCGCCGTGATCACTGGCCCCGCCTCGAAGGATTGGCTTGGACGAATCGCTAGTCAAAAGGGACAACAACATCGGATTCGTGCCATGGACCATCAGAAGAGATTACCCGCCTTCGACACCATCAAAACGGTCTCACTAGGAGAGGTCCTCGGGGACGGTCTCTTTGGCGAAGAACAACGACTCCGACTGGCATTGAAACTAGCATCATCAGTGATGCAACTCCACACGACCGACTGGCTCACAGATTACTGGAGCAAATCCGATATCTCATTCCTCCGGTCCTCATACGGAGTAATCGACTTTGACAACCCTCTAATCGGACGCACTTTTGGCAATCCCAGCTTCAGCATGACAAACCTCTCACAGAATCTCTCACGACCAATGCTACACGCATTTGTCCCCTGCCTCTTTTCTCTGGGAATCATCCTCTTGGAACTGCGCTATCGAACTTTGTTCAAGGATCTCAAGACGGAGCATGAACGGACCATGGTAAGACCCACTCGGAAAAAAAGAACAAGCAAAGATCTGACCACCGGTTAAGATACCCGAAATCTCCGATCTTGCCACCGCACGCCGTCTAGCCTCTGATATGGTCGGCAGTCCTAATTATAAAAATGCCGTGCTGCGCTGTATCGTGGGTCTAGATGCGGCGTATCAGTCTCTGACGGAGGTCAAGTTCCAGGACGAAGTGGAGGATAAGATTGTCTTTTTGCTTGCGGAAGATTTAAAGACTTATTGTGCCAAGGGATCGGTCGAGGCCTGTCTGTAGATCCGACTGAAAAACGTACGTACAGGCACAGCTAGAGTTAATGTGCAGTACAATCACGTCATGAAAAAAAGCCTAGACCGGTTATTTTACCTTCGTTTGCGAGACATTCCTAGTTTGTTTTCGGCAATACTGTACCCCATCACTTGTCATCGTGTGGATATCGGTGCTCAAATGTCTCGAAATTAGTTCCGCGATCTTCGACACTCGAAGGGGTCCGCTCACCCGCCAGGCCCGGTCTGGAACCTCAATCTGCCAAACACCCGTTCGTCACAAGCCTGGGAATTTTTTTCCGAGGCAAATTACAAAGCTAGCGTATGGAGCACTGTACCACTGCTAGTTGAATGTAGTAGAACTATTCCTCCATTCTAGCATTCTCCTGTCCGTACAACAACCGACAACGTCGCACTGTCTAGGACAGCCTCGTCGGGCCTCGCCAGGGTCCAGGGCGAAAAGATCCACCCGGTACCTGAGACCCGACGCCGTACCTCGGTACCACTCATACCCTGGTCCATGGCACACGAAATGACAGTAAAAAAAAATGGATATTGGAGATCCAACCCGGGCTAGAACGGTCGTGGCTCGGCGAGTTTCAGATCTGCTCAGGTACAGAGTCTGCCAGCAGATTTGTGTTGCATGGTTGCCGGGATGTGTATGGTTCGAGGGGCAGGTACCTACATACGGAGTGATGTGTTTGTACGCCATGCAATGAGGATAAAGGGGAGGGAAATGAGGGTGTCTATGAGGGAAGAGGGTCTAGTACCATTTTATAACGGGCGAAATCGGAACTTGCGGGCGTTGAGAGTTGCAGTGGGGGAGCGGTGGGCTATCTATGGAGTACGGGACAATGGGAAAATGGTAAATTGGCCTGCGTGTGGGAAATGAAAGAGCGGCTTTCTCGACTTCGGGGCTACGACAATATCTTAGTGAAAAAAACTGCACAGTATGTGGGAACAAGAGGCAAAAGGATACCTCGGATATCTTGTTCATCGTCTATACAATCATAGTATTGTTTTTCGTGGATGTTTCCCAATTAGGGATATGAATGGCAAAAAGTCGTAGGGTATTTAGAGGACGCAAATGGACTCCAATTGATCCAGTCCTGTCCAATGAAACCAGGGATTCCTCCGTGGAAGACATGCCCGTGCTGAGAAAATAGAATAGAATCCAAAGAAAAGCATTGCATCATCATCACATCGTTATCGTGGGGGAGGTCAAGGCGAGGGGTAAGATGAGATCTTTTGCGATCGCAGTCCATCTTGTCAATCCAACCAGTCAAAGACCGAATGACCCCTCTTTTCAACTTTTTCCTTCCCTTGGAGACGTCAATTCCGCCCCCCGCCGACAGAGATCAATGCTGTCTTCCTGGTCATCAAGTACATGCGATACCAGTGCAATGCTCATCTTGTTTGCTACACATTGCTATGTGCGTGCCCACGGCTTATGAATCCATCCAAACATTCGTAGCCCCATTTTTATTGTGTGTTGGGCTCGTAAGCGAGGAGAAATCCTATCCAGGTCATGAAGTATCCGTAATCATGTCATTCGTATACGCGCTCGCCTTTTAGCGAAGCGCGATGTGTAGGTAGTAGAGGTGGGGGACGGGTGTGGGAGGTAATGCGAGGAGAGGACGGGAGGGTAGTATGCGAAAGGGCGAGGAGATCAAGAGGAACGTCGCGGCTGTACTAGCATATTGCTAATTCGCTTCCACCGTTGCGTAGGCGACATAGAGTTATTCCGAGCAAGGTGCGACTTGTCTGCCTTGGTGGAGGATTGCGTAGAAGAGCGCGGGCGACTAATAGTTGCCTCGTGGTCGGCGAGGACGTCTTCGAGCCGAACGTCCGAGTCGGACATGCGCAAGTTGGAGTCCTGTGGATCGAGGATCTCGATGAACTTGGAGGGAGTGTCGCGCATTGTGGCTGGATATTGGTTTGCTTTTGTTTTTTTACTTTGATGAAGTAAAAATGGAGAATAGTCACGCGGGCGGTTGTATAGTTATATAGTATGCGTATTCCCCCCTTTGCATGGATGAGACAAAGAACGACGCAGGAAGCGCAGTGTTTCACGTTCTTCAAGGAGGCGCAGGATGCAGGATGGACTGCATCGAGTATTTGAAAAGAGGTAAGAGGTTTGAGATCAATCCAAAGGCATAATGCGACACATATGGAATATGAATAGAACAAAGGGGAAGAAGAGGGGAAAGGGGGCTTCGTTATTAAATAAGAAGTCGTGGAATAAAATACGACGATCGTGAACGAGGGGAGCCAATCACTCTCTGACTTCTACTACGGGGGTAGGTACGGAGTACCTAATTTACCAAAAAAACAATTGAAAAAATAATGACTACAAAGTCATCCTTCCAAAAAATCTAAAATGAAATCCTAATTTACACCCTGTACTCTCTGTATGGCCGGACCAGTGAACCACCGTGCGACTGGAGACGACGCCCTCAAATCAGAACGGCGGAAATTTAGGGGGAACCAGTTGACCAACTAATGCGGGCGAAGAGTCAATCTGGCCAGTCTGAACGGACCGGGCGGAGACTCGATGGATGATCAGGGACGGGGTGAACCCACCAGAAAGAAGCCACCTAGATTTCTTACTCGTTGAAGAACATCATTGTTATTATTGGGGTTGGGATGGGGTGGTACTACAGGACTCCGTACAGCCGGAGAGATTGGCACAGTTTGGGTCAGGACTCGGGGTTCCTAGGGGGCCAGGAACATGGGTCTACGGAGTACATTGGCTCGGATAAGTTGGATAGGTGCCACGGTTATATGACTATCTCTAGTTAGTTAACGTTAACGATTTCGCGTCGGTTATTAATCCAGTGCTCATGTGCTCGGCTTCGCCCTCCTCCAGGTAGCAAGATAGTTAGTTTCAGGGAATAGCATAGCTGGGCTAAGAGGCAAATCTGCGAACTGTCTAGTTGGATAGCTCACTCTGAGCTGTCACGGTCTCTACCCAGTAACAACTACATACCCTATAGGTATGTATACCCTCCCTCCGCGCATGGTTCCCCTTGGCGTATCACCTCTCAAGTTCTGTAGGAAGTACTCCGTACATCCTAAACAATCTGACCATCTCATCCTCGTTCTTCAGCAATCAGGACGCCTTATTCGCCATCCTGGTGAAGCCCCCCCCTTCCCCAATGCCCAAAGCTCACTACCCGTAACTTACTGTACTCCACACACCCTCAATTCCCTCATTCGGCACCGTCCTGCTGATGCTGATGCGCACCCACATCCCCCGCCCCGAGGCAAAATCCAAAGCGTGTGGCCCGTTTAGAGAAGATCAGCGCTCACGCACCCAGTTGGATGGTCTGGTGGCGCATAGGGGGGGGGGGCGCCAACCACTGACCGTTAGAGGATACGAAACCCGCGGAGTCCCTGGTTCGTCCGACCGGCGTGGGTCGCTGGGGAGTTGGACTGTGTACTCCCGTCCTTGCGCGGCCAGAGAGGGGACCATATGACACTTTTGGCGGAGACAATTCGCCTATGAAGCCGAAGTTTCCCTCGGGAGTCGCCGCTGAAGCAGTTACTATTTACGTTGATGTTGATAACTATACTTGTTCTTATTCCATGTTGGATTGTTGGTTCCTTCTGCCCCCAAACAATCTCACCAGGCACCCAGTATTCCCCCAAGTATTTTTGCACGATTATTGGATACCGTAAATAAAACCATCCACTTTCTGCAGGCAAGAAAACCGATGGAAACATCCACTAGTGATGACCCTCTCGCCGTGTCGCCGTGTTGCCGGTGTGCAGCGCCATGACGTCGGGGGCTCGGCCAACCAGCAATCTTATCTGCCTGTCGAGCTCGTGTTCGTAGCATCTGCGAGAGGGACAGAGCAGCGTCAGCGGGTGATCGTCAGCATCATTTGCCCCGTCTATAATAAGATCTCTTCGTGCAGCGGGGACGAAATATGTGCTATCCCTACCGATTGTGGCCAAACTGACGGATTGACGCGCGGTTCTTCATGTATACAGCAGTGGAGAATTCGGGACTCTTTACTCCGTGGTAAGCATTTAGCATATCCATACGGACCCTGGCTCTTCAGCTACCTACTATACTAGTTAGCTATGTAGGATCTCGAGATTGAATGACGAAGTATCCCTGCCTTCATACCCACAAGCAACGGACTCCCCCACCCGCGGGCGTTCGTCCTGCCCTACAGGCTACAACATGCGAGGAGGCTTGCGCCGCCCTCCACTCTGATGTCAAGCGGGACCTCCGACCTCATCGGCGTTGTCCTTCTTCCTTTGTCCATCATGAACGATTCGAATGCCTGTCATCCGATGGAGGGGTGGAACATGGAGCCAATTGCTCGGCGGGATAGTGATGATGGCATGTATCAACAAGGTGACTTTGCTGTGTCCCACTCTTCATGGCTGTTGGTCGCCACATCCCTCTGTACCTCTTCGCATAAGCGTCCAGGGTATATGCAGTATCCAGGGTGGCTAGGGTAATTCCTGCGCCACTTGACGACAGTGTGCCCCCCTTCCCCATGCCAGATATACCCAATGGCTTTTAGCAGACAGATTATCAGATAAACACTCCACGTCACGTCTGACGATTATTATCACGCAATGATCTATTAAATTCAGTACGCTATATCAATAGAGATACAGAGATTAACATGAGGAGTCAAATGGCGTCAAGCATCTGATATGAATAAGCCACCACAAACAGGATAACACGTACGATACGCAGAACAGTATTTGCGTGTCAAAAAGACATTGATTCGATTTTGGCCAGTTACCATGCAATATATCGGGAAAACCATCAAAAACGCCTCGTGAATCGAAAAGTAAAAAGCAAAAGAAAATCTGGCGACAAGGCCCCGGTCTAGTGGAGGACCGCGAGAGCTTCCCCTAGCCAGGTAACTCCTCGTCGCATCCACTCCCCATCTCGCTCCTATTGTCTAGCGGGACTTCTCTTCTGTGCAAACCAAATCCCAAGTTGCTGTCGGGTCTCTCGGGTCATCGCCAGACCCGCGTCGAGAACCCACGTCTAGCATGGAAATCGGATTCGATGCCGCAACACCAAAGCGATACCTAGCAGTCTATCGCGCACAGGCAGTCAACCTCTCTGATCCCCTCGCCAATCCATCACATCCGCTTATTTTAACCCGAGATCCGTCATCTCCACGCTATCCGCCGAGCCCATCCAGAGGATGTTGTTACACCTGCAAAGGCCCACGTTAGTAAACCAGATTCCCACGCCGTATACACAGACCAATGCCCGTAACAGATTTCCCGGGGACCGTGTACGCACCGAATCAGCACCAGACCAAGGGTACCGGTGTGCTTGCCATCAATGTATTCCTCCGTATCGCGCAGCAGGACGTTCATGTAGGAGTCGATGCTCTCCAGCGTGCCCTTGTACTCGGTCTGACCCCACTTCAGGCGGATGACGAGCTCAGTGCCGACTCTGTATATTGAGAAACAAATTAGCAATTGGTCCATTGACGGGGTAATCTCGTGTAGAAAGGTAGGATGTGCGCTCGAACGAGCTTGGCGAGATGAGATGCTGGGGTGTGTGGAGAGGGGGGATCGCGTACCTAGCCTGCAAGAATGGCCGGGGGTTGAGGGGTTGGAACTGCAAGAGGTATTGTTAGCTAGTGCTCTGCGATGCGAATGCTATGGTCTGACGGATCTGATCAAGCCGTTTGGAAGCTTGTCGACCGGCGCGGAGGAGGAGCAGGGTGGACTGGACGTACGCTCATGGTGATTAGGGGTATCGGTGGTCTGCGACCGTGCACGGAACCGGGTGTGTAGGAGGAGAGGAGGGATAGAGAAAGCCGAGCGATGAATCTTGTGGATGCTCGGACTGGTTCGTGATGGTCGTGGAACTGGACGGATTGAATCTCGGAGTCGGTGATCGCGAAAATGTGAGCTGGTCGGGATGGGGGGATTCGAGCCAATCAGAGCTTTGTTTATGCTCACCGCCTTGTGCCTTTCACGCGATGCGTTGCTTGATGAAGCTGAACAAGACTTGGATTCTACGATGGATGAAAAGTAATTCGATGTCACTCTTGGATATTACCAATTTTGTTTTCGGCATGATGTTCTTGATTCTCGCCGTATCGTTGAATAACCAAAGCCCCCTTTGCTACCACCAACTCCCCTCCAACTCATCCTCAACCACTCCCATCCGCCTACCACCAGTAGTAATACAATAAGAACTCAAAAAATTGGAGATCTGGAGTAAGATCGCATTGGAGCTATATGACTCCAGAGGCAAGCCTATGAGAGACTCGCTGGCAGATGCAGGTGACTTTCTCTTAAGCATCGCAACGAATTTATGCCCGTCCGATAGTCCAGGTCAGCTCCTTAATGCTGACCTCCTCTCCAGACTTTTCATCATAGTCATACCATTCACCCTCGCCGAGATCAATACCAGTGAATGGAGTTGACGACTCAACACCCTTAGCTTCCCAATCACCCTATACGACTTATGTTAGAGTAAAGCAGACAGCCCAGATGTGGTAGATAGACTTACGTCAGGCTTGAACTCGGTGAACTCGAGACCACGGCAGTCCATCTCGATGATCTTCTTGCCGGTCTTCTTCTCCTCAGCCTCATAGGCGTGTGGTCCAGCAGTGATGGAGGCAGAGTGGGTTTTCTATGGGTGAGTATTAGTTCCCATCCACGGCAGAAACCTGCTGGATATTGAGGAGAAGGGCAATCCTACCGTGCACAACCGGCACTTCCACACAAAGTTGGCCTCGCCCCGACTCCCGGGGATCTCGTTCAGTTCCTGTAATTGCAGTTCCCGTTAATTTGGAGTCACAAACACTAAAAAGAGAGGCATGGCGAGCCTTACAAACCGGTTGAAGCTGACCCAGTTCGGGTGCGTCTCACGACAGGAGGTACATTGCACCTTGAAGGTGTAGTAATATGGGTTCTCCTCGGTGTCAGTGGGCTGCAATCCAGTGACACTGTTCCAAAGATGTTAGTCACTGCCATCTCTCAAGGCCATGATGCATGTCAAAATGAGCGGATGCCATTAGAAGATTCTTTGGCGGGGTGATGGGGGGAGCTCTGGGTGCGGGCAATGACGAAGAATCAGATTGTTGCTTCTACTTACCCTTCCAGTTCAGCCTTGAGAGTCAGTGTGAGCATCTTGATGGCTTTTGATTTGTTGTGTTTTTGTGAAGGGGGGGAAATCGCAGTACGAGCTATGGTTTGAACGTGCAGGTTTCTGACGATGCGGGGTGGAGACAGAAAATAGATCACAGTCTTGGCATGTGACTACCACGCTGGGATGCCATCTCGATCGAGCTCCAACTACGCAGGAATACTATGTTTACAAATCAAGAGAAAAGTAAAGGATGGAATTTAAATTGTAAAATTTTTGATTGAATCATGAAATAAATAAAGTAGAAAGAAAAGAAAAACCAACGCCAATCATGCACAAAGCAGTCGCTCGTCAAGACCGATCAAAAACAAAGCTATAGACATCCAAAATCTATAAATATACAAGACGTGACGCATATATCAATCAAGCCGAAAATTTACAGGCGGCTGGCTTGAGAGTCCTGACCAAGAGACTTGGTCGAGAACGAGTTGAAGTACTCGTTGAGAGCATCGACAGTGCCAGAGCCCTCAACCAGCTGCACAGTGCAGGCAACGTGGCTGTCAGGGCGAGTGACAACAACGCCACCCTTCTCGGCGTCAATGCCGAGCTTCTCGTGGGCAGCAAACTTGGCCTGGGGAACGCGGACATCGGGGATGTCATCAGCGTACAGGTGGTGGTGGTAGTCACGGAGGACCTGGGGGATGGACTCGACATCGACCTCGTTCTTGGCGGAGGCGTAGATGACGGAGATGGTGAAGAGCTTGGAGTGAGGGTTGTGGCGCTCGAAGAAGGAGACGTCGGCGATGTCGGAGCGGCGATAGGCAGAAAGGAAAGAGCGCTCCTTCTCCAGGTTGGCAGCAAAGTCGGCGATGGCCTTCTTGGTCTTGGTCTGGTTACCAGCAAAGACGTAGATGCGGAAGGATCCGTTGACGGGGACCTCCTGCTCCAGCTCGACAAAGTTGGCGTCAGCAAGGCGGGTCACCATGGTTGGGGTGAAAGCACGGCCAGAGGTCAGACGGACACCGGGAAGGTTGAACAGAGAAGACTTGGCAGGGTGGCTAGCATCCCAGTTGAAGACATTGGGCTTGTAGGCGACTCCGTATCCGCTAGTGAACTCGCAAGAGGACTTGAAGGTCTTGACGAACTCATCCTCCTCTTCCTCGGCGCCAGTGGAAACGGCCTTGCTAGCCGAGATCTCACCAGCGTTGGGGCGGCGCTTGGAGAAAAGAGCGGCATACTTGGCATCAAAGTTCAGCAGAGTCTCGGCAATGTCCTTGCGCTCGCTCTCGTAGGTGCTCAGGGTGGAACGGTCAGCGAGGCCACTCTCGACGGCGTGGATCTTCCAGGCCATGTTGAGGGCATCGTGGAAGGCAGTGTTCATACCCTGACCGGCCTTGGGGCTGTGGGTGTGGCAGGCATCACCGCCCATGAAGATGCGCTCATCCAGGGTGTACTTCTCAGCAATACCCTGGCCGATGGGGTAGACGGAGTACCACTCAACGCGGTCCCACTCAATCCAGTAGGGCTTCAGGATGTTTTTGGCGGTCTGTTGGACCTCCTCGGCGGTGGCAGTCTTGCGAGGGTTGAAGTCGGGGTCGGTGGAAGAGGCAATCTGGACGTAGAGGCGGACCATGTTGTCCTCACGGGGGATGACCATGATAGAACCGGCGTCGGAGTGAATGGTGCACTTGGTCTCGATATCGGGGAAGTTGGTGCGGACAACACCGTCCATGACACCCCAGACGTAGGCGATGGGGTCCTTGTGGTGGATCTTGATGCCAAGCTGCTCACGGACAAAGCTGCGAGCACCCTCACCACTGAACAGGTACTTGGTACGGACGTTCTCGATAACGTTGGTGTCGATGCTCTTCAGGCTGACTTCGACGGGGTAGTCGGCGGCGCCGTCGTTCTTGAAGCCGATGATGGTCCATGGACGCTCAACACGGGTTCCAGCCTTCTCAATCTCGTCCAGGAAAACGCGCTCGATCTTGCCCTGGTGGACAAGGGTGGTGAAGGGGTAGCGGGTGTCGATGAAGCGAGGGCAGCTAGGCCAGCTACCGGTGCGAGCGATGCCAGAGCCGTCGCCCTTGGGGTCCCAGAAAGCAACGTCGTAGACCTTGGCGGGCTCATAGGCCATGATGGCGCGCTTCAAGCCCAAGTTGCGCAGAATCTCGGTTGAACGGGGCTGGATACCATCGGCGCGACCAGTAGCAGTCGGTACCGGGCGGTTATCAATGTGCTTCACCTTGTAGCCCCATCGTGACATGCACAGGGAAAGCAGCAAGCCGACCGGACCGGCGCCGACGATGACGATGTCGTAGGACTCTTGGACCATATTGACAGACGAGGGTATATGTATAATAGAATAATCCAATCAAAAAACCGAGGGAGAGGAGCTAGTACTGGCTATGCACGAAGGAGATGATCGTCGCAAAGCGTACAGCAGAAATCAACCAGGGATATGAAGGTGTGTTGAAAATTTCCCTTGCACGGTCGTAAATGTCCAAAGAAAGAAAAGATCGAGGGCCATGGCTGCTTCATAAATAATCGTGAGCAAGCCGGGGTAAGCGGGCCGAATAGAGGCGGATGGAAGTGACGGCGAGCAGCCACGGCATTGAGGATCGGTTGAATCGTGGGGAGGTGCAGGACGTTGGACCGGGGCGAGCCAATCAGAGGTGGTAGAGTGCGGGTTACGGGCGACAGTCAGCAATGGCATCGCTGCACGAGCGTGTGGGGACAGCCTGTGCACTGAGCAGAGCGGTCTCGATGATGGAATGCCGTCGTTGATTCCGAGATGCAGGGGCCATGTCTGGTCATGGAGACGACGCTGACTGGCTCGTCTCGTGCTGGATTCCCCACACCCCCGGGAGCAGTACTCGGCAAGTGGAGAGAAGCACACGTGACCACTCGTTCGGCAGGGCTGAGCGGGACTTTTCGTTGATTTAAGCAGCAACGGGGGGCACGGTGCTAGCCTGTGTACGCTGCATTTCTCCAAAAGGGCCTGCAATCTTCGCAGGAAACCTCCTTCGGCCATTCACCGGTGTCCCGTTCGGCTTATTGGCCCTTTTGCTCCCCACTATTTTCCATTTTGCCGACTGGTGTTGGAGGAAATGTGTGCCGCGCTATCCCCCGGGGAGGAATCCTCACGGCGGGCCTGGTAGTTTGGCCTGGCAGTTTCTGCGGCAAAAAACCGACTCACAATGCCAGTCGTATGTGGATGCCGTTGGAATTGCCTCGATGGATTTTACTTCTAATGGCTTTGTCAACTACGCTTGCTAAACGCGTTTAGCAAGCGTAGATTAGCTAGCTAGCTCCATATCGTTTCCTGATGTAGGCTACAGCTAATTCATGCCCAGTAGATATTCAATCCCAGCATCGTTCTGTTCTATGTTCATTATGTGCTTTTTGTTGAACGCGTACAATCTAGTCAACCTTGCCTGAATCTGCCAACCCCCCTCCCCGAGGAAATACCCGGAGAAGGTGATACGCGTGGATCGATTACCTCGGGCATCGCATATATTCCCAAATACTGGCTGAAGGTCTCTGGTGGCAATGCGTATGGGGATACGCAGTCCACGGGTAAGCCGAGCATTCAAACTCTAGGCTCGGCAGCCACACCGGCTGAGCCAGACAACGCCCACGGATGCTCTATACGTTCCCAATCTGGTAATTCTGCAGCTTCGCCCCGCCAAGAGTTCAAACAAAAATTACTTGAGATGTTTTCAGCACCTCAACACCAAGCACGAAGCTATGAACTGGCAATTCGGGTACAATTCACTATTAGATACCGACTGGTGTCCTGGACTCTTTGTGTGTTCTTCCATGTGCCCTTTTGGATAACAAGTCCGAAGGTGGGAACAGCCCTAACATTCCCTCTCCTTTTCCTAATCGCCCACAAACCATGCACCAAGATATCATTGGCTGGACAATGACAAGCCATCCATTCTTACTGGCTATGTAGGCTGCAGCACGTGCTTCATCTAATTGAGGGGCTCTATTTCGCACGTGTCACCATGACTTCCCAAAGAGGAAGCCATGAGGGCATTCCCAGGCAGAAGCATCATGTGCCCTCCCCAGATTCGCGAAAAGCTTAACCGAATCAAGCATAATTAGCTCACCCCAGCCTCCCAGTGCCCATTGTCTTCCCAAAGAAAGATTTTCAGGGGAGCACAAACAATGGACCTGCAGAAAGCTTAACCAAATTAAGCCTCTTCTGCCTAGGCGATGCTTTCCTTTAGCAAACAAACCGAAGGCTACAGTCTAACATGCCGAGCGTGGTATAGCCTCATGCCCTGGAAAAGACTTTTAAGCCCCCATCCTCCTCGCCCTCTCGTCCCTCCTCCACCGACTCATCTTCTTCCTTTTCATATTCCTACTTTACATTCTCCCAGCCGGTCCAACCCAATTTCGAGCTTCACAGCTTACTCCACACATTTTAAAGCATATGCAACCTTCATCCCTTCCGGTCTCAATCATGACCATGCAGCTCAACTACTTGAGTGTTGATGAGCAAGGGCTTCTCCAGCCTCACGTCTTCAATTCCAAGACTGGAATACACTCCAGCATGGTCGATGCCACCGAGTATGCTGTGACTGAGTAAGTACCTCACCAACAAATACCTTGAGATTCATGCTCATCTCGATCATAGATACGAGGACTACGCTGACTTGGCCCTCGGCAACCCCTTCGACAACATGGCCAGTGATGAATATTTCGCGCGCAGCCTTTTCCATCCCTCTGGTCCTGTGATGTCTGATAATACCGACATCTTTGACGAACGTGAGATCGTCTTCCACGCAATGGATCTGGACATGAACCCCCTCGACATCGTCAATCCTCTCAAGTCTTTCCCTCCTCCCACCCCCTCCGGCTCCTCTGACATCTTCGCCCCCTTTGAGGAGTGGATCAAGACCCTGGTTCCGGACGGCTTGAACGTGGTGGGTGATATGCCCTGCGTTCCATTTGAACAAGCCGAGGAAGATCGGATGATGACCATGGCCCGCCAGTTGTCCCTGGGTACTCGCAGCCACTCGGGGGCCTCCTCTCCCTCTCAGTCTACATCCTCTATCTCCGGGATCAATGCTGGCGGCCATAAGCAAAAGCTGCTCTGGGGAAAGGACGGTCTGCTGGGGCTGAAGGAGGATATCTCCCCGAGCAATGTCCGTCCCAAGTCGGGCCTGATCCGGGGAATGACCAAGAAGCTGAAGCACCAGCTTGCCGATTTTGTGAGTTAACTCTTCTCATCTCTATGTTAACTTTAACCTCATTTTTAACGATATTCTGTTAGGTCGACGAATCCAACAAAGGGTTCAAGCGCAAGTCGTCGTTCTCGGCCGCCTCTTCGTATGCGCCTGGAAGCTCAGCCGCCGCTCTCGCCACCTCCCTGGACTCCATGGTTCAGGCCAAGCTCTACTCGGAGCTTGAAGTCATGATTTGCAACACTGCAAATGGCTTCATCCTCCAGCAGTACTATGAGGGACGCATCTCCCAGCAGTCCATCGACAAGGTCAATGCGGCCTGGAACGCCAAGAACAACCACCATGTGATTGAGTTCCGCTACGACCAAGCGACCCAGCGCGAGCTCATATCCTCCAACCGTCGCAACCTCGAGTTTACCGGCGACTCCTCCCGGTTCCCGATTTGCCTGCAGACCAATCTGCACAATTGGAAGAAGATCGCTCACGAGATGGGCATCCGCACTTTCTGCTTGCCGGATTGCGCGATCCGCAAGCACCTCTACGATATTCGCCAGATCATCGACATGATGAACCCTTCTCTGGAGACTCTTCGCGCCCTCCAAGACCTCAGCTCTTGGGCCCATGACCAGATGCTGGACAAGGAGACCGCCGCCCGTCGCCAGAGCGAGACTCGCCTGAAGCGAGGCTTCTAAGCTCTTGTTCTTTGCGCCGCCTGCATTGAACACCGCATACAGCTCCTCCATTCGAGGGAAGTATGATGGTTCATATTTCGGTTCGATCTGTCTTGAGATTGGGGCTGAACTGGTGCTGATGGTACGTTTTCCGGAACATATGGCTCTGATGATAACGACGGAATGTTCATGACTTTGATGCCCCGGGCTCTCTGGTTCTTCTGCGTTTTTGGGGTTTCAGTCTTCTAATTTGCTGATTATTATGGTCTTTTTTGTGTTTCCTGGGAGTTTCCTGGGTTATCTGGGTTTTTTAGTTTCTCTAGCGTCTGTGGCTACACATAATGCTTGGCCATGGTTTAATCTAAATCTGATCAAATTTTTCTTCCTTTATTCCATTCCGTACGCGCGTAAGTTTGGCCGCGGGTTGTTTTGTTGACCCCAGTTGTACAAAGTGGCACGTGCGGCGACGTCATCGTGGGAAACGCCAGGCAGCTTCCAGCTTTTCCCATTTGCTCGTGAAAAGCCATTTCTTTCTCTGGCCACTTCTGGCGATCGACTCTGTCCTGTTGGCTGCTCCTAAATAACTGCTGAAGGGCGATCAGGAACAAAGCTTGGTCATGATACGCAACAACTAGCGATCGGTCTCCAGATCTCGACGAGGCCTGATCCCGACAAGGTCCCTGGAAAAAAAAGTGGGACCACGTTGTTCACCATGACGGGCCCGTTTCATACCTATGGGCCAACCTGCCTGTTGGTAGATGAAGAACCGGAGCTTTCGAGTCTATATGCACTCTCTACGCCGCCAGAAATTCGTTCTCATTTCTTCTATGTTTCATCCCTGCCAATCGACGATCCACTGGCTCCGCTCCCGCCGCCGACAAGCGGTCAAGCATCGGAAGATGAAAGGCTGCCTCCAAAGCCGTTCTCGGCCAGAGACAACCTAGCTTTGGAGAAAGCCTGGCGGGAGCTTGGGAAGGCCCGAGAAACCCAGCCGGTTGACAAGATCGGGCCTTTGCCAGAAACGCCGACGAGAGCTGGGATCGCTGTTCCAGGCCAAAAATCAGCCCCCGACGTTGAATTGCGTCACAAGACGGCATCTAGAGGAGATGGAAGTCTATCGAGCACCGCAAGTACTCCTGTAGAGCAACCGTCGCTGCCAGATGAGCTGCTCTCACGGAGCGTCAAAGGCCGTTCCGGCCATACTGCTGCCAGCTCTGAAACCCGGCCCGAGAGCTACGCGGAGCGACGCTTGATATTTTCGTCTGCAGATGATGACATGAAGGATGGTAGTCCTAGCAGGAGCGGTGGTGGTGTTTACAAGAGGAGAGACCGATCAACGTCGGTGAACGAATCACCATCAACAAAACGAAGAAGCACTTCACCAGTCGACCACGACATGGAGGATGCTCATGATGAGGCTACCAGTCTGCGTGCCAATCGATCTCGAGATGCAAGCATTAGTGGATCACCTTTTATCAGAGCCCCAATCTCTCAATCGCACAGCCCCTTCGGCCGTTCGATTGAATCATTACCTCCGCGGGACAGGCCTCAAGAAGGGCAGACTGAGTTGCGGGCTCCTGCCACTCCCCGCTCCGTGCCCAAACCATCGGGTTTGAGGACCACTGTGAGCTTTGAAGAATTGACACCGAATCCGTTGCCTGAGGAGGATTCTCAGGAGGACTCACAAATCAAGCTCCCAGTTGGTGCATCGCGCTTACATCTGGTCGAGTTGCCAAACTTGAAGGTATGGGCGTTTCCCTATCATGTAGAACGTGAGATTGTGCTAATAGCAATTCTAGATGAAACCTATCTACTGGAGCCCGCTTCATGACGTCTCAAACGTTGTGCGAGCCACGTGGTTTTACAAAAACACCATGTCGCCCGTGGAGACAGATCTCGCGAACAGACTAGAGGAGGGATATGTCTATCTGAGACCTTGGACCGATACTTGGCAAGATGAACTAAACAGTTGCGTTGAGAATGGTGCCGATGCAGAGATGAAGATCGTTCACGAACTCTGGCCCAAGCAAGGATCGCTGTCTACCAGCCGACCTGGTACGGCACAAGAGCCGAACCAGGCGAGCAATCAGCCTGCTCCAAATGAGAGTACCGAAGTCTTCAAGTTTGACCCCAACCAAGCTGCCGGAGGGAAGGCTATTCACGATGAAACGATCAACCCTCATGTCACTTCAAGCGCCATCTATGTGGATGCCCGAAATGCCCAGATCCTGAGACCCAGCCTTCTCCCGTCAGTTGCTCGGGGACGGCGACCACTCAGCGCTATTCGCAAAGGACGCCAAATTGGCATCCCCGTGGTTCGAGGTTTCAGTCGCAAGCGGTGGGACCAGCTCCACCCATCAAAACCCAATCCCGTCGATGTTCGCCAGTATATCCGAAGAAGCCAAGGCCAAGATACGGCTGCTGCGCCCGGTGAAGCTGTATGCTACGCATGCAAAATGGAAGAGATGCGTCCGAGCCCATCGGACCTAGTATTTGTCATTCACGGTATTGGCCAAAAGCTCTCGGAGAGAATGGAAAGCTTCCATTTCACACATGCGATCAATGCCTTCCGTCGCCAGGTAAATATGGAGCTGAACAATGAGCCTGTGTGGCCGCATGTGCGACAAAATCATGGTGGAATAATGGTGCTGCCCGTCAACTGGAGGACGACCCTGTCCTTGGAAGATCCAGCCCTGGATACCGCAGACACAGATGACCCAGCGTCCAACAACTTCTCACTCGCCGACATCACACCCGAGACACTGCCGGCGGTGCGATCCCTGATCAGTGATGTCATGCTCGATATTCCCTACTACCTATCTCACCATAAACCAAAGATGATCAGGGCCGTTGCAAGAGAAGCCAACCGGATCTATCGCTTGTGGTGTGAGAATAATCCTGGATTTCAAGACAGTGGCCGCGTCCATCTCCTTGCCCATTCTCTGGGTAGTGTCATGGCTCTGGATATTCTGAGTTACCAGCCAACAAACATTCCTCGCTTTGATTTTCCCAACACCCCTCTTCACAGCGACATCTTTGAGTTTGATACTAGGAATTTGTTTCTCTGTGGAAGCCCTGTTGGGTTCTTCCTGCTCCTTAATAAGGGTATGTTTGACCAGACAGGCGATGCTCTCGAGATACTGACCTTTCGACCTAGCCACCCTTCTCCCTCGCAAGGGAAGAGAAAAGCCAGGAAGCGAGGGCGAGGATCGACTGCGCGGTGTTGCTGGAGAGGCTGGCAAGTACGGCTGCCTCGCTGTGGACAACTTGTACAACATCATCCATACAACAGATCGTATGTTTTCCTCTCTCTCCCTACTACCTATTCAGTATGTTGGTATTAACAATTTATTCAGCGATTTCATACCGTGTGAATGCCGCAGTAGACAGCGATCTCGCCAATTCGCTTAAAACTGCTTCCATCCCCAGCTCTACCTCCTCGTTCATACAATCCTTTGGCAGTGTCTTCCGATGGAGCTCAGCGCCTGGATTTATCCCAACCACCACACCGATCCGCCCAGCAGCAGTAGCAAAACTCCCATCAACTGTCGAAATGGAGACGCACGACTTCACCCGCGAAGAGATTGCCGAGAAGCGAATGCTACTACTCAACGACAACGGCCAAATTGATTACTACCTCTCTGGTGGCGGTGGTCCCCTCAGCATTCAGTACCTGAACATGCTCAGTGCGCATAGCAGTTACTGGACTTTGACGGATTTCGTGCGATTCTTCGTTGTGGAGGTTGCTCGCAAGCAGGGGCGGAATGGAACTCTGCTTCCTTTCAGAGCGGAGAAGAAAAAAGAGTGGAAGTACTCCAAGGGTTGATCTGCTTACTCTTCTTCCTGCCTTTAGTGCATGGCAATTTCGAATACATTTGCCTGGTTCTTTTAGCTTTCAGCGTCACAGATATCAGTGTTTTTAGAAGCAAGACGCGGTTGATACAAGGATATCATACGAATAGAATTTAACCCTTTTTTCATGTTAAGGAACCTCTCATACAAAGCGGCGTATATCTGAAGTGGCCATCAATTTCTAACCACAGAAATCTGACCTACAACTAGATCGATCTACATTCCTTCGGCACATATTAGAAGCTCCACATCTATGTCCTATATACACTAAACGATAGCCTAACTTAGACTAATCTCATGATCACCACTCGAGGGCAACACTATCCCACATAAATCCATGCCAAGTAGTGTTCCTCACCATGTTGAAAGTAAGCTCATTCCAACCCTCCTTGATCAAATCCTTATCAAAGGAGTACTCAAGCAAATGCCACTCACCCGCACCCGTTGCAGAGCGATACAAGCAAGGATCAGAGGGCAGCAACGAGGAACCACTAGTCATATTGCCAATTTGAACCCCATTGGCAAGGATATTGGTGCTAGCCCCCGAGGAGTATCCAGCCAGCGAAACGATCAAATTCGGAGCGGCAGTCTCACTAGCAGCCCCCGCCTTGAATCGAACCGTCCAGTTACCTTTGTACGTCTGTCCGAAGCACCAATCACTCGTCTCAGACTCGCCGATGGTATATGTCAGGTTTGCAGGACAAGAAGCGACAAGGGCGTGTTGGTGTGGCGCACCACCGTGCAGGAAGCCATAGCTGTAGCGATCGAAGTCACCAATCTGGAAGAGTTTCGTCTTTGAGGAAACTTCCCAGGTCAGACTGCCGAGGTTGGTCTTTGCGGACTTCTTGACGGTCACGTCGTTCTGGAGGAAGGATGTGGTCACATCTGCGATGGAACTTCCGTTGGACCAGGCTTGCAGGCCGTATGTAGCAGCGCGGACGTCGGAGAATTCGAAGTTTCCGTGCTTATCGGCGTATGCGGTGTAGTAGTATGTTGATCCCATGTCAAGAGAGGTTTTGCTGGGGTTGTTGTCACCGAGGAACACGGCGGCGTTGCTGGCGGGTCGGCCATCGGAGAGAACGATCTTGCCTCTCACGACGCCGCGGCTGTGGTAGTCTTCGTCGTCAAGCCAGCTGTACGGCCAGGAACTGAATTCTTTGGCGGCTCGCTTGGCTGCGTCTTTTTTGTCGCCGTCGTTCTGGAGAGGGGGTTAGTAGGAGTTTATGGCCGGAGGGCAAGATCGTGATACATACCAGATACCACAGCCAAGGTCCCCACATCTTGCCGTCTGGGAATACATCGGAAGAAGAGGCCATGAAGTGAGTACCGTGGATCATGTTCAGTTGCACGGCATCTCCGGTAGATGACTCTCGGTGGACCTAAGTATCAATCAGTCTCATCACTTCTCGCAATCAAATACCTAGTGAGGAACGTACCATCAGCTCCTGCTTGAGGTGATCACCATTGTAATAATCCTTCCCAGCATTGATGTACCAGCTCCCAAAGCCATCACCATAGACACCGAAGAAATCCTGGTTCCTGGACCAGGCAGTAAAGTCATACTTGGTGATATACCCACTTCCATCGGGCTTCAGCCACGTCTCATCCTGAACCTTGTTCTGGGATAGATACTCGCTGAGAGGTGGCAGTTCCTCATCCTTGATGTCTGTTCTTCCCTTGGTAAAGGTTGAGTTATCCAGCCGCCAAAGCGTGCGGAATTCACCGAGGGTGGGTAGCGCGTGGTTCACAAAATACTGGTAAGCACCGGATAGACCGGAGAAAATGACCCAATGCATGTCTCCCTCTGCAGCAGTGAACGAGACATCGATGTATTGCTTGCCTTGGTAGGTTCCTCGTTTGGTAATAGATGCCGAGGTCCACTGTAGGTTAGACGCTGCACCGTCTTCATCGGGGGTTAGGTCTATGCGAAACGAAGAAATGTGATGATTGAGGAGAGTTTTCACATACTGTAACTGACATAGTGACCAACGGCCTCTCCAACACAATCCTTCTCCTTGTACATCAGCTTGACGCCGTAGATCTGCTCCTGAGTGACGTTCCAGATCTCATTGCCGAGGACCCATGTTGCGTTGTCGACTTGCGTCAAGAAGGGCCCGGTGGCAGACTTAGAAGGAAGTGCATTGACAATGCTAAACAGCAATGATGCTGCAGAAAGAAGAAGTCCCTTCATTTGGTACTGTAGCTCCCAACGTGGAAGGCAAAGACCTATTCTGGGATTCCTGGGCGAACATGGAGATGATCGAGCTCTAATGCCATCTCATATACTACGAGAGAGTTGCCTTAGCCTAATTGATTCGGTTGAATGAACACCGAGTGGCTTATAACCCCAATACATTTTGTTCTTGAGCTTGTCCTCGTAGTGACAGTCCGGACAGTATAAACACTCAGCCACGTGTGGGATTCCCCGCATTTTTGAAAATTCCTGCTGGCCTCTCCACTTCTCCGCAATCGAACCGGACTCTCCGCAGACTCCACAATACGGTCGAGCTTCTTAAGCGATCGCTAATAGTACAGGTGTAAAACCCTCCAATGGTAAGTCAAGCACGGTAAACTGAGTCCTGGTCAAATTATGGAGAATACCGGTGGACCATGGCTGGATTGTAGCTGAAGTATACTTTAAATAGGCTCATGTCGTCTGTTGATTACTTGTCCCTGCCAAGGTCTTTGACTCTAAAGTACGCCAAGAGCAACTGCCGACAATGCTAGACCTTTGGAAGTGATAGACTCTCTCGGCTATAATCAACAAGAAAGAATGGTGATAGTCTGGGGATGGATTATGCGGGGTATTCTGCGGTGAACGATGACCTCAATTGGCGGAAGAATTGCCTGAGCCTATTAGCCTAGCGCGGCGCTATGAACCGAAATGAGTGCCGCCAAGACCTGAGGAACAGTAAAAGCTGGATTTCTTCAGGGGATTCGGATGTCATTGACCCGATCATTCCATGGATGACGAAGCGAAGATGTCCCGAGCCTATATTGAGAGGGGGGTGCATTGCTTTGAACCGAGCCTCGTCAAAATTTCAGGCTTCCAAAGCCAAAGATGCCTCGAGAAATCATGGCAGCCAGAATCCACCATATACCATATTATATTTTTTTGCCCTCGCGATCTACTGGCAGTACAGTAACACTGCGTCATCGGTATGAATCAAGACACAAGGACCATAAGGAAAAAGACAACCCAACCCGAAATGTAAAGTAATAATCAATTGAGAAACGGTTTGAAACGTAGGAGACCCAGCCCCGGGATATATCGTTGTCATCAATGTCGCGTGAGTCTAGCTAAGTATCGCAGCCATGAACATGGCCCATCATCAGTGCCTCCACGATCTCGCCCTTGGTGACGACACCACTTCCAGGACGCAGAACGACCAGAGCATTCGCCGTTGCCAGACTGCCGACCCGCGAACTGCGCTGGCCAGTTCCACCGAGTCCGGTGCTGGTGGCGTACAAGCGGCCATCAGAACGCGAGGCGGTGACAACGGCACGGTGGTACTCGGTGCGTTTGGGATCCAGGGGGAAATCGTGTGTCAGAACGACCGCTACACGAGGAAGGCCGAGCTGCGGGGCCATCCAAGGCTTCGAAGCTAGTGCTTGGGAGCTCTCGCCCAGACCAGAAAGCTTGTGCAGCGAGGGCAGAACGAACAAATTCAGGGTCACCAAAGCAGAGGCCGGATTACCGGGAAGAGCGAAGATAAGCTTCGACTGGCGCTCTTGCTGAGCTCCCTCCGTTGGGCTTGTGGCCTCCTTGAATGGGATTGTAGCAAAGGTGGTCGGCTTGCCGGGCTTCATCGACACGCGGCCAAAGTGAATGGTGCCACCGAGGGACCGTTCAATGGTGGGCTTGAGGAGGTCGAGCTCGCCCATTGACACACCACCCGTGGTGACAATAACGTCGACACTGGACGACGCACGGCCAACACCCCGGAGCGAGTCGCGCAGGGCATGTTCGATCTCACCAGCAGGAGTGTCGCGTGCAATACCGAGATCGACGGTGGGGAAACCCCAAGACTGGAGACATGACAGGAGTGATGGACGGTTGGAGTCACGGATCTGCCCGCCAGTGAGAGTCTGGGGATTGTCATGCTCCACCAGCTCATCTCCAGTGCTGAGAACGCCAACTCGGGGTTTCTTAAACACCTTGACCGTCCGAATGCCCGAAGCAGCCAAAAGACCAATCTCGCCACCAACAGGAGAGATCACAGCTCCGCGGGAAAGAATTTTGGAGCCAAGGGCGATGTCACTACCAGGCTCGCGGACGTTCTCGCCGGGTCGGATATCGCCGGTCAGAATTTCGACCGTGGCCTCTTCAGTACCGTCTGGTGTAGATGATGCCAGGACGGTGTCTTCAACCATGACTACGGCATTCGCGTTGGGAGGGAGAGGAGCTCCGGTGGTAATTCTAGCGATGCTACCTGGCTGGAGGGGGACCAGGCCTCCACCGACATTGGCGTGGGTGACTGATGCTACGGGGAAAATGCCTTTCGTATTAGGTCCGGAGGGGGACTCTGTTGCAATGACAGCGTAGCCGTCGACGATGCTGGCCTTGTACGCTGGCACTGCCTCAGCGGCGTAGACATCTTCGGCAATGACTGAACCCACCACCGAGAGGTTCACGGGAGCCTCAATAATGGTGGGCTCAGGTGTATGCTCGCTGATCTGGAGAAGCGCTTCCTCTACGGAAAGCATTGGGTAGGGTGAGGAACGATAGCGCCTATTAGGACCAGCGGATGGGTCATTTGACTGGGGTCGGTCCGCTGAAGAGGTATGTGCTTTGGGTACTACATGCCCATGCCCACCTCCATGGCCATGGCCGTGATGATGGTGGTGGTGGTGGTGGTGATCATGCTGCCGTTGCTCAGAAGTTGAAGACACGCCTGCTTCGGCCTCCAGCTTCTTGACGCCGCCAGCATGCATGGTTCGAGAACTTCCGCCAGCAGCCTGCAAGCAGGCATGCGGCAACAGTTTCACAACTGCATCGAGATTCTCCATGGCTCCTTTTGGAGATCCGGGCAACGTAATAATTAAAGACTTGTCACGAACTCCAGCAACTGGACGAGCCATCATGGCAACTAAAGCTAGGGATTAGCGGGATGTAAATAGTCAAGCCGATGCAGAGCCCAGAGGGGGCCAACGGCAGGGGGGATGTCATCTCACATGGCGTTACTTTCAATGAAGCGGCGATCATACCATGGCTGAGGAGATCAGTTGTTCGTTAGTGCCTACGCTCAAAACCCTCGATTATCGTGTGCACTTACACCAAGCCCGGAGCATGGCGATGGATCAGGGGAGAAATTGCCTAGTGATGTCATTAGCGCGGATGATAATGTTGAGTTGGACCGCAATATGCCTCACCTCTGGGGTGTTATCTCGCACAGCAAAGCCCGTTCCGCCGCTGAGCAGGACCAGATTGTACCAATTGGGACCATCGGTCCAATCACAGACGGCCTGTTGAATCTGCAATACGTTATCCGGCACGATTTTGATCGCGGGAGTTTCCCACTTCCCCTCCGCGGCGAGGATGGGGGCGAGGGCATTGGCCGTTTTGTCCGAAGCGGGGTCCTTCGAAGCCGTATCCGAGACGATCAGAATGGCTGCCTTGAGTCTGGAATCGGCCTCGGTGGTTTCCATATCGTTGGGGATTTCGGGTTTTCTGGGGGAGGGGGCTATGCGAGAGAGTGGAGAGAAGAGAGAAGAGAGGTCTTGAAGAGGGAGGCCGATATGTAAACTCTGGGGTAATCCGCGAATCCCCGGAACGGGAAACGGGGCAGCTTTGCCCTGAGTGGCCGGTCCGTGGTCAGTGGACACGAAACATGATCATATTCGAATCGAGTGAATGTTGTAAAATTGTTGCTTAAGTGCGGTCTCATTTTGCTACTCATTTACTGTACACAGACATGATCTCCGAGTCAATGAAGGCAATTCAGCAAAAAGACACCCCAAAGCTTGCTTCTACGGTATCGAAATCCAGACGCCCTGATGCTTGTATACATAAAGAGGTTCCCCAGGTGGGAAGACGATCAAAAATAAGATGAAAAGAAAAAGGAAAAGATCCGAGATCATAATGGGGCAGCTGGCACCCCCTCTTTCTACTGCCATGGTAGGCAATCATAACCCTCACACCAGTGGAGAGTTTTCCATTTAAGCCGCACCCATATCCAAGGCCTTACTACCAACCAGAAGGCCGATGATCAAGCCAAACAGACCCAGGACCGAACTGAAAATCTCGATAACGAGAATGCGGACGAACCTATCGGGTCGATGAAGGTAAGCAGGGCTATCCAGACCGCCACACCAACAACCAAAACCACCGGGGAAATCAAAACTTACAAGCTAGGGTCAACGGCGTCCGCAAGAGCAGCGCCACTGCCGTTGATACCGACCGAGACACCGCAGATCAGATTGCAGAATCCGACGGTGATACCTCCCCAAAATAGAGCATAACCCGTGTAATAGTTGCTCTGAGTGTAGAGCTGGCTCTCGGGGACCGGAGAGAGCTTCGAGGAGAAGATAATGGCAATGATGACACCGTAGATGGCCACGACCTCACAGAAAATGATGGAAATCAAGTTCTTGGTGCGGATTCGGGGTGCCCGCACACCACCACCGACGATCGAAGAGCCCGTAAGGAAGATACCCCTGTGTCAACAACGAAGACGTAGTTGGTCAGCCAGCATAGTCACAATCTCAAACCATGCAATTCAGACATACCATGCAGCACCAATGGTCGAACAACCAATACACAACCCGATACCAATGTTTGCCCAGGCGTACGGAGATACCTCTTCCAAGAAACGGCCGACCTGCGCATCATGTCAACATGCAACGAACGAAAACGAGCTTCGGCAGGGTCGGAAATAGATCACATACATTGAAAGCTTCACCCTCTCCCTGGAAGAGCATATCTGCAAGCCGAAGATCATCGGATTAGCTGTCAGGCTTCCCAAGCTTTCGGCGGACGTGGTGGAACATACACAGCCCGACCACCACAAAGGTGGTCGTCAAGACACCATAGAGGTACCGAGGATACATGGCGACCTCGGAAAACCTGAAGATGAAAGAATGAAAAGGCCTCGGAGTGGGTGGGTGAGAAGAGGCGCCGATAAGGGAGCTGAAGCTCTGATCGGAGTTGGGGAGGAATGGACTCGGTGGCTCGGTCGGAGCGGATTAACTGCTCCGTTTGGGGGGGCGGTGGCCTTGTCTGTTTCCCCAGATCCACGGCTCGTGTTCAACAGCCCGGACTTGGTCTTGTCGATTGCACTCTCTACTGCGTTGGTCTTGACAGATTCACCACTGTAATCCTCGAGCTCTGTCTGATTCCTGCGTGACGAGTTCCCGGTTTGGTGGCGCCGCGCATCTTTTGACCCCGATTTCCCCTGAGTCTCCCCCTCCCTCCTCTCGACAACATAACCATCGCCATGGCCTCCAGTTCTGGGGTAGGTTCGTATTCGAACCCTTTGAAGAAGTTCAAGTGAGTGGTTCCCATTGTTCTCTGCTGTCTTTGACGGGGAATTGTTACTAATAACCTGCAGGCTGGTCTTCTTGGGAGAACAGAGCGGTATGACTATCCCGAGGCGCAAATGCCACCCATGAATCCCATGGAGAGAAACCGAGGCACGAATAGCAATCCTAACAATGAATGCAGTTGGCAAAACTTCCTTGATCACCCGTTTCATGTACGACTCGTTCGACAACACATACCAGGCCACCATCGGCATTGATTTCTTGTCCAAGGTAACCAATCCTCGAATCTCGCCCCCCAGAACCTTTTGCCTTTAATGCTTTTAGGGCCATATATGCTGATGCCTGCTTCTTTCACCGCTTCAGACGATGTACTTGGAAGACCGGACCGTCCGCCTTCAGCTTTGGGATACCGCCGGTCAAGAACGATTCCGCTCCCTGATTCCTTCCTACATTCGAGACTCGAGCGTCGCAGTCGTGGTTTATGATATTTCCAATGCCAAATCCTTCCAAAACACCCGGAAATGGATCGACGACGTCCGTGGAGAGCGTGGGAATGACGTGATCATCGTGCTGGTGGGCAACAAGACCGATTTGAACGACAAGCGCGAAGTTACCACGGCACAGGGTGAGGAGGAGGCAAAGAAAAATGGCTTGATGTTCATTGAAACCAGTGCCAAGGTCGGACACAATGTGAAGCAGCTGTTCCGGAGGATTGCCCAGGCTTTGCCTGGAATGGATGGCGAGGCTAAGCAGGGTGAAAGCACAAGTATGTTGATACGCCAGATGCCGCCAGGCTCCCAGATACTAACTGAGTTGCTGCTTCCTCTAGTGATCGATGTCAACATCCACCCCAAGGAAACTACCAGCAACGAGGGCTGCGCTTGCTAAATGACCTCCGATCCATCCTTTTCATTTACACATTTCTCGACCGATAATGAAAATCGAGTCCGTCCATGATATTGCCCCGATTCCTTTAAGATGTACATGTTCCCCCCCTCCACTTTCTCCTTTGCTCGTCAGGTGAATAGCGTGCGTTTAGATCTTTCAGTGTTGAATGCGGCTGTTAGGTTCTCAATTTTCCCTTTGGTGAGCTCTTGCGCGGCGGGTGGGCGTTCTGATTTCTGTGTACTCCACACTACATACTATCCTGTCACCTTGATCATACTGGATGACCGCTTCTCTTTATTTCCGGGCTGTCCATGACCACTCCGGTCCTATAAGTTAACATATTTGGTATGGTATAGTCTATGAAACTGTACAATATAATATCTTCACGGCAATGCAGTGTTCTGAAAGTTGAAGCTTAACTTTTAGCTCTTCTCCATCGTAGCCGTCACTAAGACTGTAGAAGAGAAAGACACGATCAGTAATCTCAGTTCTTCGGTAGAAGAATTACAATATCCATCTCCAGGTCACAATTAGTGCAGACAGGTAGCGATACGAATAATATCTGATAGGTATTCATTTTCTGAGCCATCTGGAACTCATTCTACGAAAGCGCCTGGGCCTAATCGGGTCAGAAAGATATCAGACTATATAAAATATAATGTACACGATTCTGGATGGAGAAGACATGCTTTTCTGGACCAAATTCACCTGGCAATGAATGGAACGTTAATATTTGGACTCAAGAACCCCGTTCTTTTCCTCTTTGATGTAGATAAATGTCGAAAGGGTGCCAGGGTCGTTGATGCCATAGGAAAGCTAGCAACAGCACTACTCTGCAAGATGGCTTGAGCGAGAATTGATTCAGACGTGTCTCGTTTAACTGGGTCGTCATAATGAGGTGTTCAGATGCTGGAAAAAGGGAAGTTATTGTTGAAGACAGACTCTCAACGGCTGACGGAGTTAATGGATAGCATCCGGAAACTCAATTCAGGTCCAAGTACTCCGTACCCAAGATCAGTATTCAGTAGTACAATCATAGTACCAAATGCCCTTGAATGATCGCTATTTGATAGTCCTGTCGCAATTGGCCTTGTAAATCAAATGGTAGAAGAGGATAAGTTAGAAAGACGAGAGTTTCGTGTCTTCGGGCCCTCAACGCCAAACGCGGTGAGAGTAATCCCTGCTATGGAGTCACCGCTAGAAGCCAAGACGGCCGACGTGCATGGATGACTAAAGCACGTCATAAGCCGAGCCAACCACATTGAAGTGGACTCTTGTCACATTGCTTTTTGGAGACTACTTTATTTTGACTATTCCTAATTTTTCAATTCTCGAGTGGATTCCACCCGGACTGGAGTGGCATTACTAGCTAATATTGCGCAATGGGTGCAGAAATGCATTGACAGAGAACATCTTTCATGTTGTAATTCACCATCTTATCACTATTAATCACTAAGAAATTACTTTTTGTAGGGGTATCACATCACTCAGGCACGTTCGTCCACCTCGGTTTCTTCGTTCTCCTCCATATCCGCAGCATGCGACTCGGATGCGGGTTCGAAGAAGGGCGCAAACTTGCTCTTCATTCTCATCTTCCTGCCGAAGAAGTAGAATGCCACAGGAATGGGGACTAGGCACACAGCGACACAACCGAGGAGCGTAGAGGCCCACTGGATGCCCATGTTTTCGAACATTTGGCGCGAGAAAAGCGGGAAGCTGGCTGCCACCAGCGATCGGCAGAAAGTGTTTGCGGCGATAGCGGAAGCGGCACTGAACGATATCTTGTTAGAAATGGTTCAAAATCTTTGAAATTTCCCCGGGGGGGGGGGGCGGGGTTACTCACAACATGAGATAAGTATCGATGAGATAGTTGAATAGCTGGATGAAAATGATCAAGAGACCGAATCCAGTAAACAATCCACTGAGAGTGGGCACGATCCAATGGATGTCCTTGGTGAATCCCGTCCATCCAAACCAGAAGATTCCGGCGGCGAAGAGTGCACCACCGACAATGACGGGCGGAAGACGCCATTCAGGAATGGGAATACCGCCATTTTTATCCAACTTGCGGACGTACGATCCGCTGGAAAAGATGATGTAGGTGGCAGCGATGAAGAGGCCGACCACCATGCCAAACAGGGGCAAGCCACCGACTCCAGCATTCATACCATGGACTTGTTGGAACACAAGGGTATAAGCAGTCAAAAAGCAGTAAAGAAGACCATAGATGAAACTCAGGTAGAAGGTCACCGCCAGGATCACTGGCTCATTGATCAAAAGTCTCAAGGGACGGGAAAAGTTGTTGACCACCAAATCCCGAAGGTCGACTTCGATTTCTTCCTGCTTGGCGTGAATACCCCAGTTCTTGGTGCGGCGGCGCAATTCGGAAGCCTTGTCCACTAGGACCACCGGGGGGTAGGACTCCTTGAGGAAGAACAGATTCATCACAAAAGCCGCATAGCCCATGAATGCTGGGATATAGGCGGTCCAGCGCCAACCCAAGTAAGACATATTGATAAATCCTCCGATGAACGGTGCAATGAGAGGGCCCAAGAAGACCGTGCCGGAGAAGCATGCAATGGCAATACCACGAGTGCGGTTGTTGTAAATGTCGGAAAAGACGGCTGCGACAACTGCCAGAGGCGAACTACCAAAGACACCACAGAAGAATCGGCAAATAAGGAGGGTTTGCAAATCTTTGGCAACTGCCACACCCGTATTGAAGATACCAAATCCGAGCATGGCAAAGATAATTGGTAAGCGGCGGCCCTTCAATTCGGATAGAGGGGCCCAGATCAAAGGACCAGTGGCATAACCGCAGATGTAGAGTGAGCTGGATAACACTGAGACTTCGAGACTAACCCCAAAGACCCTGGCGACGGCTTTGGAGGAAGAACTGAAAATGGCGGAATCGAACGTTGAGCAGATACTGGTGTACGCGAGCATTGCGCTGATCAACACTCTAAAAGGGGTACATTGTCAGCGATATCTTCTATCAGTATCGACGGACAAAAGACCTACTTTGTTTTTAGTGGCCAATTCTGCGGGTAAAGAGGATCGTCCGGTCCATCGAACTCTACGACGTAGTCATCCCGGTTTGGCAGCTGTGGAGGATACGGCTTACCAGCACCGAACGCTGGTAAAGGGAGCTTAGATGGTCGCGACTTGACGCTTTCACCGACGGTCATCGAATGCTGCAGCCGCTGGGTCTCTATCCGGCTCAGCGCCTGGGAAAGCCCCGATCGTCGACGCTCCAGGTCAAGTTCTGTATTCCTCGACTGCATCCTATGGAAGTTCGGGTTGTAATCGACAGAGCTACTGGAACCCGTCGACGACATAGTGGATCCTGAGGTAGAAGGCCTCGCAGCCTCGCCCGAACGTCGAGCCTTCTCCTGGCCCCAGTCCTCGGACTGATGCTCGGCGTTCGCCTCCATCTCGGCCGCTTCGAGATCGTGATCGACGATGTTGCTCATGATGATGATGTGATGAGATGTCTGACGGGTAATGATGGATGACCGTGAGGGGTCGGAAGTTAGATTCGCGGCAGCGCCCCAGACGCTCACGACGGCACGTCAAAACGCCTTTGGGGAGGGGAATGGGTGGATAACGGATTGAAGGAGAAAAGGAATTTCTCCAGGCGGCGAGTCAAGCCGTCAATATAAACAGAAGGTCACCTCGATTCACGGGTTTGAACAAGAAAATGGGGGGCCGAAATGGACCAAGATCCCGACTTAACCGTCCAGACCCACCATTCGACGGCTTCAGTCCGCGAAAGTAACTGCCGATTATATCGGGGTAAGTATGAAAAGTGTGCAGTAGTATTGAATGGAAGCTTAAATTCAAGATCGATTTTGCCTCGGATAATTGTCTCCTAGCTATAATTGCCTACTGATGCCTGTATTATTAGAAGGGTTCCTGACTAGAAAAGCGAACTATTCAAAATTTTCGATGCAACCATCGCCTCCGCCCAAGACGGCGCGCGTGTCGGAGGTGGATCTTGGCCGGCGCTAGTGGGAAAAATTATGTGCGCCGCGGGACTGATGTCATCCATTGGACCTCATGATTCAGAACGCACCCCCTAGATGGTGGAGTTTCGTTACTAATTTTCTGGCCCTATTCCTCAGTTCATCAAGATTGAATGTTGGCGCCCAGCGAGGAGTGGCGTCCTCCGGGATTAGACTCTGAATCGCGAAAACTCTGGAATGATAGGGAATGTTCCGCGCGTGTGCAGCAGGAAAGATCAAAAGCGGTGGCTGCAGTGGATCTGATCTACGCGCAAAGCCTTCTCGGAATCTTCCAGGAATCTTGGGTCCGGGCACTCCGGTTTTTTAGGGCTGGATATCAGATTCCCGCTTTCTTAAATATAGGTACAAGGAACGGAGTACGCCGTGCTCAAGTACCGATTAAGCTTTGGGAGATATTTATTCGACAAGATAAGAATTCACCAAAGTCAAATTCTATCATACGCATCGTCACTCCTCCTGGCAGAGAAAAGAACGTCACTCTAGGCGACGATCAACGGGCCAGATCGATTCTAATCAGAATGCAATCAGCTAACGGGCTCATATTTGGGCGTCAAATTTCTGCAACATCAAACACAAAGAGGAAAAATGTTCCGCCAGCATCGAGTTTATGCGAGGGTGTCCGAACGAATTCTGGGTGATAACGATCAAAGTCGTATCATCAGTAACGCTTAGCAAGCTCTATGGCTATTTAGACGGAAATCATCCCAGTGGTCAATCATTTCAGCCGATCTGAAGCAATTGTTTGAACTATAGAACGGATCTTTACAATCTAGAGTTCCTCATATTTAGAGAGTAGTAGCATGTTGATAAGTGGCTTCTACTAATCATACGACAGTCTCTGTCCGTTGAGCCTGAACCAATATAGTACAAGTTGCTGTCATCGTTGTTCACAAAATTCTTTATCCAATTCACGCTGACTTGCTGAAGAGTCGAGTTACTAGGCACATATAGCAGCCCTACGTGTTGAAAAATGACGGGATACCCGTGTTCACACACTGATTGCAATTCACGAAATCTAGAATTCTTCTTCATGGCCCTACTCGGTGCCAATGTGATAGGAGTAGCTGTGATGTAGAGGTGCGAAAACATCCATTGCGTAGACGATTCTAATATTTCGAATCTAACGGATAAGAAATGTGTACATATAGGTGCTAGTTCGCCTATCCCATGGTTATTTTACTCCTATTATCCATTCCGATTGAGTGGAACGTCTGATAATGTGAGAGCCTATATGGTTTCCATAAGAACGAGAACAGCCGCTCTGCGGTGACTGAAGCTCTAGGTGATACTATGCCCTAACTCAGTCTGGCATAGGTATCATTTTCGGGTCAATATCCGGTCCAGGTCTGTGCTGCAAGGGCCATCATATGTGTGGGTACCACGATGAGGATAGTACGGTATCACTTTGCTAAAGTTTACGATGTGGGGAGCTCCCTGAACATAGATACATTTCCATCGTCCAAGTGAACGGATACTAGTGGGTTATATACACTAGCATATTCTGGTTTGAATGGGTTGTGCTCGCCCTTCGATCGCAGTCAATACTGATCACCCGGCACTTTAAGAACCAACACCGTCCAAATACGAAGATGGAGCACACACCACTCAAAAGCCAGCGTAAGATTATCTATCTTGGAGAGTTCTAAGGCCTTCGTTTAAATTACCTTATACTAGTGGACGTCTTACTAGTAGACGTCTACTAAACGACGCACGTGTTAGTCACCTTCCGGGTCATAGGTCAGTGAGGCTAACAATCACTCAGTTCAAATCCACTCCATAGATCAATTGTTTCGATTTCAAAGAATCCAGAAATGGCTTTTCTTGGGTCTTCTGGGGTTTCATAGACTTTGACTGCCATCAGAATAACGATTGAAGACTATGAACGCCGTGGGGGGTCCGAACTATACAGTGCCGACAAATGGACTTCGACGTTCATCAATCGACCATAGTGGGATGAAGGGTTTATTTGACATGGGAAATGAGGAACTGGGACGAGCACTGATTGAGAATTTATGTTCTTGTCCCGTCTTTTCTTCATCTTCAATATGTGATCGTACTCTCGTATAGAAGTCGACAAATCGACTCGTAATGCAATTCGGTTCGTATAACCGGTCGCAATCGGGCAGGTGATCTGCACGGATCGGCCGGAAACTTGGCCCCCCTTGGGAAACCCTTCAGTCTCACTCAAGTCCCAGTCCCAGCCTTTTCTCTTCCTCCACTTCTTCACTTTTGCCTTACCTCCATACACCCTCCTTTGTCGTTTCCCTCGCCTGCCACATTCTTCGGCCATTTCGGTCATTGCCATCATGGGATTCTCATCCCGGTATCTCCGCATTCCGCGGCCAGAGGTGAGCCTTCGGTCGCAAAATCTCGCGATCTTATCCGTGGCCCTCAAGCTAATCACCCCGTGACTTCTGACTATAGTCCTTTCTCTATGTGATGAGCCTGGAGACCGGCGCATCATTGATCACCCTGTCGCTATTGCTCAACAAGATCAGTGGTCTGTATGGCTTGCTCGCCCTGTTGACGGGCTACCACCTGTCTCCCGTGCAGCTATCCATGTACCTTTACTCCCTCATCGCCCTTGCCCTCGCTGCTCTGCTCTTCCCACACATTCGCAAACAATCTCCTTTCGAGTGTCTCGCCCTGGCCTGGCTTTACTTGCTCGACAGTCTTATTAATGCCGCCTACACGGCAGCCTTCGGTGTGACCTGGTTCCTCGTCGTATCTCAGCATTACGACAGTGGCAAGGTGTCCGGCCCAGGCAGTGAAACGATCGCGGAAACCGCCGGCTTCACCAGTCCCAAGTACGATGCCGCCTATGTTGAAATTCAGAACACCAAGGACGGTAACAACTTTATCGCCCACCCCCCTCGCAGCGCCGACCACATCGGCAATGCCGTCTACCAGCCCGAGAGCTTCCAAAGCATCGTCTTCATCTGCCTGTTGTGGGTGATACGCATCTACTTTGTCCTGGTGATGCTCGCTTTCGCTCGTCAGACCCTTCGCCTCTGGGTCGTCACTCCTCGCCACACCCAACTTCCCACCCACAGCCGCAACGTCTCGGTCGCAAGCGTCGCCGATATCGACCGGGAGCCGTTCTCGGTGACCAGCCCCGAGGGCCAGGGTTGGAAAGGCAAAGTTGGCCGTATTATGGTCGGCATCGGTCGCAGCTACTGGCTTGGCGAGGAGGAAGAGGGCAACTGGCTGGGCAATTTGGGTCAAAAATTCCGAAACCGCAGCACCAACAACACCGAGCTTCCCGGTCCTCTGGAGCGTGAACGCAGACGTCGCTCGGGAACCGGTCCTCCTCAACCACCCCAATCGATCATCCGGGGCGCTACGGTGCAACCAACCATCCACGAGCATGTTCCGGGCATGAATGTCAAGATGCAGGACTGGACTGAGCCTCGTTAATTGATCATCCGAAATAGCATATTCGTCTATTGGGATGTCGTTGCATGGGCGCAAATCTTTGTACCATGGGGACTCCCTCTTTTCCTGTCAAATCTTACAGTCGCTCCCGCCTTAAACCCCCGGACCCGCCCTCGGTCTTCCATGCTGGTTCAGTTGACCGCACGAGACTATCTGTCAACTTCCAACAAACGAATCAGATTTGCCGATCTATTTCGTCAACCCACCTGTCTTCATTCCGCGGAGAAACAATCGCTAGAACCTCCGCCGGATGATCCGTCGATGCACCAGGAGATAAAGTCCCCGCCGCATTCTTGTCTCCAACTCAATCATACAAAATTCATGAGAATTTTTCCGTCAAAATGCTCGACCGTGCCTCGAGCGCCCTCCTCCGTCCTTGATGTCGGTGGTCACGACTTACGGCGTTTCGGTTTTAGGGAGTTGTGGTAATATTTGGGACGATTGGGCTACGATCGGGATTTGGGACTTGCTGGTCCTAGCTCTTGATTTGCATTTTTCTTTTTTTGGCGTTCGGATCATGTACGGAGTACACTGACCTGATATGGAAGTGGGTCTATACACGGGCGCCTTGGGTGACGAACATTTCACAGCATCTCTATATGTCTGGACAGAGATCCAAAGATTTCATATTGCACACTGCAAGTACCATAGCTATATACCATACAATCCATGCACATCCTCTCATGACTATGGCTATCATATCATTCTTACCGACTGCAACGTCCACTGTATAACCATAACCCTTCCCCTCCTCCCTGCTGTCCATTTTACATATGATAAATACATATCACAGCGCCCATTTGACATGTTCATTATTTACTTCTTTTTGAATTAGTCGCGATCTCGCTACGCCAAAAGCGCCACTGTGCGTGTGACAGGTATAGCCCCTGACTTCGGACGCCATTTGGTACATTTTCACGGGAACCGTGCCCAACGGATGCCCGATATCCTCAGAAATTCGGCCGACGAACATCCCGGTGGGGCACAGTTTAGTCTTAATCGGCCATGTCTGACGAAAATCGGAAGAAGGTCGGTGAATTAGAGTTATGATCTTCGCCCTCGGTCGGTGGCTATGCAGCCCTCGAGTCCCTAAAGACATGAACAGTTACCCTATTTAGAGTGCGCGGGATTCGCTCTACAACATTTCGATGCCTTTCATTAACACCCCCCTATACTCCCCCTATCTCATTATGTTTACTTCTGATCAATGGTTCCAGGTTGATGGTACGTGTCTCATACATACCCTGAGTGTGCTTTTGCGACTGATTTGAGTACTGATGAATGAAGAAACTGCCAATTGCCCAGTGGGTTGAGCAAAGACCAAATTTGTGCAAGATATCCAAGAACCAACATTCCAGCTTCGGCATCTCTTGACCACCGTGAAATACACCACCGCGAGTATCATCATCCTACCGGACACCCGCTCTGGATGTTCGGCATCCAATTCGATGCCGCGGGCATCTACCTCGTCGGCACACCGACCGATCAATTCCACGTATCCTTCGAAGAATTAATGTCCTCAGCAGGAGGCATAATCGGACTGCTCGAATACGGTCTCACCTGGAAAGTGATACACGCTGTGCTAAGCCGAATTCGACATCGGCTCTGGCAGAATTCGAGAACGTCACTCGATACGCCTCCTCCACTTTGGATTGACAATTCTGGTCCGGCGTTGTATGAAGTCCGGCATGGACTCGAGTGTATTCGAGTCAGTCCCCAGGAACTGGAGAGTTCTCGATTTGGGAGGGTTATCAAAGAACATTGGGATAGGGGGATGACGGGGCCGAGTACTAAGTGGGTTGTACAAATGGCGTTGGAGGCTTTCTTTATAGGGATTTGGAAGAGTCTGCTTCGGAGAATCAGGTTGAGGAGGTTTTGACGATGGGAATTAAGATATTTTATGGTACTGAAGCTTGTTTTGCTAGGCGCAGGGGGGTCTTTGCTTTTGCTATCGCTTTATTTCGTTAATGGGTGTTCTTGTTCCTTCTCTTTAAGGACTGATTACTATGACTATATGTACATTGATGTAGTGAGCTTCGCTAGGGCTACGGGCTAGGAAGACATTTGTCTTAGGGTAAGGCTACTTCTACCCCTAGATTTCCTGCACGCATCCCCTGGGGCCTTAGAGATCTGCCTGGCATAGGAAATGGGATCGAAGGCATGAAAACTTGTGCTGTATTCATTCAAGGGAGTACATGATCTTTCAAGAAAAAAGGAAGACATCAAACGCGCAAAGGATTTTGCACGAGCGTAAAGTTCGCGAACAAACAATGCATCTAGAGAAGCGAAAATGACATGGGACAAATATTATAGCAAGATAAGAAAGGTTTTTTATCAAATTTCCGTGACGGTCATGACACATTGGACATTTTCCACTGGATCAAGTCCCAGGTATTTACTCCTCATCCTCATCCTCTTCCGCGACCTATGAAAAACCGTTAGAATCCAACATGCGATTATGGAGGGAGGGATCATATGACACTTACACCCTCGTGGAAGTTCTGTCCGTTGGTGGTGGCTTTGATGATGCCAGCACGAATGCAGAAGTCACCGAAGCGCTCGGGGGTCTCGCCGTCAGTGTTGCGCTCCTGGGCATAGCGCTTGAGGAGACCCTTCATGATCTCCAGAATCTCATCCTCCTTGATGGAGGAGCGGTACAGCTTGTTCAAGCGCTGGCCGTGGTAACCACCACCCAGGTACATGTTGTAAGCACCATAGGCCTTACCAACGAAAGCCACCTCGGCGAGCCAGGGACGAGCGCAACCGTTAGGGCAACCAGTCATACGCATGACAATGCTGTCACGGGCCAGGCCGTTCTCCTCAAGGGTAGACTCCAGCTTGGAAATGAGAACGGGCAGGTAACGCTCAGACTCAGCCATAGCAAGACCGCAAGTAGGGAAAGCAACACAGGCCGAAGAGGACAGACGCAGTCCAGAGAAAGCGGTGTTGTCGAGCTTGTACTTGGCCATGACCTCCTTGACAAGGGGAAGGTCCTCGTCAGTGATCCGGGACAGAATCAGATGCTGGTTACCAGTGAGACGGAACTCGCCCTTGTTGAGAGAAGCGATCTCGCGCAGACCAGTACGCATGGCAAAGTCAGCGGTATCCTCGATACGACCGTTCTCAATGAAGAAGGTGAAGTGGTTAAGACCAGTCTCATCCTTGATCCAGCCGAAAGTGTCGACGTTCGACTTGAACTCGAAGGGGCGAGGCTCAGCGAAGCGGAGACCTTCAGGCAGAAGGTCCTCGACCTTGCCGCGGAAGACGTCGACACCCATGTCGTCGATGGTGTACTTCAGACGAGCGTGCTTGCGGTTCTTGCGGTCACCGTTGTCACGTTGGACGAGCATGATCTTCTCACAGGCAATGTGGACCTTGTCCGCGGGGAAGAATCCGAGCATCCGGCCAGTCTGAGGGTAGGTCTTCTTGTTGTTGTGGGTTGTACCCATACCACCACCGGCGAGGACGTTGAAACCCTCAAGGTGGCCATCGGCACCCTTGATGGCGATCAGACCAATATCGTGGGCGTAGACATCAGTGTCGTTGTGAGGAGGAATGGCAATGGTGATCTTGAACTTGCGGGGCAAGTAAGTAGGGCCGTAGAGAGGCTCATGGTCAACAACGGCATCACCAGCAACCTGGAACTTGTTGTCATTCTCATCCTTCAGCCAGATCTCGTGGTAAGCGGTGGTGGAAGGAAGGAGGTGTTCACTGATCTTCTGAGACCAAACGTAGGTCTCGCGGTGGAACTCAGACAGCTCCGGGAGGGAACTGCACATGACGTTACGGTTAACATCACCGCAAGCAGCGATGGTGTCCATCATAGACTTGTTAATGGCCTGCATAGCGCCACGAAGCTTACGCTTGATGACACCGTGGAATTGGAAGGTCTGGCGAGTGGTGAGCTTCATGGTCTCGTTACCGTGAGAGCTGCTGATGGCGTCCATCTGCAGCCATTGAGTAGGGGTGGCAACACCACCGGGGAGACGACAACGAATCATGAAGCTGTACGCGGGCTCGAGACCCTGAGCCTTGCGCTCATCACGGAGATCACGATCGTCCTGCATGTAGGTACCGTGGAACTTGGTCAGCTGCTGGTCATTGGCGGAGATAGCACCAGTAGACTCATCCAGAAGACCCTCAGCGATGGTACCGCGCAGGAAGTTGGACTGGATCTTGATATCCTCGTTGGTCATGGGAGCAGGCTCCTCGGGCAGACCCTCGACATTATCCACACCCAGAGACTTCCACAGACGAGGCTCCCACTCAGAGTAGCCAGTCTGGTAAGCATCAGGATCCTGGTCGTCACCAAGGCCGAGATCAGTGAGCTTCTGACCACCCAGGAAGGCAACGCGAGCATCAAGGTCCTTAGCAGGCTTGTTGTAGTAGATCTTGTCCTCCTTGCGGGGCCAGTAGTGGCTGTCACCGAGACCGAAGACCGAGTAGTGGATTGAAGAAAGATCGAGATCTCCAGAATTCTTGACATGCTCCCAAAGGCTGCGACCGTTCACGGGGAACTCACCCTGACCAGCAGTGGAAGAGATGAATACAACATTCTCCTCGGTGGGCAGATCCTCAATGGGATACTCGTCCATAGCAATGACCATGGTCTTGAGACCTCTGGCACGGCCACGGTTACCCAAGCGCTTGGCAATGTTCTGGGCATTACCGCCATCCGAGGCGAAGAGAATGGTCAGAGGAGCACCGAACAGGCCATCCAAGAGCTTCTCATATGAATCCTTGGCCTTGCGCTTCTGAAGGGCACGAACCTCGGTACCATAGGACTCAGAGAGAACGGGCGAGTACTTGGGCTGGCGGTTCATAAGCTGGGTGAGCTGGTTGTCCCGGCGAAGGAACTCCTCGAGCTCACGCTTGATGCGCTCAGAGTCAAGGGCAAACTTAGGCTCACCCTTCTCCTCGTTCGCGGGGTTCCAGCGGTACAAAGGCCAGTAGCCGAGATCAACAGCCTTCTTGGTCTCCTGGAGGACGGTAAGAGCAGAGTCGTTCTCTTGGTGGTAAGGAAGGTAAGCGATAACAACCGAAGGACCATCGAACTTCTCAGCCTCGGCCATGGCCTGGAGGACCTGAGTGTAGGAGCTGTACACGGCAGTAGAAGCAACGTAGGCGTTGCCGAAGTTCATGGCGTAGAGACCAATGTCCTTCTTGCGGCGTGTGGGGTCGGCAGCAGTGCGCTCGGAGTAGGGTTGCGAATCAATGATCAACATGTTGACATTGGCACCCGAGGCGAGGACATGGTGCACACCGGAGTTGCCAAGATCGTAAGCCCAGGCATCAGAGCCGATGAGCCACTGAGACTCCTCGTAGAAGAGCTTCTTAGACTGAAGGAGCTGGCGAGACACCTTGGAGCCATCGTTGGAGAGACGGGCAATAACATCGGGAGCAAGCTTGTTGGCCTTGGAAGCATCCTTGACATTCAGAGCCCAGCGGGACAGCCAAGTCTTGGGGACCTCAGTGGCAAAGGTGGTAGACTTGGAGGCCTCCTCAACCTCCCGAATGAAACGCTCACGGTGCTCCTTGCGCGCAAGCAGAGAGCCGAAACCATACTCGGGGCTAGCAGCGATGGTCGAAGAAATGCCGGCGTTCTTGGCACCAAGCTGGTTGGCGATGTAGAGGCGCTCACCGAAAAGCTGGTTCAGAATCTTCAAGTAGGCATTCTCAATGTGAGGTTGCTCGAGTGCTTCCTGAACCGCGGGAGCCTGAGAGCTGCCAATATCCAGGTTCTGGATAGGAGATGAGGCATTAAGGTTCTGGATAATACCACGGAGGGCCTGCACAGCAGTGGAGGGCTCGACGTATCCCAGGCGGTAGCCAACTACCTTCAGAGCCTGGCCCCGGACGGAGGAGGGAGTGACACTAGAAAGAATGTCCATGAATGAGGGACCCCATTTGGTGGTCTTGCGGACCTGCTCCAGAACGGCGATCTTCTCCACGGAGGCGGGGATAGAGTTCACAATCTCACCACCAACCCAAGGGCGGTACAGACGAGCAGTGATGAGACCGACGTTCTCAAGCTCGCTGCCGGCCTCGGCGTGCGACAGAGCATCAACGAAGACACCAGTAGAGCCGAAAATGAAGACGGCGGACTTGGCATCAGCGGGGCCAGTATACTCAATGGCATTGTAGGTGCGACCAGCCTCCTTTGACAGTGCAGCCCAAATCTGACGAGTCCACGCAAAGACGTCGGCCGCGTTGACTGGGCGAACGCTGGCGTAGTCGACAGTGGTGGCGGTGGAACTGGGAGCTTCGCTGCCAGCACTGCTTTCGCGGCGGGAAGAGCCAACGGAAGAGTTATCAACGCTCACTGCCAGCGGAGTCTGAGTTTGAGAAGGAACGGTCAATCCAGCCGACGCCTCAGCCTGTCCAGCAGGAGCAATCTCCACGTCGGCGGAGACTGTGGCGGCACGGCCAGAGTCGGCATACAGAGACTCGCTTCCGGTCGAGGTGTGGGTAGCAACATTTCCACCCAAGTTCAGGATCTTCTTCACAAGCTCAGCGTCTTCGGCGACAATTGGGGAATCCTTGACGGAGTTCGCAGGGTCAAAGAAGTGAATGACACCCTTTCCAGACTTGAGGGCCAAAGCATGAGCGGTCAATGCAATATCTTGAGCCTCCTGGATAGTCTCTGAGTGCAGGAATGTGAAGCCGCACTGGCGAATGGAGCTGATGACGGAGTAGTCGGGGAATGGAGAGGACTCGAGGGCGACGTGGATGACAACGGGGAAGTTGGCAAGACGGTACAGGTGAGGAACGGCAGTGATCAGAACCGATGAGCCGGTAACGACAGAGACCGACTCGCCTTTTCGCAGAGGGTGGAAAGCAGACAGGAGAGGGTCCTCATTATAGCGAACGGCTTGCACCTGGCGGGGTATATCAGCCACCATTACCACGCTTAGGGTGAATCGACATATTGGGATTGAAACTCACCACTGGGGTGCCTCTTGACAGAGCGCTAGCAGTCTTATTGCTCTTCAGGGCCTTCAGGGACTTGGAGAATAGAGAGTCCGTCTGTAGGGAGGGCTGCACGGACAGGACGAGATCGCTAGACAGGTAGG